GTGTGATGTTGATTTAGTATTATTATAAAGTAATTTGATGAGATCTTGATTATATCAATCCTACTTTTTTTCTTGGAAAGATGAAAATCTTACATGATTTCATTCTGTATAACAGTCATTAACATGTTTAACATTAGTCGCAGGCTTATCTCGTAGACCTGTCTTCTTTATGACTTGTGCAAGAAAAATGTATTATACACCAAAGTGTTTTAATGTGAAAACTACATATTTTAAATCTTAACACTTTAAAAAATACTTTAATACCTATTCATGACAACTCAGGTGTATTTAAAGTGTCATTAAGCTATTATGAAATGTGTATTAAATGGGTTTAGTTGTGCTTTTGAGTGCTTTTTTTAATTTCTGTTGTAGATTAAAGTATGTAATTTGTAGACAGTACTGTTAATATATGATAAAGGTACTACTGGATGTGCTGATACCCTTCAGTGCTACTTGAGTTATACTGCAACAAAAATGCACTTAAATGCATTTCACAATATATTTCAGTATCACTTTTATAAGTACACATGTAGATATTATATGTTGGAATAACTAAACACAAAGTACATATACCATAATTATTTATTTATTATATATATATATATATATATATATATATATATATAGAAATACATCTATACTTCTATACATCTACATTTATGAGCACTTTTCTAAATTATAAATTGCTTTTTGAGATTCTAAATTTGAGCAACTTATGTTGAAATAAAGCTAACTTAAGCAATTGTTAAGACTAGAATTTAAATCGGAAACTCTTGGGTGTACCGATACCCATACAGGAGAAGGAAAAAAACATTCTTAACGTTTAACGTACGTCAGTGTAACCAGACTTTTTTCCAGGTCATTTTATGCCATGTTTGGTTCATACTTCATAAAATTTACACACAATGTAAAGAGCAGCAGGCATTTTCAAATTATGTCAAAAATGTAAAAAAAAAAACAACAAAAATGGAGATATGAGGTTTTGTAACACCAGCAATATTGAGGAATACATTTATTCAAGTGTATTTCAGAGTACACTATAAATGGTTTGAGGAAACTGATTGCCTTGAATTGTTTAAGTTGAATAACTCAAATCATAATAATTCCCCAAACTGAGCAAAACATATGTTTATTGTTGTATACACCTATGTAAATTGAGTAAATTGTACTTCATTTGTTTTACTGATATTGACATGTTTGAGTATTTGGACCTTATGATAGCTGAGTAAATAGTACTAACTCCATTTGTTTTGTTGATATTGAATTGATTTAATATTTGGGACCTAATAATAGCTGAGTAAATTGTACTAACTCCATTTGTTTTGTTGATATTGAATTGATTTAATATTTGGGACCTAATAATAGCTGAGTAAATTGTACTAACTCCATTTGTTTTGTTGATATTGAATTGATCATGTATTTGGGACTTATGATCGCTGTACTAACTCAATACAATGAAGTAATTGTAAATTATATTCACTGCTTGGCTAAACTGGGATATCAATGTAACAAAGTCATATTGTATTGCAAATATATGATAATAATAAACATTGATAACAATGTATTGTCCAAATAAATATTACTCTGGACCATGGCCAGATGCTGATAGTGTAGTTCAGAGTGCAGATGTAGTCTCTGTAGCATTTAGCCACAACAGAACCGCACTCAGCAGGTGGGAACCTGGAAACTCAGCTATCTCATCACAGATTTTTGATCAGTCCTGACTAGTATGAATCACAAAGGTTTAGAAAACCAAGTAGCCACCCAAAGGAAGGTAGGCTGGGGAGAATGGCAACACTGAATCTCAACAATTCATTTTTGATTTCATTAAGTTACTCCAAACTTCTGTTGTATTTAAGTTGTGCTAATTGAATTATTTGATTAACATGTGCAGGTTTTACAGTGTACTAAAGCATAATTCAGAATGTGTTACTTTAAAAATATACTTTTTTAAAACTACAGAGAAGTATATTTGAAGTGTATTTCCATAACATGCTTTTATTATTCTCTGTATACTTTAGGCTTACTAGTGATACCGTCAACTATGCATCTAAGAGATGAGCTACTCTGATTTGAGTTTTAAACCCACGTTTTTTCATTTTATCTCTCCCTATAAGTCCATTGAGTGGAGGAGGACAGGTTCTCCTTTCAGTCTTGGTTTCGCTCAGTGTTTCTTCCTGGTGAACTTTGAGGGTCCTGGCATCTGATGAGACTTTAGTTCACTTATCTAAATCAACTGATCAAGCATGTGACCTTATGGCTGGGCATGTGAGGCTCTATCTTTAGTGAGATGCAAATATCTCCTTTATAAGAAACTGCCCTTCAAAGAACCGTTCATGGGAAAAACAGAACCTTTCTGGCATAACTGAACCTCAAGAACTCAGTCAGGAAGCACTGACATTTTCCATGGTTAATTAATGGTGTCCATAATTCCACAAAGCCATCAAGAAGCCATTTAAGACTGTAAAAAAAAATAGTACCAAAATTATAGCCTGTCCTCAGGTCACTAGGAACTTTAAAATAGTTTTGGCATGTATCATCTGCATGAAAATGTCATCACGAGCATTTTACCCCCAAGACAATCGTAGGTGTACTCGTGTCACCTCACTTTCATGGATACCTGAATGCTGATACAAGGGTTGCAATTGTTGGCATTCAGAGCATCCAAGTGGGAGAGCGTGAGTCACTGTTACACACTTCCACAAAGCGTTGGAACTTGAACAGTTGCCACATGTTGTGACATGTTTGTAAGTGGGACACATTTACTTACTATAAATAAATCTATTTCAATGAAATCCTCCAAAATGGTACCTTTACAGGCAAAGGCAAAGCGTTCTCAACTTTAACTCTTAATGTAAACTTTTTGCACAATGCAAATAACATCTGCTGTATTCAAATGATATAGAAAAATAAAAATTGAAAAAAATGAGATACTTTTTTGACACTGACGAGATGCTGATTCTGCCTCTTAGACTGCAAAGGTGAAGCTCTTTTATGATATCGTTCTGCACACAGTACTGTGCAAAAATCAGTGACCATCCTTCATTTATGTCATTTCCAGGCAAAATAACCGCACTTAAATGTTAATTTTTCACCATCGGAAAACGTTTTTTTTTCAATATTTTAATGTGTCCATTCTTTGTCTCTATGACTCACTTTCAGTTTTTGTTTTACATCTGTGGAGATATGTTCCACCACTCCAAAAGTTCAGTCTTAGATGTTGGTTTCACTTTCTGCTTCTGCTTCCAAGAAATCTCAAACACATTCAGTGATGTTGAGGTCCGGACTCTGATGTGGTCAGTCCCTTGTTCTGAGAACATCAGCAGCTTCTTTGTTTGAGTTGCAAATGTTATATACATTTATGGCGTTTGGCAGACGACTCAGTTTTAATCACGTTAGAGGTCAGGGAAATGTAGCATTTGGAGTCTGGCCCAAGGCTATTATTGGTATACCATGTAGTTTTGGTGGTCTACCAGATCTTGCAAGCTTGTTAAGAGTTTCATTTTCTCTGTGGCTTTAGTCAATTTTGAACTCCAGTTTTGGAGACTCCCATTTGTACCCTTGACTTCCCCATTTTTTATGCAAGGGGAATATCTTACATCTAACCTCCTCACAAATATCTCCTGTAATAAGTTGCAATTAATATCTGCTTTGAATCAAAATTGAATAAATGAAGAGTCACTTTATTACACAGTACACTAGTATTACATAATCCGTCATTGTAAATCCATCATTCTGTGTATCCCAGGTGAGGTTCTCCTTTCGAATCTTGGTTCCTCTTGTTGTTTCTCCCTTATGACGTTACCCAGCTGTACTGGACCCAGTTTTGCAGCTAATAGCTGCTTTGTGATCATGTCTCATCTAAAAAGCTCTTTGACATGATCTGATTTGACAACGGCAAAGCAGACTAGAAGTTTCGTGATATCAAAACATGATGATCTTATCTGCCAGCAAGCATGTGATCTTGTGGCTGGATGTGAGCTCTTCAGTCAGAGCTCCCCAGAATTATTCAGGCTGAAAAACTCCAGATGCATCATTCAGTTATTAAGCTTTATTATTCACTAACAATGAACTATTCTAAAACTATAAGGAATTAACCCTTGTGTGGTGTTGGGGTCTGTGGGACCCACTTTCAATGTTTACCAAAAGGAAAAATGATGTGATTTATTATTATTTCAACCTCAGATTTCTTGTCCTTTGGTCATTTTCTGTGGAGAACATATAAAATAACGCATTTTCAGTGTCTTCACACTGTTCACCCCCCCACACATTTATATTACATGTGGTGTTGGGCTGAATAAAAGTGTGGAGGTGCTGTGTCCTTCACTCTGTTCTCCTCCTACATGGCCTGCTGTTAGTGTGTGTGTGTGTGTCTATGTGTGTATGTGTGTGTGTGTGTGTGTGTGTGTGTATGTGTGTGTGTGTGTGTGTGTGTGTGTGTGTATGTGTGTGTGTGTGTGAGGATGGTCAACATGGACAGGCTGCTGACTGGGGTATTTTTACATAAATTGTTATGACTGTGTTGATTTAAAAAAACAATAATGTGGTGGGTCCACCAGACCACTGAGTAACAAACACATCAACACCACACAGGGGTTAAAGCATGGGCACACATACAGACCTTCAGGACCGCTTTTGTCTGCATGGCTGAAGCTCATTCAGAAGGCAGTGATTAACTATTTGATTGATATCCATAACCCTGAAACTCAACCAGAAACCCTTTTTTTGTTTATATTACTCCCAAAAAAAAATCTCTTTCACAGTAATAAGATCTTATCTTTTGTTGCCAGGGGGTGTTTATAGGCATATTTCTCAAATGGGGAGATGAACGCCTCCAGCCAGCCCCTCCCCAACCACACACCCCAGTCTCTGTTTCACACTAACCATGTCATGTTCCAGCTTGCTCTTTTGTTTGTGGGCAGGATGAACTGAAACTAGTGACGTCACACAACCAAAACATAAAAGGCCAACAGCAGCCAGAAGGCAGCTCACATCGCCTGTGAGCCGCTTCCTATTATGGACAGTGTAAAGCTTGGACTGAAGCTGTTTGCCGTGGGCTGTTTCTTGTCCATGTGCCTGGCTGTTGACTGTAACTGGAAGACTCATTATGAATATAATGGGAAATGTTGTCTGGCATGTCCTGCAGGTAAGACCATTATGATTATTGTAAACCACAGCGAATATAAGTAATAATAACGGTCATAGGTGTAGCTATTTTTGTTTGTCTCTTGTAATACGGTAACATTGCTATAGAACAGCAGTGACTGAAAGAAAAATAAGGCAGATGTTTAAGAAAGATGTGAAGAGCATCCAGATTATGATGGACAATATCACAAACACAAAAACAAATCAGAAGTGTCTATTTTTGTTTGTCTCTTGTAATATGGGAACACTGCTATAGTACAGCATCCCCCACATTATCATTAACTTGAGGTATCTTGGTGCTCTTGGTATAGACATTACAATGTTACTGGAACTCTGTGCCAACATGTACTTTTAAGTAACCCTCATCATCTGGCTGGATTCCACAGGCAAATATCATAAAGAACCCTGTAGCAGTCATTGTGAGGAGTGCACAAAAAACGCTAGTAACACCAGGTGTGCCTGCAGTGACAACCCCTTGTGTAGTGACGATCATTGTTCTGAATGCGGACCCAGACTGCGGTGCAAACGTGGAGAAGAACTCAGGAGAATAGGTAAAGACAGAACCCTTTCCTTTTGCTCTGAGTAAGAAATTCCATAGAGTGGCAACTCCTAACCTATGCGGTTGGGCATGTTAATCATCTGATTATTAGAGCCTGGGTGTCAAAGCAGATAGCATATGCAGCTGTGGTCAGGTCTTCCGCTTGCGGTCTGAAGTGGAACCTTTTTTCAGTCATACTATTGCCATGGGAGGTGCATGTGGGGAAGGGTGATAAATCAGGTGTGAAATTGAAAAGGACATGAACAATGGACAGAAAATAAACTTCATCGAAATGTAGATGATGTTCTCATGTGTCCTGAGGTGTGCTAGCCCTGCAGTGACTGCTTAACCCTCATGTTCTGTTGAGACTGGCTTTACTTGCTTGTTGTCTGGGGTCCCAGAGACCCCGGTGCTGTAAGTAGACAGAAAGCAACTCATTTCAAATCTTTGCTTGATTCCTTTGAGCCTAATTATTCCTCAGTAAATGGAAAATAACTGAAAACTCGCAAAATGGTGTATATACATTTGTGACAATTTTGGATATAACAGGCTTTTGAAAAGAATAACAGCTGACATATAAGAGAAAATACATTTTTATTTGTCTAATGAAAGTGGTATTAATCATATTATAGCATTGATATCTCTTGTATGTGTAAAGTCCACTCTCAATAATATACATTCTGAAAAATATCTTAAAGTGGTCTACAATGTGCTGGCCCAGATCTTCAAGTTATCGGCATCTGGATGCACAAATGTTTGGTGTGCAACTTCCTGGCGACCTTGCTTGGGTGGTCAGGGAAGTTTTTTTTTTTTACAGTATATGGTCAGATGAGAGCTGTGTGGCACTTCGTTGGCAGCAAACTAACTACAGTGCTGGGCACATCACCACTACAAGTGCCTTTTTTTCAATAGAGACATATGAAAATAGCAAGACTGCACACACATCAACATAAACCCAAAAACCAGTGCAGCATTTCCTCATAAAGTCAGATAAATGGTGAATAGTTGGACAGTGGCCAAGCAGTGATTGAAGGAAAAAATGAAGCCGACGTTTAGGAAAGATGTAGAGAGCATCCAGATCATGATGGGCAGTATCGCAAGCGCAACAACAAATCAGAAGTGAGGTCATTTTTTCCCCACTGTGCCACTAAAATTTCCACCATGAGTCAAAGCAGCTGGTGAGATTTTCTCATAGTTGTCCATGGGAGGCCCCAACGTAAAACCCGATAGGATGATCCAGGTCTGATAATGCGTTTAAAGTGTAAAAGCTTCATTTGACCAGAGTAGGAATTCATGTCTGAGAAAGGTGGTGAAACTATATATGTACAAATGTACAGTGCAGACATCTCCAACAGACTCAAATCACTACTCAGATATTTGTTATGTTTCATTGCATGAAGACAGAAAACATGGCTATACTGGCTGAAACACAACAGTTTTGTTTGTATTTGAGAATATTATAAGTGTATTATATTTGTCTTATTTATGCTTTTTAGTGAAAAGAATAGCACAATCTCTGCCGCTGCTCCAATCTTAGATGATCTTTTCTGTGCCATTGTGCCATCACTGTGCAGAGAGATCAGTGAAAATGACATTGTGCAGTCATTTTCACTGATCTCTCTAAAGCCCATGTGTCAAACACCAGGCCTGTGGGCCAAGTCAGGCCCGTGACCCAGTCCTATTCAGCCTGCGAAATTATTTCTATTTCTATTTTATTATTATTGCTTTCTGACCCCCAGCAACAATCTCTGAGCCAGCGATTACACAAAAAGAAAAGATGCCTGGTGTCCAGTTCAAGCAAATAGGCAGGTACAAAAAAAACTACCTAAAACAATTTATTTTTATTTAGAATTATTTTTCATAAGTATTCAGTGCCTATTTTGCTGTTGCAGTTTTGGCATATTTTGAATAAACAATGGCCCGTTCAGATCATGGCAAAGTGTTAAGTAAAAATTGAATAAAAACACAGCTGGCCCACGGATTTGCTTAGATTTTTTTCATATGGCCCTTTTAGTGGTTGAGTTTTACACCCCTGATCTAAAGGCTTTGATACAATTGGTCATTCTCTACTTTTCTACGTCTACAAAATATTGGTTTTGAACACAAACTACCAACTGGATTAGAAATTATGTCTCCAATAGGCAGCAACGTGTGGCCCTGGGTCAAAGTAAATAAGAGCTACTACCAGTAACTGAGGGGGTCCCTCAAGGTTCAATCCTCAGACCAGTATTATTTAAAATCTATATTAATGACATTGCCACCTCTGTTGTCGATTCCAAAGTACATTTATATGTCGATAACACCATCTTGTCCTGTTCAGCTCACTATACTGGTACTGCAGTGGCTAGACGGCTAGAGGTGGGTAATTCAGGTCCAAAAAGTAAAAACCCTCCCCAGGATTTTGTTCCAACTGTTTGACTTCTCTAATTTGCTCAAACCAGCAGCAAAGGTGTTCAGGCAGTTGGAACAAAATCCTGTGGAGGGTTTTTACTTTTTGGACCTGGATTACCCACATCTATAGATGACAAATGCACTTTTAAATACCAGGTTAACAAGCTTACATGTAAACTGAGGCAAAAACTTCTGTCAAAGCAGCGCGATTGTCTCTTATGGATTATGGTGATGTGATATACAGTTATGCATCTGCAACTACTCTAAAATCCTTAGACTCTGTATTCCACTCTGCTTTATTTATTATAGGGGACCCCTACACTACCCATCACTGTGTATTATCTGAAAAGGTTGGCTGGTCATCTCTGGCCATTCATCAGAAAACACATTGGCTTCTTTTTATCTATAAGGCGTTTATCTGAGAGCTTTTACTGAACTGGGCACCATTGAGCTGGAATTCATTACTGGAAACTCTAAAACTTTGCTTGCTGGTGTCACATTACATTTTAAACTTTTAGTCTCTAACCACCACCACTCAGCCTGCAACTGTTTTATTTGATTTTAATCAACTTTTAATATGATTTTGGTATGTGTTAGTTATTGTGTTACTTTTATTATTCTTTTTATTTATTTTGTATCTCTTTATTTATTTCACTAACTTTATTTATTTTATCCATATTTGATCGGTTATTTGGTGCAGTGGGTAGCGCTGTCACCTCACAACAAGAAGTACCTGGGTTCAATTCCCCGGCGGGGCGACCCGGGTCCTTTCTGTGTGGAGTTTGCACGTTTCCTCCCACAGTCTAAAGACATGTAGTCAGGCCAATTGGACACGCTAAATTGCCCCTAGGTGAATGTGTGTGATTGTGTGTCTGCCCTGTGATGGACAGGTGACCTATCCAGGGTGTTTCTTGCCTTCTGCCCAGTGACTGCTGGGATAGGCTCCGGCAGCCCCCGCGACCCAGAAAGATAAGAAGCAGAGTGTGTGATCTGTTATTTATTAAGTTGCAATTTTAATGGTTTGTTCTGATTTGATTGACTTTTTACTATTAAATTATTATTATTATTATTATTATTATTATTATTACATTTTGTAGCATTTGGTATGTTTTTACAACCCAATTTTATCAATCCCTGATTTGTGCATTGGTCTCCCTCAATGTACTTCAAGTTTAAATAAAGATTGATTGATTATCACAATCTGCTATTCCGAAACACGAACGCGTTATTAAAGACGTGGCTCTATCGCTAACTATGTCATTTACTTTACTTGATCATCACTACTCTAGAAAAATACTGCAAAAGAACACAATTTTGTTGCAATTTTTTTTTCTGTAAACTGTAATTTTTAAGCAATGTCAACATTTTATTTTCCTTTTCCTTGATTACCTGGATATCCTGAACTCTTATAGAAACTCAATCTCAATATTGAGGTTAATAATACCCTCAATAAGGAGGTTAAATACTGAATACTTTACAAAGGCTTTAAGCATGTGAAAAAGCTATTTATCTGGACAGTAAGGCCCAATCCCATTTCTTCTTTTTACCCCTACCCCTTGTTTTCGAGTGTCACCCTAACCCCTTGGAACGGAGTTACAAAGGGTAGTGGTTGAAATCTTGCCCTACGAAATAAGACCCTCAAATTAAAAAAAAATAAAAACATTACTTCATTAACAGCTACTAGCGGTGCTCTGTAGGCGACCCGGCCCGACTTCAGTGATAGGAGAGAAGCGTGAAGTTCATCAACCTCACTGCTGGGCTTTAGTTACATTTAGGGCATCATATGCCTTCAAAGAGGGGGGATAAGACAATTGTTTATTATCGCCCACTGCTAATTCTTCAGTGATACGAAGCTGAAGTCAGCTATTCACCAGCTTCTTGTTTTCCCATTCCACATTAACTTCGTGTCGGCGTCAGAACTGCGGGACTATTTAAGGTGGAACGGGAGAATTAGCTAACTAGCTACCGAGACATTAGCATACTACTATCGATTGTTACAAAGAAAACGACCATAATACATTGAAACGAAATTAAACTAATAAGATAAGATAATACAATGATTATCGTAATTTATTAATGGAGAAAAATCTCACATTTGTGGGTTTCTTTGGTCGCTCGCGCAGCCATCTTGCCAGTCTTTCTTTTTTTCTCATAACCCTCTGTTTGGACTGCGCCTCTGAAAGACCTCTGTTTGGAACACTTCACCCTACCCCTCAATCTCAACAAAAATTGGGACACCCTAATCCTAGACGTGAACATGCAAACAAGTGGGCTAAGGGCTAAGTGGTAGGGGCGAGGGGTGAAATGGGATTGGACCTAAGTGTTTATTTGCTCAAAAAACACTAATATTACAATAAATATAAATAACATTAACACGACAAGTAGTGATTTTATGTATGTCACTGTGTTTGTTTAACCATTTCCAAACTTCTCCTCATAGCAGACCAGCATTATATGTAGATATTATCCAATTCCTGGTTTGGCTAATCACTTCTTTATTATGTTAAATCAAGTGTGCTGCTGATGGAATCTAACAAGATATCTTCTACTTTGAGAACAAGAAATCCTACCTACTTTTACTGCTTAAATGTTTGCCTTCACTCTAATGTTACATTGCCCAGATATGTGCCTTTTAAACAGTACTGTAAGTCTAGAAATAAAGATAGTAAGTATAACCTTACTGATTATTTCTGCAAATGGCACCGACGTCGATGTTAACTGACAGCTTTTTTCTTTGTGGACTTTTTGTAGGTGCCTTTTCTTTCACATATGTTTGTAAACCATGCCCAGACAACATGTACAGCGATGCTGAGGACAGCATGTGTGAACCCATAGTAAAGTAAGTCACAGTAAAGACGAAAACCAATTCTGAACATTACAACTATCTTGCTTCTTCTTGCTAAGTGTTCTGACGTCTTTACTGTGAACACTGTGTTGCTGGTAACAGCTGCAGAAAACTCGGTTTGGGTGAGCTCTTCCCTGGAAACAGGACGCACAACGCAAGATGTGGTTGGCAAGGTCAGTGCCTTTTATCAGTGTATCATGAGGTGGGTGATGTTAGAGTTTTATTGAAATGAACTACTTTCATCATATTCCTATGAGGCATTGGTATCTGCTGGAATACAGTCAAGTACGTAGTGGCCAGTTTAGTAACTAGTTTTTCTGCTGTTTCAAGCTCTCAGATATCAGCACCTACTGTGTCTCTCTGCTTTTGAGAGGAGCTGTTTACAACAGTGTTGCAGTCATTCTGAGCTGAGCTGTGCACGCGAGTATGACATTGCCCTAAAACTGCATGCAGTTTGGTATCTGATTAGATAAGTGAAAAACATCACATATACATGAAAACCTCAGATAATTTTCTCTGCCATATCGTGTATCGTGTAACATATCATCGCTGCCAAGTCAACACATCTCGTTTTTCCCATTTTTCGCAGCATTTGAAAAAGCCAGTTGTCCTTTAAATCGTGTGAACATTTAATTATAAATAGACCAACAGAAAAATCTTGTTGCAATAATCTTCATTTCTTTTTTTCAATTCATTTCTCCCATCAAGTTAACATTTTTGCACATGTGAGGTTTGATGCACATATTCTACCCTTTTTTTTTCATTTATATATCGCTGTTATCAGAACACCACCTGGTATCTCCATTGTTGACGTTTTTCAGTTTTTGACATAATTTGAAAATACCTGTTGCCCTTTACATTTTATGTAAATTTCATGATGTATGGACCGTACAAAGGTTTTGTTCCGACAACAGCGACTTGTATGTATATATATATATATATATATATATATATATATATATATATATATATACCACCTCATTAAAAAAAATAGAATGCAATGATGGGCAAATCACGTAAACCATATTTTTAAAGAAAAATACTACAAAGACACGTCATCAAATGTTGAAATGTTTTGAAAAATATATGCCCATTTTGAATTTGATGCCAACAACATGTTCCAAAAAAGTATGTGAACCACTGTGTTTCATCACCTCCTCTTTTAACAACACTCTGTAAGTGTTGGGGAACTGAGGAGACCAGTTTTAACTTGCATTTGCGGATGCAGCAATGAACTGTTTTCACAGACAGTGGTTTTCAGAAGTGCTTCTGAGCTCATGCAATGATTTCCACTACAGAACTGTCTGTTTTTAATGCAGTGCTGCCTGGGGGGCCCAAAGATCACAGCCAGCAAATACTGGTTTTTGGCCTCGTCCCTTACATACAGAGATTTCTCCACATTCTCTGAATCTTTTAAAGATTTTATGTATGGTAGATGATGAAATCCTCAAGTTCTTTGCTGTTTTACGTTGAGAAACGTTATTCTTGAATTGTTGCACTATTTGATCGCGCAGTCTTTCACAGAGTGGTGAACCCAATGGCTGAACTGTACTGCATCTCATTCAAAAAGCTATCTGGGCTGAAACACTCCTTATTCAGCGTGAATGCAAGAGGCTAAACTGCTGTAGGCTAATTAGGTGGATTTATGCTTTGTCCGAAAAGAAAAATAGATAATTGTTGTTTTCTGTGATATGAGGCTGTATTTGCTTAGTTTCCATATATGGACTGGAAATCAAGTCCTTATTTGTTCTGAATGCTGTCATAAGATCTTTATCTGTTTTGAAAGCTTTCCAAAGAACTTTAGGTGTTTTGAATGCTATTCTAAGTGGCTGTGAGTGCCCTGATATTTGTGAAGTTCATATTGCCCACTCTTAACTGATTCTTTACTGCCCACAGATTCGGATCAGCTGACTCATAAGGTCATAGTGGTGTGCTTAGCCATCAACGGTCTGATCTGCCTGGCGCTGCTAATTAATGCCTGCATTCGAAGGTCTACAGACAGGAGAAAGAAGTACAGTAAGTTGACATCAAACATTTTCAAGTTTATTCAGTTTCAATGAGGACTGGATTCTGGCCAATTACTGATCCAGCCATTTAGTGGATACTGAAGCTTTGTGATAGCGTGCGTGGCATGGTCAGAGCTAAAAAACATCACACTCAGATTGAATAGTAACATCAAAGTTACCATCAAATGCCCTAGCACAGTGGAAGCCACTGTGTCTGGGTTTATACAGAAACTGATGGTGTGAAATGGGAAATCCCACATTTGACTTTATTGTGTCTTTCTGCAGGACGCCGATCAACCGCACGCACACTGGTCGTGCCCTCTGAAGAATGCACGTGTAAACTCTCCAAGGAGGAAATGGGGGATGAGTGTGACAGTGATGTCTCTGACATTTCCACTTCAAAACCTGAAGTCTGAAGTGATTTTCCCTAGAATCTATCTCGGATTACAGCTATGGCCAGCAGCCCCACTGAAGGGTCGATTCTGGAGAACTCGCTGTTCATTGCACAGAAACGGACGGTTTACTTTGGAGGACTTTCAATCTTGTGCCTGTACCATTTCACATGGTGAGAGTTGTGGAGACTTCTTCTTAAAGATTTGTTACGTGTTTCTTCGGGTTGGTAGGTTGTAGCAAAAAAAACTGATATACGACTTTACCCTTAATCCAGAACACAGTAAATCAGTCAGGAGATGTTTGGTGTCTGACGTTTGCTTCTTTAAGTTTTGCACTGGAGTTACAAAGCTAATGCAGCTAATTGCAATTAAGTAATGGACATTTATACCCAACCAATTAGCACTGTGCAAACTGCCCGCCTAAATCATCCAGCACTTGCCTTGAGATGTTAAAGGGACACTTTGGCCCAAATGAAAAATTGAAGCATCGCTACATCTTTTGTAAACAAGTTAACTCGCCTCTTACAGCAATGCCTCAGTAGCCTCTGAAGTGAGATTTCTTGGTTTAAAGTCTAGGAAACCCCTCTTCTGATGAGGTATCTTGAAGGGGAAAGTAAATTTTAAAAGACTACCGCTGCATTTAGGTGGATTTGAGGTCTTTTTCTGCTAGTGCGTTAATTTTGTAACTGAATTATCATTATTTAACAAAGAAAAAAGTTGACCAGTTGAGGATAGTGCTATATCAGTGATGCTGGCAAGAAACACAGAAGTATTTCTTATAATCTTTATCAATAATTCAGGATTTATTGACACCACAAGGATTCCCAATGACTGTGTGGTGTATTTGCATAATGCATGCTGGTTATTGTAATTAGAGAATGAAAACACGAAAAACAATACAAAGTCATAAATTCTGCCAAACTGGTGAGAATGAAGTGTGCAATGCTGCACTACATAATACGTTACATAACAACGTTACAACGTTGTAACGTATTACATAAGAACGTTACATAACACGGTAAATAACATATTAAATACTAGTTTCAGGCCAGAGCGCTGCTTTAAGTAACCTCAAGTAGATCTTGTAGCCAAAAACAACTTAAGTAAGATTCTGAGATGTCTTAACACAGTTTTGAACAATTCATTTTGCCAAACTCTTCAAGCATGTTAGCTTGCAGTGTTAGCTCAGAGAGGTTACGTGGCTATTTTTAAGTTCATTAAGATAATTTGTGGCACTTCTGTAATGTTGTTTAACTTGAAGTAAGCAACCTTCCTATTGTAACTATAAAAAATGATGTATAATTATGTCAATAATGTATTGTCGCTGTCTAAAGAAAAAAATCTCCAAAATGGTAACTTTACAGGAGAGGGCAAAAACCTTCTTTACTTTTGATGTAAGTTAATGTAAAAATATTTTATTCCAAGTAATTTTAGAGCATTGCTATTGGTCCGTTTATCATGAAATTTTCACACAATATAAAAGACAGCCACTGTGTTCAAATGACGCAGAGAACTAAAAATCGACAAAAATGGAGATGATTTTCCTCAGACAGCGATTTTATATATATATATATATGAAAACATGGCACTGTGGGGTTACATTGGGAGAGGCAGGCCTAATAACCCCGCTTTGGGGTAAGTCAAGGTAACAATACAATGCCGTGAATAAATATTTGCCCCCTCCTGATTTCATCTATTTTGCATATATGTCTCTCTTCATTGTTTAAGACCTTCAAACAAAATGTAATAACACAAACACTCATTCATTTATCGAATGAAAAAAGTTATCCAACACCAACTGAGTCTGTGTGAAAAAGTAACTGGCCCCTTGAATTGCTGCCAGCCCTTCTGAATCTAAGCATCACTTAAACAGAAAATTTTGCTTGATAAACAGACTATGCTGCAATCAAAAGAAATCCCAGAAGACATGAGAATGGAAATCAGTCTGAAAAGGATTACAAAACCATTTCTAACATTCTGGGACTCCTGCAGACCACAGAAAGAGCCATTTTCTTCAAATGAAGAAAACTTGGAACAATGGTTAATGTTACCAGAAGCGGCCGGCCAACCAAAATTCCTCCAAAAGCACAGTGATGGCTAATCCAGGAAGTCACAAAGGAACGCAGACAAATTACTAAGGGACTACAGGCCTTGTTCACCTCAAATGAGGTCAGCGTTCCACTACTAGAAACAAACTGGTCAAATGGAAAAACGCCTAATGACCCCCAAGCCTTTCAGAATACTCTTATGTGGACTGATGAGTCAAAAGTGCAACTTTTTGGAAGACAGGGGTCCTGTTACATCTGGCCTAAAGCTAACAAAGCATTCCACAATAAGAGCATCAAACCAACAGTCTAACATGGTGGTGGTAGTGTGAGGAGGTGGAGATGCTTTGCTGCTTTCAGAGTCTGGGCGACCGTAATTGACAGAATTATGAATTCTGCTCTTTACCAGAAAATCCGGCAGCAGAATATACGGTCATCAGTCCGTGATCTGAAGCTCAAGTGTAATTGGGTTATGCAGCAAATTATCAATTCGAAGCGATTTGAAAGGCCGATCTCCAGTTATAGAAGACATCTGGTTGCAGTTCTTGCTGCTAAAGGAAAGGGCACAACCAGTTATTAGGTTTACTACTTTTTCACACAGGTGTTACGTGTTGCAAAGCTTTTCTTCCTTCAATAAATGAAATGATCATCTAAAAAAACTGTAGTTTGTGTTTCTTCATGTTCTCCTTGTCTTGTGCTACATTTTTTATGTGGATCTGAAACCATGTAGTGTGACAAATATGCGTAAAATAGAGGAAATCAGGAGAGGGCGAATACTTTTTCACAGCACTGTAGCTATAAAACAACCTTACAGACACTTACCGACCACTTTCTTAGAAACCCCTCCCTTCTAGTTCCACCTTGCTTGTTTATACCTAGAGACTGCAGGTTATCTGTTGATTCTGTTGATGCAGTTTGTGCTGGTCATCTTCAAGCCCTTCGTCAATAGTCAGTTTCTGACCACAGAGCTGCTCTTGGCTAGATATTTTTGGGTGGCAGTTCACTCTCAATATAGCAGTGACACTGATGTGTGTAAAAACTCCAGCAACACAGCTGTGTCTGATACACTCATACCAGTGCTGCTGTGCTGAGAATGGTCGACCATCCAAATAAGATCCCATCAGCGGTGGTCTCGTGGTCTGAAACCAGTGAAGAATGATGTAGAGGGGGGCTGATAAACCGTACAGCAACAGATGGGCTAGAGTCTGTAATTGTACACCTCCATAGTGGTAGGTGGCACTTATAAAATGGCCAGTGAATGGAAAAACAAAGTTTTTAATAAAGTGGATGGTGAGTGCATATGGAGAAACAAGCGTTCTGAATGAGTCCATTAAAGCATTAAAGTGGCCTATTTTCTTTTTCTTATATCCAGTTACTCACTACCTCATGTCTTTAAACCCAGTTTCACTATTGTTCAGCAACGTGTCAGCCAACTTTTACAGCCAGGATTGGGATCAGAACACCTGTTACTAACTAGGATGGTGATGGTTTAACTGCTTTAAGTATCTGTTGCAATTAACAGTCATTGGTTTTGTATTCTTGCCCAACTTTATTATGACATAGCGGGCAAGACATTTCATCGGCGTACTTCTTGAATTCACTGCAACATGCCAACTTTATGTAAGCAGCAAGAGATTTCCACATCAAGTGCACAGACAGACTTGGGTAGACATCTGTAGCATATAACAGGCACGCTGCAAATCGAATATGAGCATCTAGTTGTGGAAAATGTTTTTACATTAAATTTGGCTTTGATCTGATGCTTTTTATGGCTGTTGTGGTGATGTGTTCTCAGCCGTTACAATAACCATTTAAAAAAAACATTAAGCTGAGAGTAAACAACCAAGCTTTAGTGGTGGCTGTGTGCAAATCACATCCATAATATCACAAGTGCACTCTATAGAGACCTATGGTCTCCACCCAGGGCATGCTGGCTTACACTGCAGTACATTTGCTCTTCAACCACCCAGTCTTTATGTAGCCAGGCACTTAGCAGTTCATTTAAAACTGCATTTAAAAGTGTCCATAAGTCTGTCATATAATTCTACTTTATCAGCCAGTGTTTAAGCTGTAATAAAGTTGTATATAAGAAAACAAACGCTTGTGTTAGTCTATTATTTTTCTGCAAATTATTGCCTCATTTTCTTGCGTTATTTTCTGCAATTGTTCGTTGGTATAGTGTTGTGCTGCCCTCCACATGGTAAACTGGGTTCTATTCCCAGGCAAGAACACCTCACTATATCAACAGGAGTCCCTGGGCAAGACTCCTAATCCTACATTCGCCTACTTCTACTGGATAAAAGTGTCTGCTAATGCACTGAATGCACAAAAAGATGTGCCTCAATTCCTTGTATGTTGTTTAATGTCATTGCCTGTAATATATGGAGAAGAATTTGTTTCAAATTGAAAAGCAATCACTACCTCCTGATCATGCTGCCGCTGCACAAACTCAAACTATCTAATTATCCACTGCTCTGCCCGTTTTTCCCCGTTTTGTATTCTAATATTATATTCTAATGCTGTTTGCTATCCGGTGTCGACCAGAGGAGGATGGATTCCCCTTTTGAACTTGGTTCCTCTCAAGGTTTCTTTCTCTTGCTCTTTGGCCGTTTTCCTTGCCATGTTGTCATTGGTGACACTCACGGAGGCTCGGACCGTGATTTTTCTGTAAAGCTGCTTTGTGACAACACCTGTTGTAAACTTTGACTTGATCTGACAGTGGAAAAGCGTGAAATACAATGCACACATGATATTACTTTTCCATAGTGACATGCAGAATATGTGCCAAAATGAAAAACAAATCCAGTGTTATACTGCTTTTATGTTTCGTGACCTCTACTGAAAAACAGTGCATGAGGATTTGCATTTTAAAAACAAAACGCTGAATTTATGTCAGAATTGAATACAATCTGCCTTGACGTAATAAAGGCAAGACTATGCTGTATTGCTTTCCACTGTGCAGTACTTTAACAATGTTTTGGCACGTTTTCTGCATGTTGCTGTTTAAATGCAATCTCGTGCACTGCATTTTACTGTTTTGGTTGCATTTTAATTGGGCAAATACATTTGAAGTACAAAGACGAGGTCAAACGATGTGAAAACAGTGTAGTGGAGGTTTTGCTTTTCATTTTGGCACATATTCCACATACTTGTGGAAAAGTAATGTCATGTGTGCGCTGCATTTCACCGTTTCAGCTGTTATGATTGCATCTCAGTGAGGAAAATCTGTTTAAAGATTGCATTTCAGTGAGGAAAATCTGTTTAAAGTGGTAAGCAATACAGTTGTGCATTTGTTACATTTTAAAGTGGATTGTATTAAATTCTGACATCAGTTCAGCATTTCGTTTTTTAAAAAGCAAATCGTTATTCCTCGGTTTTTAGTAAAGAGGTCTATGAAAAACTATGGAAGCCCATTTCGACCGTGGAGAAAAACATTTAGGAAGTTATAACAATAAGAAAGTTTTCCATAATTATGATGTAGCATCTCATAATTATGACTTAGTTCTCTTTATAATGATGTAGTGTCTCTTAATAATGAGAAACTTTCCTTATAATTATGATTTAATATCTCATAATAATTACTCCTTAATAATAATGAGCCTCTTTTTTTTACATAATTGTGAAAAAGTATAAGTATGAGATCAAATTATGAGACCAAATCTCATAATTATAAGATACTAAGTCATAATTATGTCTCATCATTATGACACCATTTTTTTACAGTGGTGGGGAAACGGGCTTCTACAGGAAACGATGTAACAGAGGGTTTGTTTTTTAATTTTGGCACCTATTCTGCATGGCACTATGGAAGAGTAATGCTTTCCCCTGTAACGTTGGTGATCGATTTTCAATTTGGCACGGATTCCTGATCATCGAGGGCAATTTACTATAAATTAAGAGCAAATGCATCCTGCATCAGATAATTTCAGAGCCTCAAAAAGAGCCCTGACTAATCCAAGAGTGGAGGGCAGTGCAGTGCAGCGCAGCGCAGCCGAGCCCTAATGAATACAGCACAGTAATCCTGCCACGGTCATATGACAACAGGCAGTTCCTCCCAAACATTACGCTACAGCCGCTGCTACACAGACCCCAGTGAAAAGAAAGCCATCCAAAGTCTTGCAAATCTCCAATCCCAAAATGTTGGCGCTCATTAATCGTTTCCTAGACTGGTTCAAGTCGCTCTTCTGGAAGGAAGAGATGGAGTTAACCCTCGTTGGACTTCAGTATTCGGGGAAAACCACGTTTGTCAATGTGATAGCTGTAAGTGTTTTCATCAGCCCTCTTCTTAAAGGCAGCTAGGTTAACCTAGCTAAGTTAGCATCTCCAAGCTTGCCGTTTGTTTGTTTGGGGTCGTTTTTCCCCAAAAAGCGTAGGCAGCTAACAATTAGTCATCTTTGTGATTTAAATTAGCCACAAGGCTAGCGGTTAGTTAGTGAATGACTGCACCAGTGACTAATTTAAGATAAGATAGCAGCTAATCTGGCGGAGGATAGCGTTAGCTAGCTGGTTAGCTACCTTTGGCCTAAACCTTGCAGCTAAGCTGGCTATCATTTTTGCCTTTAACGTTTTTTACACTGTTTCAGCCGTTAGCTAGGTTAGCTAAATAGTTAATTCGGATTGATAGCGAATCGCTGCGTAGTTTTGCAGCCATCTAGACACTGAGATGGACACTGTAATCTGTCTGATTAGCCTTTGAAAACAGTTAACGTTGGTTTTGGTGTCATGCTGCTGGCTGACTGGACTTTGGACATAACTGGAGCGGAAAATATCATTTATAAATACCAGGGCAGACGCCCAATGACATTTTAAACCTATTCTGTGATGGTTGAATGTGCTATAGTGGACTGTAGGACGAGAAAAACCCCTCACACAGACAAAACAGCGCAACCTGCACCAGGTTGGGCTGCACCAGGGTGGGCTAACGTTAGGAAGCTAGCTAGGTTAGCTAAACTGGCTAAGAAAAATGTCTGCTTTTTACGCCGAGCAGACTCGCTGAGCTACTCTGATATTAAGTCGAACGAAATCTGTAGACGTGTGGTTTGTTTTTGGGCAACTGAGTTACAGCGTCCTACTATTCGTTTAGCTTCGAAACTTGCAAGTGTCCAGCGACCTTGCATCACTCCGCCGATGAAGCTCACATTTTGCTGTGAAACCTGAAGCTGGATGTGTGAAGCACATGATCAACACGCTCTACCAGTTTGCCAGCTGAGGTGTAAACATTAGCACTGTGTACTGCGAGGCATTAGCAATGCGAACAGCACACGTATCCTAGTCATAATCAAAGGGAAGCTCCACCCATTTTTCCAGATGTCTGCATAATTAAAGGTTAAGATGTAAACAAAGTCATTCAGAGTGGTTTGGTGTCAAGTGCTTCAATCTAAGTCAGAATGGTTCAGTGGTGGTGATGGGAACCAGACGTCCACCTCTAAAAGCTCCTTCGCAGAAAGCTTTTATACAAAAAGGCTATGAATATGCTGCCTGATGCTTGAGACATTGTTTTATGATAGTTTTGTTATACGTTTTGTTATTCCATTTAGTTTAATCCATTCATGGTGGAGGGATACGTGCAGGGTGTTGTAAGGCAAAATAGTCCCCAAAGAAAATCCATTTTTCCGCTACTTTACCATCATCAACATTACAATTTAAAAACTCGGAAGGCTTTTGTAGGTTCAGTGGTGGTTCTGGTTAGTAAATAAATTGGCTGTATATGTGTTGTAGAGACTGTGACCCCTGGTTCCTATCACCACCACTGTAAAGAAATCTGAGTCTGTAAGTTTCTCTACAATGAACCATTTCACATACAACCACTCTAAATGACTTTGTTTACATCACAACTATGGAATTACACAAAAAAGTTAAAAATTTGGTGGAATTCCTCCAGGTTTCTCATATTGGGTATTATGTTTGCCACAAAACACTAACAAACCTATCCTAACTTAATTCTGAAGGCATCCATGGTAAAGATTCTGTATTGGTTTGTGTTGCCATGTACTATGATTTTCTGCCAAAGTTCTGCATAATTCAGTCCTTCACATATAAATAAAGTCATTCAGAGTAGTTTGATATGAAATCCTCTGTCCTAGAGAAACTTGGAGTCAGAACTGTTTGCAGTAGTGGTGATAGGAACCAGACATCCAAAGCATTCAATGCCTCTATAAACTATCTCTCATAAAATTATTACATTGAATGGATTCAAATACGCTGCCCGAGATGTTGTTTTACGATAGCTTTGCAACAATATGTTGGCCTAAAATGCGTTTTTAAAATACATTCATGGCAGAGAGGTACATGCAGGGCACTATAATACAAACTATTCACCAAAAAAAACTTAATTTTTGAGATTTACCACATTTTTACCATTATCAGCATTGCTAATGTGTAGCTTCACTAGTTGTTTTGGATAGTAAATGTATTTGCATTGCAGGCATTGTGACTCTTGGTTTCTGTTCCTGCCACTGTAAAGAAAGTCAGTAGGTTACTTCACAGAGCACATTTTACATCAGACCACTCTGACTGACTTTCTCACTCATTGAGTTATACAGGAATTTTGGAAGATCAGTGGAATTCCCCTTTATATGTGGTACAGTACTCTCTGTCCACTACTTGTTAAACATTCTACCATTCAGTCAATATATACCATTCAGTCAATGTGCTAGAATTTGCACATTGGAGCAGTGTTGTTAAAAAACAAAAAAGAAAAAAGAAAGCAAACAGTTGTGCAACGTTGCTGCCCAAGTGCATGTAATGTACGTTGCTTGCAGGCTGTAATTAGCTGCAGTCAGATACTTAATAAGATGAGAACGACAATAGATTTGCTCCGTTCTGTCATATGTAGAAACATGTGATATGTGCTCTGAGAGGAGCCCTCAGGTATGGCCTTGCACAAGCCATTTGGCCCCCTGCCTGCTTCCTCTTTTGCAACAGGATGTGTTACTTAGTATTTGTGAAACTTACCACAATGAAATCTGGAACAAGTGAAGAATCACTGTGAGACCACTGCTTGTCTCTAGTAAAGTCTGATCAGAGCTGAACGTCCTCATAGATTTAATTTCCTCGTAATGTCCTGTATGTGTATCCCTGCTATGGCAGTGTTTGAACAAGGAAATGCTGTGTAAATATAATAAAAAGGTGAAAGTTCAGAAGAAATTTTGAACTCAGCCAGAATTCGTGCTGATATACAGTCATGTGCAAAAGGTTGGGCTCCCAAGTCAAAGTATATCTAAGTTAAGTGTATAGTATATAAGTTAACACATCCTCTATAGCAGTGGTGTTCAACCTGTGGCCCACATGTGTTTTTTTTACAGTATTTTTTACTGTATGTAGACATTTGACCAGATGTTATTTTAAATATGACTAATTGTTTGCAGAAATACACCCTCATATTTAGGTCAACCTCATTTACTAGTCTGGCTAAATTCTTGCAATGTTTACATTTTCAGTGCAAGTCAACGTAAGACGTTTCCCGAGGTCTTCATGCGAAACAGCCACCGTTTTTCAGACTGAGAAAAATAAGAAAACCAATTATAAACTGAAACAGAAAAATACAAAAACAGAATCAAAACAAACAAACAGGCAGAATGTCTACAGGTGACTAAGATCTCCTTTCCTCCTCACAAAACAGACAAACTGACATTGAGTGGGCTTCTTTCCATTCTGGAAAAGTGAAAGGAGCACGGAGAGTTTCAGCCCCTTATTCAGGAGCAGGAGCTATGAAGAGATTTTTGATACAGCTCAGATGTTTGTGACTCAGTTTGGGCCCCGTTTTAGCTGCTTTTGTAGATGCTAACACCATTCGAGAGAAAGCAGAAGGTAAACGAATCCAGTTATCGGTAAAAGTTCAGAAATATCAAACGCAAATAAAATAATGCCTCATTTTTGACGTCTGAAAAATTACGTTTGATGTGCATGATATTATCAGTCATACATGTGATCGAATTAATTTACTGTCGTCTGAAAATACTGCACAAATAATTTGTGTTCAGTGTTTGAAGGCCTGTAGGCTTCACATGTCCGAGAACAGAAAACGAGTGACTGTAGCTCTGTGCTGAGCCAAACAAATTACGCCATTAATTGGAGGCTAAACAGATATGCATCTAAACCTACTGAACTGAGCCAGGCCTCAACATGTTAACTGGCACCTGCTAGCTGCCAAATTACATCAGCCGACTCATTAAGTCACTTAGAAAATGTTCAGTCACTTTCTAATGTGTTGTCTTATATTCTAAAATCAAGCAAAATTGACAGGCAGCATTGATTAGTGTATTATGCTTGTTTGCACTTTGTTATCTGGTCAGTAAAATCTTGTGCGCTGCGGAAGCTTTTGCGTTCAGCTGTGTGGGTGAGTGTTAGAACAAGGTTGGAAACCTCTGTTCATCAGAGAACACACTTCAGTACATTTGAACACACAAATTACTGTTACTGTATTTGCTGAATGTAACACATTGGGGAAGAGCAAAAAAGGCAGTCTGGGCAAAATTTATGTCAAATTTTCATATTTTATGTTTTATTTTTTTCCAATCTGTTAAGCCCAGAAAAAAAAATTGTGTACTAAATTTTGCTGAAAAATGCAATATTTAACCATGTTCCTTGTAGAGGATATGCAAGTTTATTTTCACATAAAAAAATCAACAAAACAGTTTTCAAACTTTTGCATAGGACTGTATCAAAGATTAGCCTCAGCTCACTTGGTTCTCGTATAGTAATAGCTTAGCAACAGGATGATTTTTTTTTCTAAGAGCATCACTGAGCCAAGTGCAGTAGTGAAGTTTCTATTTGCCGTAGGCCTGTGGGTGTATGTTAGTGTCTGTTTACGTCGAGAGGAGGCGGGGGCGGGCTCTGTTAGTCATAAGACTCATTCACTCACTTCCACTTAGGCCCTCGTGGTCAGATGATGTCTTTGCTCATGTGGTACGTTGCACACGCACCTTAGTGGTCAGTCTGTAGAGGCAAAAGAATGAGACCTTCTACATTTGACGTATTGCTGATCTCATATAAGGTTTTCAAAGTTAGTCACATGTTTTACTTAGACACAGGTCTGCACTGTAATGTAGAATTTAAACCGAACGGCAAAATGAAATGTATTTTCATTTGTAGCCTAGTAATGAAAGGAGGATCAAAGTCTTCATTTTCAGTCCACAGAGTAGGTCTTTATTAAAGGCACTGTTACAGTCCATGTGGAGTAAGATCCTTTTTTACTGAAAGTTGAAGCAGAAACACAAGTGTTAGTGATGGATTATTGTCACCCAGTTAAAAAAATAAATCCAGTAGTTCTAAAGCCTCTGTGCTAATTAAAACCACATCCTTACTGGTTTTCAGCAGTTTGCAGAAAGATCCCGCCCTTTGAAAAAAAACTCTGTTGATCAGAAAGTCAGATTTCTCTGAAGTTCAAGACTTTGTGCATACCATGCATACCTTGCCTCGGCAGAGGCTAGATTAACCCCTCAGAAGCTGAGTGAGTCCAGGTTCAGTCATAAATTAAGAGGTAAATTACTAATGCGATAGATAAAAGTATACTTAAGACATAAATGTTTTCTAGACTTGGTTATGAGTCATAACCTTCACTTGGGCATATCCTGGCCTTTCAGATAAGCATGGTCATATTGAAAAAATGTGCTAACCGTTTTATTTGGAACAGAATATTATACGTTATATTTTTAAGGGGAATTCAGAATTTCTACATAATTATGTATAATTTAGTCATGGTGATGTAAACTGTATCAATCAGAATGGTTTAATATGAAATGGGTCCTTGAAATATGAATATGAAAATATGAAATGGGTCCTATGAAAAGACACTGACTGGGATTTCTTCACAGTCATGGTGATGGGAACCAAGGGCCACAATGTGTACAACACAAATATAGCCATTTTATTTACTATGCAAAATGACCAGTGAACCTACACGAGTCTTCTGAGTATTGTATATGTAATCTTGTTCACGGTAAAATAGAAGTAAGTCTGAAAAAAATAAGATTTGTTGATTTTTGTCTATTTCACACACGCACATATATACACACACACACATATATATATATATATATATATATATATATATATATATATATATATATATATATATATATATATATATATATATTCATTTTTATATATATAGCCAGATATATATATATATATATACATACATACAAATTATTTATATATATATATATATATATAAAATTTGTATGTATGTATGTATGTATGTATGTGTGTGTGTATATATATATATATTAAATTTATAATCTCTCGCTGTTGTTGGAAGAAAACCTTGTATCTCCAAAATGGTAACTTTACGAGACTTCACTTTTAATGTAAGTCAATCTATATCCATTAAACTTTCCAGATGTCTGGTTCCTATCACTACCACTGTGAACAATTCTGGCTATATAAGCTTCTCTGAAATAGTTATGCTGTGAAATTGGTGTAATTCTCCTTTAAATATATATTTTCCCAGCCTTGGTGGTTTATTATTTTTATCTGTTTGTTTTTCAGTCGGGCCAATTCAGCGAAGACATGATTCCAACAGTTGGATTCAACATGAGGAAGGTCACGAAAGGCAATGTCACGATTAAGGTCTGGTTCCTGACGCCGCATCCTGGGGCAGATCTCTCTAGTTTTATAATTGTGATGAGTAAATGAGAACTAACGAGTGATGAAACCGAATGTGTGGTCTAATCTGAGGTATTATTTCTGCTGTGCAGATCTGGGATATAGGCGGGCAGCCCAGGTTTAGGAGCATGTGGGAACGGTACTGCCGAGGGGTCAATGCAATAGTGTGAGTATCAGATGTTCTACCTTAATGCCTGTGTGTATACTGTGTGAAATGCGTTATCGAGTTTAGCAGGGAAAAATATTTATTATTATTATTATTACTGTTTATGTAAAGAGAAGAAAATGATTAACCGTCAGTTTTATGTGAAGTCATATGAAGCCACCCACCATATTGATGACTTACACTAGCAACTGGTTTAAGTAGCCAGCGAAATCATCAGTTGTATCATCATTATTTATGTACTGTATTATTTAAATATACATTAAGTCTATATGGATTATTATTAAGGATTCTCAGGCTGTAGTACACAGTCATGTGCAACAGTTTGAACACCTCTGGTCAAATTACATGTTTTGTTGATCTTCTGAAATAAGTTAACACGTCCTCTACAGAGAACACACTTAAATCTGGCATTTTTCTGCGGATTTTAAAGCACAATTTCTACTTATTTGTTGAGTTTAACATATTGGAAATAATAAAACGCACACGTGTGTGTGTGTGTGTGTGTGTGTGTGTGTGTGTGTGTAAGTGTGCCATGTTTTAGTAATTGTATATTAAAATGTGCAGTGTGTTCTCTACAAAGGATGCATTACCTAATTTTTACTTAAAAACATGCAGTTTGACCAGAGGCGCCCAGACGTTTGCATAAGACTGTATTATGAAGAGTGTTGAGCTGTAGTTGTAATGTTTTATGAACAGAGAGAACTACAGAAGGAGTCGGTCCTATGTGGACTTCCTGTTTTCATTTTAAGCCAGTGTGTGCACCTGTGCCGTTATCTGTAGAGTGTTTCATAAATAAGCTCTGTTTTATTGACCTTCATTTTGTAGGTATAACAGGATTAATCAAGCAAGTCCTGCTTGTACCACTAGCGCTTGCATTAGGCTAAGATAAGATTTCTGCTATTGAGTATTAGTCATCTAATCAGTTGTTATTATTATTCAAATGTTTTATGTTGTTTTGAGTGGACAAAGACACAAGAGCTAAGCAGGTGCTCAGGCCAATAACGCACTAAAGCAGCTGTAACTTAGCAGCATTTAATAAAGCAGGAGACGTTTAGGCCATTTCAGAGGTGTTTTATTAACCATAAACAAGCACCAGAAGTGCATTGCATTACAGCAGTTAATGTAAAACTTTCATTTTTGTTTAACTTACAGTGTTTGAAGAAAAAGACATCACTTTATTAGAAGCCTTTGCTATTGATTAGCTCCACTACCATAATGCTAATTTCTGTTAGGCTATCATTGGGAGTTTTATTGTACAATTAGTGCCAAGCTAAAAGCACTGAGCGCTCACTTTCCTAGGCTGGGTTTAACAGTCCCTGTGCCATATCTTGCATCAACATGGATACTTCTAAGTAATTCAAGTAACATATAACAAACTTTACATGTTGTACTTTTGCAGTGAATGCTTCAACTCTAAGCCTTAATTTCTCTCTCTGTGTGATTTGCCGGTCTCTAAACGCTTACCATCCGCTTGGCTGTATGTCTGCTAAATAAAACAGGCCAGCATGGTCCAGCTCTTGGTTGCAACAGTATAGTATAGGGGTTTGACAATAAACAAAATTCGATTTCATTCGGCACAGTGGAGTCTTAAGGTGGTACATCGTATATGGCCTGTATGGGACGGGCTTGGAGTCAATATGCATAGTTTAAACAGCAATCAGCATAAAGTCGGTAGCTCCAGCGGCAGGATTTGAGAGTTGGAGTCGTGAGTTGCGTTAAGCAGAAGCTCTTGCGCCCTCTTGCGTGTACAATTTCAAAAATGGTAGTCAAATTGAATTGAAAAAACAAATTCAAATATCAGTTGTTTTTCACAGATGAAATTAAGTTTTTAATTTCACTGGTCGAACATTTATGTGTTTGATAGTTAACACTCAATCATTAACATCCCTAATCTGAATTTGTGCCTTGTGTTAATTTGTACCTTTTATGTTGGTGTTAATATGTTAATGTTTGGATGCACACACATTTGGGGCATATTGATGCACATATTTTAACTTTTGGCATGAGTTTTAATTCTAAGGTCAAGATTTGAGTAGTTTTTTTTTATTATTTGTGTATTAAAAACAGCAAAAAAGATTCTACAGAGCTCGTAATTATTACTACACAAGTTGGTTTGGCAGATATAAATAAAAGTTCTCTAATAGAACCTTTCTAAAAGCTAAAAGCCACCCTTCAAAGAAATCCCAAGAATTACGACCCCTAGAATTTATCATTGCCTTGTAAAATGCCTGGTAAGTTGAGCAAGGTTCCATGCATGATATAAGCCCCTCTCCCTCCTTGCCTACTTAGCTTCGATAGGATGCACCCAGATGCCTCGGTGACAGCGGCTTCCATGGAAGAGGCACAGAGGCGTATCAGTGATGGTTTTAGATTTCGAAACACTTTCAAATCAACTTTTTCAGTACGTTTAGTAATCTTTACACCCTTAAGTTTTATCTGGGTGGGAATCGAAAGGTGAACATCCGCTGAGAATTTATTTTTTTTTTTTAAATACTGGTTTATTTCTTTTATCTGAGGTGACTGCTTCCTGTTATCTGCTCTCAACTAGGTCATCAACGTGGCAAAAGTCATGTGACTGACACTTATGGGTAGAGGCACTAGATTTGGAGTTAAATGGTAGAAGGTGTTGGGCGAAAAATATCTCTGTGGAAATGCTGGTTACTTCCTGTTGAGGCATATGACACGTGCTGGTGGGTCATAATGTGTTAAAGAAAAAGCAGAATTATTTAGAGCTAAGATTCCACTGCAGAAATAATACATTGCATACCCGTGTGCCTCAATGTCCTACTCTCTCACCAAAGGTACATGGTGGACGCAGCGGACCGAGACAAAGTAGAAGCCTCCAGAAACGAGCTGCACAACCTGTTAGACAAACCACAGTTACAAGGAATTCCTGTAAGTCCTCACTTCATTCTCAGCACATCACAGCTTCACAACTAAAACATCTGGAAACGCTTTCTCAGACCCAGATTACACTGAGTCCTACACTGAGAGGCTTTTCGGGGGGTGAATTATTGTTCACATTTCAGTTTGGACCAAGCCAAGGCTTTGTGCTTGTCCAGGAGACTGGCTATTAGTAATATCCTGTTTTCTGCTAGGCTATTAAATTTAATGCTGTATTTCAGGTATTGGTACTTGGAAACAAGAGGGATCTACCCAACGCACTGGATGAGAAACAGCTTATTGAAAAAATGTAAGTAACACAGCTGTGTCTGTTTCTACACAGATCTGGATCTAACATTGATTGCATATGTAAAATGTGTCAAAAGAAAATGAGAGTTGTGAGATCTATTTCACGAGTTCTCACAGTTTATTTATATTTGCCTATGTGGAGATTGTTGGAAAGCAAACATAAAATGTAGGTGAGTTTGTGCTGCAATCACATTTATTAACCACGTTTACGTGCAGCCTAATAATCCGTTAATAATCCGTCTAATAGCTCAATCGGAATAGAGTACGTCCATGTATACACCTCAGTCGGAATAGTCTAGTCCGATTGAGGCCATTCGGAATACAGCTTCTGTCCAATTGAACAAGGTGGGTATCCTTGTAAATAATCCGTTAAATAGAAGAATAATAACCATGTAAACGCCTGTATCTGATTACATTCTCAATCTGAAAGTTTAAGTCCGTTCTGATCATGTTCGTCACGTCATAGTGAAAGTTTAGTAGTGAAAGAAACTGGTCTGCAGAGGAGACGAAGTTTATGCTCTGAGCTTTAAAAGACGGCGGTGGGACGGACATCCAGCTTACGTGTCTCAGAACACGACGTCTTCCTCTCGGCCTTCTTTAATAAGTACATGTGAAGCATGTCTGACATCATTTTAAAGTAATTAAAAACACAAATCGTCTCACTCTGACTGGACTCGCGTGATGTTCGCTTTCATGGTAACGTCTACACTAAGCGGTTCTCTAAGCATGCGCATCATTTTGGATCGGATTACTTGTAGTGAGCATGTAAACTGAGTTTTTCCATCAGATTGCTGAGTGGAGTGAACAGATAAACACCTCAGTCTTAAACTATAATCAGAATGTATTTAATCAGATGGGCAAAAATCTGCATGTAAACACAGCCAGTGACAGGTTTATAAGAGATTTTTAAAAGTCAGTTTTTGTTGGTCTTTGCTTTGCTGAGTCACCATGTTTATCAGCTGTTTGAGGTTCCACTGAAGCCCCTTTGCAGAGAGGGAATCCTTTATGATTGTTATAATGATAGTGAGGACAATGAGTCAGAGTACGAAGCCTTTTTTTGCGATGACTCCTCACTTCTTGTCTCACTTGAGTGCTTGTCTCTATCTTTGGCTCAAATTAAGTGTCTCACACAAAGGAATTACTGCCATCTACAGGCCACTGAGAAAGTGACTTTTTTTTGGATGCACACACATGCAAAAGTTTGAACACCCCCAGTCAAATTACATGTTGAGTTTCTAAGTGCCAATAAATTAACATGTAAAATAGAGCAAATTTGGCACATTTAAGTGCACAGAAAGAGTTGGAAATTAGAAAAAAAAAACATAAAATATAAAATGTCATAACTTTTGCACAGGGTACATTTTATGTTTATTTTTTTCCAATACGTTAAATTCAGCAAATATATTGTAATTGTGGATTAAAATGTGTAGAAATTTGTTCTCTGTAGAAAATGTCATTTTTCAAATTAAAAAAACGTAATCAGACCAGGGGTGCCCAAACTTTTGCATACTGTGTGTGTGTTTTTTATATAAATAAAACAATGCAACTCTGCATGTCAGAGTGTGTATCTCTATTTTCATTTATTTTTTTTTCTACACCACTGGAACTTGGCAGCTGTCCTGTCACATTGCCTGTAAATTTAATGATGAATGAACCAATAGAAATAATCCAAAATCAATTTAAATAAAATCCCTTTACATTAAAAGTTAAGAACATCTTTTGCCTTCTGTAAAGTTACTGTTTTGGAGATGCTTTTCTTTGGACAGCTGAAATATTTTACTTTTGTGAATCAGGACCTTTTGTCTTACATGTACGTGAGACTAACGACTGGGAAATGGGAGTGACATTTAAATCCAGAGCAGTGTTGCAATATTAGCCGGTAATATCAGCCACTATCAACGACCCGTGGTATTACTGGTATCTGCGGAAATATTGTTGTAAATGTGCCGATAATTACCTACTTTTTGGTAGCAGTTGGGATTCCATCTCCTGATGATAACGGAACATTTTAGACACTAGTCACTCTTGTGAAACCAATTAGTCAGCCCCTGTTTATCTGTATATCAGAAGTAAACTATGAACTGGTGAATCTGAACACAAAACACCATTATGGCTAGTCTAACAGGAACATGGAAAATGTATCCAGAACTAACCTTTAGCTTGGCAATAACATGTTAACCCCCCCTAATCCTAACCCCCAAACTTTTTGAACTAAAACAAATGAGATAAAAGCTCAAAAGCTCACCACCCTTACAAAACAGACTCTTAATTTGAGCTTATTAAATGTGACCATAGAGAACTGATAATATATATCGCTCAGTAAAGCACTGGAACCTAAAGTAATAGTATAAAATTATCTGCTGATATTATCTCACGCTCTCGCTCATCATCCGCTTATTCTCCTGGGTTGCGGTGGGGTGCTGGAGCCTTTCCCAGCGCTCAGTGGGTGGAAAGCAGAAAACACCCTAGACAGGTGCTGATATTATCAGTTATCAGAATTTTTAGTCCCTTAAAAGTCTCGGTATCGACGTCAGCATTTTCATATCATTCAGACCTGAGTAACCACGCACAAACACGTTGCATTTCCTGCTCTATATAGAGCATTCGTTTGACTTCATACAGCTGTAGTTCAGTTTTTGCTCACTTGACACACAAATATGGTTATGAGCTGACGTCGTAACCGGTGTGATAAAATCTCTCTTTTTGTCAGGAACTTGGCTGCTATTCAGGACAGAGAGATCTGCTGCTACTCCATTTCCTGCAAAGAGAAAGACAACATTGGTAAGCCGTTATGATTGTGGTTAAGATCTAGGCCAACATTTCTTGGCATAAAGCAAAATTTCCCTGAGGTTGTGAGGTTGATTGTGCGGTCCTGACTGCGAACGATCCATTCAGCGCTGTTCTCCCTCTCGCTCCTCCCAGACATCACGCTGCAGTGGCTCATCCAGCACTCGAAAACGCGGAGGAGCTGAAACCGTGGCTTCCTGTGTGTCCCAGCTTTGTCTGCTGCCATGTTACTCGCACCCCATCCTGCTCACTCGGTGAAAACTGTACAGTTGTCCATCCTGCTGTTCCATCACACTACCCTCCCCCCAGTTCTTCACAAGTGGCCCCTTCGCACCCATCCTAACTACCAGTCCATCTTTCAAGCCTGTCGCTACAAGATGTTAGCCTGCAGAACCAGCGCCTCAACCTTCGACACTGCATCTTCAGCAGAGCAGCAGAAGTACCGCCTGCTAAACCAAGAAGCTAAATGGTCTCTCCTCTGTGATGGGGTGTAACAGTCAGTCAGAAACACCAAGACCTGTTCAGCCTTCTTGAGGGTCCCCTCCCGCTCCTCCTTCTCCTCCCCAAAACAATCTTATTTGCGAAACGAAACCCGGGGGAAAATAAAGACTCGATGAAGTTCTGCCTTCCCCCCTCCTAGTATGCCAGGTCTTGGCTCATGTGCGAGTGTAATTATGTATGACTGTTGCTTTCTTTTGCTTCTCTCTTTCTCGTCTTTGGCCAAAATGTTTCCTCCTGAGAAAAACATATGTAATATTTAACTGAAAGGAACGAGTAAATAAGCCAGCAGATAGCTTGACAGGTATGTACAAATGTTGATCAAGTAAGATTTTTACAAAGGTGAGCAGAACTATATTTAAGTGAATGTATGGAAGGTCTAGGTGTAGTTGTTTTCCTTTAACTCAACAATGTCTTTGGATGCTGTTGGTAGGCTGGTCGAGAGAGTGGGCGAAGTTAAAAGTGCCTTGTGCCGTGTATCTCTCTCTCTCCCAAGCTAAACAGTATGCCGGGTGTGCCTGCCTGGAATTTGACGGAAAAAAAAGACGACCTATTAAGAAATTAACGAAATAAAATAGGCATGCTTTTAAGGTAGGTTATTGTACTGTTGTCATTATCAACACAATCTTTGCTTTGACCTCTGCGAAGAGGCAAAAATATTTGAAACCCCACTATTATCAATGCACTTTTGTAAATATAAACCAATAAATAATTGTTGATGTCTAAAAGGAAGCTTCTGCTTGTGGTGGTGTTTTTTTTTCTCAGAACAAGAAATAAATGAACAGGAACTGAATCTAGGTGTATTGAAATTGTTCTAAAGTTCCAATACTTGTATTTGTGTGAAGTAAGCAAGGACTAAGAAGCCCCCATTTCATTAAGTAAGTAGTAGACCGGGGTGTCCAATCTTATCCACAAAAGGCCAGTGTGGCTGCAGGTTTTCACTCCAAACAAGCTGAAGCACACCTGATTCTACTTGTTTAAACAGTTGGTCTTAGTCTTCAAACATTTTATCAGGTGATTTCCTGCTTTGTTGGAGTGAAACCCTGCAGCCCTTTGTGGATAAGATTGGACACCCCTGATGTAGAGCATTATGCCTGAATCCCAAATGCTCATTATCAGCCATACATTACACTACTTAGGTGTATAAGCCATTATCTTATGGTCTTTAGTGCAACGCAACACAAGGGCATTGAAGCAAAATGTAGCTCATCTGGGGATCCCTGACTGGTTTCAAAACCATTGGCATGGGGAGTAGGGAGGTGTTATGTTTTTTGTTTTTTATGTAAGCTCATATAGCACACAGTGCTGTGCATGTGCATGAAGTACTCTCTCCTTAATGAATGTGTGATTAGATTTACTGCATCAGTGGCTTAGCCAGAATCCCATTTTAAGGGGGGCCTGGTTTCAGCTTGGCCAGCTAGGAAGCATTATGTCCCAGAGACAGGCTCACAACCACCAACTAGCCAACTTCATTATAGATACCATGACCAGAGGAAAAAACATCTCTTTTATTTGTTTAAGGTGGAGAAAGGTTGCAAGAAGTGTCTTCAGCTCCATCCTGTATCATAAGAGGCTAATTACATTCTGTAACATTTTCATTGGCATTGGAAGACTTTTTTTGAGAAGTTAGGAATCTAGAGGGGACTGGATTCCAAGTGAGGAGGCTAAGGCCCCATCAGATCTCCACAACAAAGGGGCGTTTTGCTGCTTAACCCTTTGTAATATATCTGGAGACACTCAAGCCTTTTGTAAAACCAGAGAATGTGTGTGTGTGTGTGTGTATATATATATATATATATATATATATATATATATATATATATATATATAATGTAAATCAATGGAACCAGACTTTTTTCCAAGTCATTTTGGGCCATTTGGTCCATTCATCAGGGTATTTTACACACAATGTAAAGGACAATAGGTTTATTTAAATTATGTCAAAAACTGAAAACCAACGAAAATGGAGATACGATGTTTTGTTCCAACACCAGCGATATATATGTGTGTGTGTGTTTGGCTACACATTTGTCCCAGATGGGCAGTGGTCATTAACCCTAGTCACGGAGATCTACCTTTCTAGTTCCAACCACAATTGGCCACATCCACTCCATCTAATGAACTTCTTCAGTTCATTCATTCAATTAGTGTTACATGCAGTCTGGAACTTAACTTTAGGAAAGCAAATCTCCCTGAGGGGGGTTGCTGACCACTGCATTAGGGGATGTCTTGGTTCCAGCGCCCCTAGGGCAGAGGTTCCCAGTCCTGGTTACCCCACACTATGCACATTTTTGTGCCTTGTCTCATTTAGCACACCTGACTAACATCACTAGCTAATTTCCAAAGGCCTTCAGGGCTGTGTCAGGTGTGAAGAGTGCAAAACACAAAAATGTGCAAGAGCATGGAGCCACTAGGACTGGGATTAGAGGCCCCTTCCTTAGGTCACTAACCCTGGTCCTAGAGAAGTGGGGGCAACACCCCCCAAGTAAAAGCTGTAGAACAGCCATGGCAGTGAAACTGCAAGGAATAGTCTGAAAATAGCTGCTACAGTGAAACCGCTTTTAATATGTTAAGCATGCAGGTTCCCACGGCAACCGGAAAAACTGCTGTTTTCTGCAGGTGTTTCATTCACAGGTTCTTTCCTGTCACACAGGGTAAGAGATCTGCTCATAATATTACGACATGAAAGCAGTGCAAAGCGATCACATTATCTACGTAATCATCATAAACATGCAAGCATATGAAAATGATAAATATTTCACATATATAATATGTATAAACAATATAATATGTAATAAATCATTTTACATATGATTCCTGCTCGTACTTCAACATCCTTTCCCCAAATCAGATGAGGACGTATATACAAAATTCTCAATTTACAGAATTTGTTTAACCCAAGTTGGTGCCCCTGGGTTCACTGGTTGTTTTGGGTAGTAAATAAAAAGGCTATGTTTGTGTTGTAGACATGGTGACCCCTGGTTCTTCTCACCACCACTGTAAAGAAGAGTCCTGTATTCTAAATGATCTTATTTACATCTCAACGACTGAAGTAGTATATAAAATTTGGAAAAGTTGGTGGATTTCCCCTTTATTTCACTTTAAAGGAAACTAGGGCTCTACTAGATTTGAGACGCGCCCGAAGTCACTGGGGCCCCTAGAGGCGTAAAACCACTTGTGCCTCTCTGATTGGTCGGTGTTGCTTTAACGTGCAGCGCGCCACGCCACCTGACCCGCACGCGTGACCGACGGCGGCGCGAGCCTATAGCCGTCTCCCTGGCGACGGTGACGACCAATCAGAGCGGAGAGCCGAGGAGGGGTTTGTTGACGAGTGAAAACAGAGAGGAAGAAGAAAGAGAGAGGGCGAGTCAGCGCTGGAGATCTCCGCGTTTTCGCGTTTTGTTTTTGTTTTGTGCGCTTCGAAAAACGTCGTCAACCCGAATGATGACTTTTACGGCCCTCGGCGAGCAAAGATGCAATGGCGGTCGATAGTAGTGGGTCTTCTGGTGCTACGCTTGGCCCTCAACTGCGTCCTGTGGCTCGCCTTCGGACTGGGACCCAGCTGGGGCTTCAACTTCCCGATCCAGTTCAGCTTCAACTTGCCCAGAGCAGAGCCTGAGCCCGGGCATGGAGGCGCGGCGGCAGCGCGGCACCCCGGCTGGTCGCGGCGGCTGTACGAGCACGGAGAGAGGACCTGCTCCAAAATCAGCGCCAACACGCCGAAGAGGTCCTACCTCAGCTTCTTCAAGGAGGGCAGAGACGAGTACGATAGGAAGTACAGCTCCTTCCCAGACGCGCTCAAAGTCGAGATGAGGAGGATGGCCAAAGACATGTTCTACTTCGGATACGACAACTACATGAAATACGCCTTTCCAGAGGACGAACTCAACCCCATCGACTGCGAGGGCAGAGGACCAGACGTCCTCAACCCGTACGCTTCTAACTTTACTTCTCTTTAGCTTAGCTAACTGGACTTAGAGATGGGCGATATGGAAACCACATTCAAATATCGCGATACTTTAGGAACGTCTTCGCGATACATGATGTCACGGTATTTTGTTTTTGAGGCTTAGTAAGTTAATAAGAACAGAAAAAAGTAACCTAAGGTGACAAATAATGAAAAAAAGCTATTAAAATCAATGAATACAAATTTGTACTCATAGTTTTTGACAGTGTTTTTAAAACGATTTAATTGTTGATTATTAATTACTGTCTTTATTCAGCATCTCACTTACTGTGCTGCACAATATCCAAATAAACAGTAGTTTTTTTTTTTTTAAGGTAGTTCGGTCAGTGTTCTTAAAGGGAAAGTCCACTAATTTTTCCACATTTTTTGTCTTATTCAGTGGACGAGTTGTAAACAAAGACATTCAGAGTGGTTTAAATTGTGGAGACTCTTTACAGTGGTGGTGATAGGAACCAGGGGTGGTCATGACTACAACACCAATATAGCCTTTTTATTTACTTTCCAAAACCACCAGTGAACCTACACAAGTCTTCTGAGTTTTTATATGTAATGCTGATGATGGTTAAATAGTGGAAAATCTGAAAAAGAAAGTTTTCTTTGGGCACTGTTTTGCCTTACAGCACCTGCATGTATCCCTTTGCCCTGAATGGCCTAAAATAAATAGATTAACAAGACCATATCTGTGTCACAAAACTGTCAGAAAACAACATCTCAGACTTCAGGCCGCGTATTCATAACCATTCCATGTAATAACTTTCTGTGAGTCTAATATCACCCCTCAAACACTGTTATTCAGAGCCAGCTAACGTACCTCAGCTTCATTCGTCTGTAAATGATAGCTAGCTTCTGAAAATAAGTAACCATAAGTGACCCTTCAGTGTTGTTGTTTACGTGTCTACAAAGCCACAGTAACAGTGGGTTATAAGTGAGCTGATTCCTAAGTATGAGCTGATCATATTGTCTTGTGTAGACAGAATCCATACCACAGTTACTGCAGTGAAGTAATGAATCAAGCAGAAATATCTCATAGAACTTCCTTGGACCTTCTTAGTACATCCCACATCTATCAGTCAGCAAATGAACTGAAGTTTGGCTCTATTTCTCTCTTTTTTTGTCTAAAATAAAATAATAAACATCCAAAGTGAGAAGCCTGACCAATCACAAAGCGGTACAAGAGCTGAACCGACCCAAAAAAAAGGAGAATTAGCAGCTAGGGATGCACCAGTATGGAAACTGAGCCGATGGCAATATCCGATATGTGTCCTGAAACCTCATATCTGCTGATGGTGATACATAAATCTTTTTATAAAATGTTGGAATTGGGACCTGAATTAGAATTTCCCAGAAATGTAACGTTTATTTAGGGTTACAAATGCAGTAAAGTGAAGAACATGCAGATATTTTAGCATAATAACCCAGTGTTGCGTAAACATTCTGCTCTTCCAGAGCACAATAAATACACCAAATATCAGTCAAATGTAAACATTTGTGATTTTTTTTTTTTTTTCTAAGAGAATATCTGCTGACATCAATATGATTCTAATATCACTATGCATCCATGTTTTTTCTCCAGGTATCAACATGGACTTTTGTTTCTAGCAGTATCTGAGCTCAGGAGCAGCTTTCTCTCTAACCTATTTGTAACTAGCAAAGATACTTTCTGTAGATGGACAAAGCACTTTTTGTAAGTCGCTCTGGATAAGAGCGTCTGCTAAATGCTGTAAATGTAAAACTAAAGGTTAATGACATTCATTTAGTATTATCATTAAAAAACACTCAGGAAAGTACTAGAGATTGAAAAGTACCACTTTTTCTTTTCTGATACCAGTAATGAAACCTTAAATTCGGACTGACACCATTACTGTTCCATTATTTTTTTTGTTTAAAAGCTACTAAGCATCTAAAAGTAGGCTATCGTACTCAAACTGCTCAAACACTAAGAGTTACACAGGATTGGATCACATTCATTCTTTTTTTCCTTCCGATATCCAGTATTAGTATTTCCTGCTGACATCGGCCTGATACTGAGACCTCAGAACAGCCTAAATTGTGGATTAATGCACTTGAAAAGCTGAACATGTTGCTATGGGTCGTCTCAATGAAGCAGGGTTTTAGTGCCAGACTTAGGAATATGTCAGTTTTGTAGTTACAAAAGAAGAGAAAAGCAAGTCTGAGGGAGGTGGTTGTCACCTCATCTGTTTGAATATCCACTCATGTCTAATCCTTTCATTCCAGGTCAAACATCAACATCAACGACGTGCTTGGAAACTACTCCCTGACGCTTATTGACACTCTTGATACTCTTTTGGTAAGCTGCACATATGAAGTAACGTGACATATTAGTCCCAGAGGTCTGCAGTTACTTGTTTTAAAGGTCAATTCCACCAATCGTCTCATAATTTCTGCACATCTTAGTTGTTAACGTGTAACCAAAGTCATCCACAGTGGTTTGATGTCTCCACTGCAGAGGAGCTTGGAGTCAGAATTGTTCAAAGTGGTTGTGATGAGTTTAAATGCCTTTGAGATTTTAAGAAATGGTTATGAATGATGCCTGATGTCTGAGACAGAGTTTTTTGATAGTTTTGAGAGAAGATTTTGGCCTAAAACCTACTTTTTCCATTTATGGTGGAGATGTACATGCAGGGCATTTTAAGGCAAAGTAGTACCAAAAGAAAGTTTTGGGTTTTCACTAGTTTACCATCATTGGGGCAGTCATGGGCTGGAGGTTAGGGAACCAGCTTTGATCCCCTGAGCTGACAGGACAAGACTGAAGTGCCCTTGAGCAAGGCACCTAACCCCCAGCTGCTCCTCGGGCGCTCTGGATAGGGCTGCCCTCCTCCCTGGGCAAGTGTGCTCACTGCCCCTGTGTGTGTGCATTCACTAGTGTGTATGTGGGTGTTTCACTGCACAGATGGGTTAAATCTGGAGGTGAATTTCCCTGTTGTGGGATTAATACAGGATAACTTCTTATTAGTAACTTATGAACATTATGTTTAAAAACTCGGACAGGTCTTGCAGGTTCACTAGTCATTTTGGATAGTAAATAAAATGGCTGCCTTTGTGTTGTAGACATTATGACCCCTGGTTCCTATCACCGCCACTGTAAAGAAATAGCTCAGTAATAAGTGAACCATTTCACGTTGAAACACTGAATGACTTTGTTTACATCTCAACCATTAAATCTGGTGGTATTCTCGTTTGAATCATAGGGTGTTGATGGACCTATATTACAAACTGAGTTCATCTCAGTGCAGAATTTCAGTTCAGTTGTGAAGTCATATTACACATCCACTGTTGTTTTGGTGTTTGGGAGTAATTGTGGCGAGTAATTAAAGTTTACTGTGCTGCAAAATTGGAACTGCAAAACAGTTTAGTTATATGTGTCTTAACCTGTACTTATGAAGTCATTTCTTCAAGACACTATGAGCCAGTGTGTTTCACAGGCGCAATAATACGGGAAGAATGACTCTTGATAGTTCCATCCAAGTGTGAGCCATGAAACATTAAAAGAGTTATGCATGAAGTTGTATATTACTGCACTTACTGGCAGGATGTGATGCAGTCAGGTGAAACTGAAGATGAACTTATGTATTGGTTTTTCTGCAGGTGCTTGGAAATGTGTCAGAGTTTCATCGGGCTGTTAAGCTGGTGATTGACACCGTCTCCTTTGACAAGGATTCGACCGTACAAGTGTTTGAGGCCAACATCAGGTGCAGCATTCTTTAAAATCTTTAGAAACTCTTTGTGGATCACTTCGTGGATGTTCTTTGCTTTTTTTACAGTCTGCTGTGCTTCAGGCAGTTCCCAGATTTAAAGGGTACATATCATGGGAAGCCAAATTTTCCTCTGTTTTTAGGGAAAAAGAGTTTGATGTAGTATAAACACTGTTAAAATTTCAAAGGATACCATTCATTCCCCGTTCCTAGGCTGCATGAATAGCAATTCATAATATTTGTGATGTCATGAAAAACAAAATCATTTACACACATGCCTACTTCAGTGTAGCTCTGCCCTTTCAAGCTGAAGTTATAAGGGGTGTTTCATCTCCTTTTGAGTGAGACACAATACAGGGCAACTAATCAGAACAGAACTCATTTCCATATATCAGACTTAAAGGCACAGTAACAAAAACAGCCATTCTAATTTTCATTCTAAGAGATCAAAAAATGGGCATGTAAAAATGATTTAAGACTATTTTTGGTACGTAAAACCTCACAGGTGGACCTAATGAGTAAAAAATAAAATGCAATAAAATGTGAGACATGGGCCCTTCAAGCTTGAATAGCAGAAATCAGGTTTCTGGCACTTCTAGAAAATGCCTGAGGCTCCTTCAGGTATGCAGCAAAGCAGAATAAACCTTGTCCAAAAGTCTTTAGACACCCATCCAGCATTTCTTCGGAAATCAAGGGAATTAATAGGGAAGTTGTTCCTCCTTTGCTGCAGTAACAGTCTCAACTCTTCTGGGAAGGCTTTACACTAGATGCTGAAACATTGCTGTAAGGATTTGATTGGATTCAGCCACATGAGCATTAGTGAGGTCAGGTCCTAATGTTAGATGATCAGTTGTTCCGGATCACAAATGTGACTCCAGCACATCCCAAAGGTATTGGATGGAGCTCCATCACTCTAAAGAATGCTCCACAGCCCAATGTTAAGGGGCTTTAGACCCCTCTAGTTGACAGGTGTAATTTATAACACAGGGCAAAACTGGTTTGTGGTCTCCTTTTTGTTTTTAAACCTGCTCCTGAGGAAAACTTAGACTAGTTCCATCATAGACGGTTGCTGTGAGACGCTTGCATATTTGAATCAGAATCAGAACTTATAAGGAATGTGATTTGGCAGTTGCTCGCATTAAAACAGGCACTGCAACAAGGAAAAATTGCATGTGTTTTGTAAGTACTGGTCTAAATCTTCCAGCAAATCCTGATTGTGGCTTTTTATGAAGTGATAAATGAATTGTGGCCAGCTTTGAAGACTGTTAACTTGAATTCTTTTCTCCTGCTCCCTGTAGAATCCTCGGCAGTCTGATCTCTGCACATATTCTTCTGACTGATCCTCGGCACCCCTTTGGAGACATAGAGCTGGAAGATTATGATAATGAGCTGCTGCATCTGGCTCATGACCTGGCAGTCCGGCTGCTGCCTGCCTTTGAGAACACCGGCACCGGCATCCCGTACCCCAGGGTCAGTCCCCGTTTAAATACATGCGTCTCATATTGCACATACGTTATTGTATTGTGAAGTTGTCAGGGGAGAGCTGTGCACATAGGTGATGATGTATGCATGGGCAGAGCCTTGGTCTTCTTTACACAAGGGATGCACGATATATCAGAATCATATCAGTATTAGCAGATATTTTTTTTCATATTTGTGTTGATGACATTCCTTATCTGTACTTTATTTCTCTCCTCTCTTTATTCTGATTATTGCTACAGTGTGCTGACTACATCATTTATCAGTGTGTACTATATATTCAGTATATCCTGATGAGAGTAATGTCATATAGGTATTTAGTAGCCATGATTTTTGTCTGATGTTTCTTCTTTTGCTTGAGTTGAGCTGTTGTTTATTAGGTTTATCTTATTACAATCTAAGCAAATGTTCTACTTACTTGTTTTTTCACTTTTAAATGGTGAAATAACTTCTTTATATCTTTGTTTACAGGTGAATCTGAAGAGTGGCGTGCCTCCTGACAGCATTAATGAGACCTGTACAGCAGGGGCTGGCTCTCTGCTGGTGGAATTCGGCATCCTCAGCCGTCTGATTGGTGACTCTACGTTTGAATGGGTGGCCAGGAGGGCTGTCCGAGCTCTCTGGAACCTAAGGAGCAATGAGACAGGGCTGCTAGGTAAAGCACCCTTCCCTTTCTCTCTTAACATTGCAGATGGTTATGTTTTGAGCTTCCTTCTAATGCAGATATGCCTGATCGCTGTATATAACATTATGACCACCTCATTGTTTCTACGCTCATTGTCCATTTTATCAGCTCCACTTACTATATAGGTGCACTTTGTAGTTCTACAGTTACAGACTGTAGTCCATCTGTTTCTCTGCATACTTTTTTAGCCCCCTTTTACGCTGTTCTTCAGCGGTCACAGGACGCTGCCCACAGGATGCTGTTGGCTGGGTATTTTTGGTTGGTGGACTATTCTCAGTCCAGCAGTGACACTGAGGCGGTTAAAAACTCTAGCAGCACTGCTGTGTCTGATCCACTCAGTGCACCGATCACCAGCACAACACACACTAACACACCACCACCATGTCAGTGTTACTGCAGTGCTGAGAATGATCCACCACCCAAATAGTACCTGCTCTGTGAGGGTCCATGGGGGTCCTGACCACTGAAGAACAGGGTAAAAGGGGGCTAACAAAGTATGCAGAGAAACAGATGGACTACAGTCTGTGCAATGAGCGTAGAAACAAGGAGGTGGTCATAATGTTATGCCTGATCAGTGTATGTAATCTTTTTAACATATTGCAGTGCATTCAATGTATGATTTTAAATATGTTTACAAGATATTGCAGTATTACATTTTCTTCTGAACATGCCTGCATTTCAGGGAATGTGGTGAACATCCAGACGGGTCAGTGGGTGGGGAAGCAGAGCGGTCTGGGCGCTGGTATGGACTCTTTCTACGAGTACCTGCTGAAGTCCTACATCCTTTTTGGAGAGAAAGAGGACTACAGGATGTTTAAGGCTGCTTACGAGAGCATCCAGAGCCACCTGAGGAGAGGGTACGTGATTGCTTGTGTTAGGGGGTTTATTAGTCGATTAGTCATCATTACCATTTAAAAAACAAAAAGTGGGTGATTCAGAAGTCAGTGAAACATATACTGTTAGTGGCTTGCTAATGGGCTCGGCTGGCAGATGCTGCAGTTTAAGGTGTAAGATATGCACTGCAAAAGAGTTTTTTTTTATTTTTTATGGACTACATTTAGTTTCAGCCTCAGGTACTGTTCCTACAAAAGTACACAGTCTGAACTGCAGGCTAAAATCACCACAACTCTCAGAATCTCGCCTCGCACTGAGAACTGAAACTGGCTCTGGCTGTCCATGCTTCCGTCAACTGGCTACATCAGTCTTGACTGTAGCAAGCAGGTGTTTAGACAAACCTTCCAGAGCGAGATACAGTTGCTGAGCCAGAGAACATTCGCGCAGTCCTGTTTTAAGAAGTTATTCTTACACTTTGTTTGAAACCATAGGTAGGTAGGTGGGTAGCAAGTTTGCCATGCATTTGCTGACCACTACTCCACTTTATCAGATTTATAACATCACTGTAGTGTTGTGTTTTGCACGCCAGTGGATTAGCCCTTTTCTGTCAGAGTCGGCGAATCTTGAAAACCCACCCAGTCTGGCTTATGAGTCTGTATAACAGCTCAATTTTACACAGTATGCAGTAAAAATTGATTATTGATGGTTTAGTATTTCCACACTAATAAACTACAGTGCCCGCCACAAATATGGGCACACCTGGTAAACGTAAGTCAAAAGTAAATCTTATCATGAAATTAATATTTTTCTCAAATGTATGTGTGCCACAAGTGTTGGCACCGTTTCGTTTAATACTTTGTACAGCCTCCCTATTCAAAGACAATAGCACTTTTATAATGCTTAATGAGACCAGCGAACACATGGAAAAGGTCTTTGGTGTATTCTCTAGTCTTTCTCTTAGTGATGGAAGACTACTGAATTTGGCCTGTGTCTCACCTCATATTTATCCCCCAGTAAAACAGGAAATCATGGATGACCATTGAAGTGTTCCTACACTCAAGCGAACTTTAAAACATAAAACATGAAAGGGAGGTTTAGATTTTATTCAGAAATATCTAGGGGTGCCAACAGTTGAGCCCTTGCACTGAAAAACAGTATATGTGACTTTTTGTAAAAATCATATAAGATTCTATGGCATTGTTTGATGTCTTTTAAAATAAAGTGGTCACTAAACAGATAAATAAAGCATAATTTGGTTTTTTAATGTGAAAAGTGGTACAAAATGACAACATAACAGATAATGCAATTATATCTGGGTGGAATTATTAATATTTGGTTTTTCATTGGAGGGACTTAGTTATGGCACACAGCATACATAGACTTTTGTTAATATGTTGACTGAAAGATCAAAAGAATGAGCAATAAAGTTTTACAGCCTGTTTTGCTCATGTTTACCAGGGGTGTCAATATTTGTAGAGGGCAAATATTGTACTTTGGGCTTTATGTTAGCACAAAAGCTGGTCTCTGGTCGCTCCTCCAGCCTGTTCACTGCTGTTTTACCCCTGCTGTATTTCAAGCACTGTCCTCATGTAGTCAATTGTTGACCAAAGCACCACCTAGTGGATTTATTATTCAACTAGTCGACTAGTCTGTACAGCCTCTGGCTTGTGTGAATCTATGCAGACGTGTTGTATGGTGGCAGTAGAGAGCCTAAGAAAGTAGGTGTGTAGCTGTGTGTACCTGTTTGTGTTTTGACTGTATGTGTCTTTATATGTCTTCTACAGGAGAGAGGCTTGTAATGAAGGAGAAGGGGACCCTCCCCTCTATGTAAATGTCAACATGTTTAATGGACAGATCATGAACACTTGGATTGATTCTCTTCAGGCATTCTTTCCTGGCCTGCAGGTATGTCATCCTGTCTGTCTGTATAGTACAGTGTCCAGCCTGCGGTCTATCCCTGGAACCCGACTAAAGAGTCAGGAGACTGCTTTTAGTTATTGAGCCCTTCCCTTCCAGGTCGTTTGAGATCAGTTGATACACTCAGCATTTTTAAAAAGAAAATCAGTACTTTTTTGTTTATTAGTGCTTTTAACTAGGATTTGCTCTTTTTTTAGCTTTTTAACTAGGATCTATTGTTATTTGTATAGCCCTCATGCTAAATGGATCCAAAGGTGTGTTTTTTTTTTTTTTTTTTTTTGTAATCATTCATAGATTATTGTTTCAGTGGAGTAAAAAAAAATCAAGGATGCAGTCTTTTTATTATCATATATTATTATGTTTTTAGAATTTATTAAGTGCATATGTAAATCCAATATTATTCTTTTTTTGTTATTTTTATTTTTATGGCTTTGCTTTTTATATTTATGTTAATTGTTATTCCTGTTTTGGATTGTTTGCACTACAAAGCACTTTGCAAGCTTGTTTTGAAAAGTACTGTATAAATATAGTTTATTATTTGTTTCATTATTATTATTATTAGTAGTAGTAGTAGTAGTAGTAGTAGTAGTAGTGTTATTATTATCATTATTATTATTATTATTATCATCATCATCATCATCCACTGACACTAGTTAGATTACATCAATAGCCAATTCAGTAGTAGTTTCCTGTTCTGCACACAACAAACAAATGAGTCAGTTAAGGTGATTTCTTTTGTGCTTGCAATGCAAATCTTTGTGGTCACTGCCACGAACGTCTGTTTCGTTTCTAACAAGCGCTTTTACAGTCATTTACAGACACCTGCTGTTGCGCTGTTCTCATCAGAGCTGTGGTTCTGTCTTTTTTGCTTTGGTGACCTTTTCAAGTTGTTCTGCTCTCCTGTTCTCAGGTTTTAAATGGAGATGTGGAGAACGCTATTTGCCTGCATGCCTTCTACTATGCAATCTGGAGGCGCTTTGGGGCGCTGCCAGAAAGGTACAACTGGCAGCTGCAGGCCCCCGACGTGCTCTTTTACCCTTTAAGACCTGAGCTGGTGGAATCCACATACCTGCTCTATCAGGTACACATACTTTCTCTCACTGTCTCTTTGCTGGTCTGTCTTACAGTCTGTTAAATGTGTTCATTTTACTCTTTACTTTTTTTCTTAGGCCACCAAGAATCCCTTCTATCTACATGTTGGCATGGATATCCTTCAGAGCCTTGAAAAGAATACCAAAGTCAAGTAGGGATTTACTTAAAGGGGTTTCAGGATGTCCTGGAATCCAGTTATCTTAATGATCCAGATGTCTTTTGTATGTTTACACATGAATGTTGATTGCAGATGTGGCTATGCCACCCTCCATCATGTGGTGGACAAGTCCAAAGAGGACCGCATGGAGAGTTTCTTCCTCAGTGAGACCTGCAAATACCTTTACCTGGTATGTGCTGCTCTCCACTGCTATATTCTTATTTTTGTGTAACTTCATCTTTGCCTCAAAGGAAGATCCTTGTTCGCAATATGATATAGTTTCATTGTTACAAGCTGTGTCTGTTGGAAACAATTCTCAGTTATCTGACAATTTCTGATTAAACGTCAGCAGTGTTCAAATTACAGCTGAACCAAATGGTATTTAAATGCACTGTGTACACACACCATAATCACAATATTTGGTTGAATATCAAGGTATGAACAAAGGTGCAGTTGATGCGGTATTTTATGCTTTAAGTATAGACACCAGATGCTGCTATGTGTCTCAGAAATGCAGGTCCAGAGCAGTGAGAGACTGAACCATTTTTACAGGTGGTCACAATGAGTCTGTACAGTCAGTAAATGTGTTTTTTTGTTTATACACTTCTGTTATTGGCCAGCAGTGTTGATACCCTGAAACTAGGGATGCACCAAACATGATTTTTAAAAAATTTTTTCCCTTTGATTTTTAACCCTTAGCTCACACTGAATGGGCTAAATGTACACACAAAACTCACTTGTACTTTGTAGTACTTTCCGCTAAAAACCACAACATAAATAACATTTATTTGCTCTTGAATGAGACAAACTGCTAATTTAAATTTGTAAATGGAAAAAACAGTTGCAGTTGCTTTGAAGTACAAGAAGATACGCTTAAATATGCTATGAGAATTCAGTGTAGATGTAGCAGCAACAGCATTCAAATACAGCATGTGTGCAGTGTCCTGCCTCACACTGTTTACATCATAAAACTGACACAGATCTGCCTAAATACAAATAATAAATTGGCCGGTTGTGTGTTTGGAGCAAAAATCTGTCATCTCCAAAAACCATACCATCAGAAAGGTAGTGAGTCAGGACTCTTTAGTGTTGTGTGTCTCTCTGACTGTTTATTAGCATGTTTTGGCTTCTGTTTTCTGCAGCTCTTTGATGAAGACAACCCACTACATCAATCTGGGAGTAGGTACATTTTTACCACGGAGGGCCACGTGGTGCCTATAGACCCACGCTTTAGGGAGAAAACCTGGGAGGAGCAGTTCCCATATGAGGAGCCCACCAAGGAGCCTCCAGCCAACATCAGCAATGTAAGAGCACAAATTCAAAAGAACAACAACAAAAAAAGCATAGTGTGCCGATATATTCTTTATATAGATGATTGCTTGTGAAATAGTGGGTAAACCTACAGTGCGTTTCAGCGCATACATTAGTACTATTACAGTGTAATTACAAGTTTTGGAATGCCTGCAAAAAAGACTCTAAAATGTTGCTGTAGATCTAAAAACAAACATTTTGATTAAGAAAAGGGAAGCAAATTTTGCAATTTTGAAAATCCAGTATAACATGTAGATATGTCTCTTATAGTGTGAACGCATCCCTGAGGAGCGACGCTATGCTCTACCTCTGAAGAGCATGTACATGAGACAGATTGACCACATGGTGGGCCTTTCCTGACCTCAGCGCTGCCTCCTGTAGGCTCAGATGCCTCAACACTAAACCCCCTGGAGGGACTCAGCAGCATGGATCTCCAAACTGAGAATTTTTTTTTTATGTTTCTTTTTTTTGTTATTGTTTATTTTGCACAAGGAGCTGTGTCCTTCAGTGAACCTCGCATTTAGGACACATTTAACAAAGCACTGGTGTCGGCTCTTTCCGGGGGTGATGGGTTGGTCTGGTTGTTTGGCGTTGCTGCATTCGGGGCCGGTTTGTATTACAGGGAGAACGTTCAGTGGAGGAGGTGCAAATGCTAGTGATGCTAGCGGTGAATGAATAGATGATACCACTGAGCCCTGTAGGTTTCATTCACTCTGTCACTTTAACATCCCTTTGAAGGGGAATTCCACCGATGTTTCAGAATTTCTGCATAACTCAGTTACTGAGACGTAAACAAAGTCATTCAGAGTGGTTTGACGAGAATCTGTTTGTTGTTGAGGAACTTAGCGGTCAGAATTGTTCACAGTGGTGGTGATGGGAAGCAGAAGCAGCAAATGCCTCTTAAAGCTTTCGCATGTAAAGGTGTTGTTCTATAGAGTGCACATTGCATCAAAACACTGCATTGCAGAGAAACTTGCCTTCCTGTGAGAAAGCTTTTACTGGCATTAAACGCTTTAGACGGCTGGTTCCCGTCACCACCACTGCGAACGAGTGTGACGTGCTAAGTGTTTTTCCATATTATTGGTATGAAATCTTTAATTCTGTTTATACTTTAATAATGTTTCAGTGCCGTTTTCGGAATTCATAAAAGGGCTGTGTATAAATGTATTGAGATGGCATGTATTGCTCCATCTTAAGGAACTAGTTTTAGCCTGAGCTTCCTCTTCAAGTTTGTACCGTCTGCCTTCCAGGAATATGGACTTTTTGCGGTGAATCAAACTGTTTACAGTACATTCATTCTCTTGGCAATACCTTCTCTTTAAATGTTAGCGTTCATTTTTTATCTTATGTCATAGTGCCGTGCCCAGTACAGACGAGATTCCAACATGCTTTCTCCTCCCTGCAGTCGAGTAAGAGTGCAGCTTTAATCATAGCACTTCTCATTGCCTTGTTTCTTGTTTTTGTCGCTGTTGTCGGAAGAAAACCTCGTATCTCCAAAATTGTAATTTTACAGAAGAAGGAAAAAACCTACTTTACTTTCAATGTAAGTCAATGGAACCAGACTTTTTTTCCAAGTCATTTTTGGCTGTTTCTTTTGGTCCATTCATCATGAAATTTATACACAATGTAAAGGAAAACAGGCATTTTCAAATTGTCAAAATCTGAAAAATGACAAAAATGGAGATACAAGGTTTTGTCCCAGAAGCAGCGATTTGACAGTCTAAGAAGATTATAGAGGCGTAGACATCTACAATGATGCAAGTGGCATCGTATTAAAGTGTTTCATTTTTAGGTGCTCTTATTAAAGGGGAATTCCACCAATTTTTCAAAATTTCAAGATTCTAGAGGCGTAGACATCTAAAATGATGCAGGTGGCATCGTATTAAAGTGTTTCATTTTTAGGTGCTCTTATTAAAGGGGAATTCCACCAATTTTTCAAAATTTCAAAATGCAGTTAAAATGTATGTAAAAATGTAAGTTGCTGAGATGTAAACAGTCATTCAGAGTGATTTGATATGAAATGGTTCATTGTAGAGAGACTTACTGACTCAGATCTCTTTACAGTGGTGCTGATAGGAACCAGAGGTTCAATGTATACAGCGCAGATATACTCATAATGTAAATGTTGGTAATGGTAAATTTGATAAATCTGAAAAAATGTTTTCTTTGAGAACTATTTTGCATTAGAACTGCCTGCATGTACCTCTGCACCATGATTGGATTTAAAAATAGATTTTAGGCCAAAACCTTGTCTCAAACCTATCACAAAACAATGCCTCTACACCAGACACCACATTTTTAACCATTTCATGTCATAACTTTATATGATTTAGCTTTTAGAGGCGTTAAACTCTTCAGATGTCTGGTTCTCATCACCACCACTACGAACAATTCTGACACGATAAGTTTCTCTAGAATGGAGCATTTCACACCAAACCACTCTGAATGACTTTTTATTCATCTTAATGATTGAGTTATGCTGAAATTTAGAAAAATCAGTGGAATTCCCCTTTAATGGTTGTGGAGTCGCTGCATTCGAGGGGCCATGTAGGCTTTAAATACTCTAATTACTTTTTATTTTTTTAATTTAAAGTCTGTGCCTTATACATCTACAGGTTTCTGGATAGTCCTCAGGATCAACTACACAAGGTTTTTTAAACATGGAAACTGTGTGTACTGACCACCAAGTTCTTGTTAAGTCTGTGAGGTTCATACTGATGTGTGATCTGTGAACAAAGCCATAAAAAGGGATCGTAGTATTCATAAGGGGCTGTCGATCAAAATTAGTGTAGAGGATTCCACCTCTCTAGATTGTCCTTTGTCTTGGATATACAGTAAGTTGTCTGCCGTTGGGGGTAGTATTTATCCGTGATTGTGGAATTTGGGTAGTTGATTCTTACTTGTTGATTTCATTGTAATGATTCCAGGGCTGTCATTTAAAAACAGTGTGAAGGATTATACTTGCGAGGTTGCAAGTCTGATTGATTAAACATGCTTTTTTTTGCTTGCACATTTGAGCGTTTCTTGAAATTGTTGTGTAACCTTGACTTCTGTTAAAGGAGAGGTTTGACTGAAAATTATATTGGCATGTTTTCCACTTACTCAGATGCTGTTAATCAGCCAAACCATGTTTGATATCCAAATTTTGCTTCTTTTGTTTAGCATTGGTGCTGTGAGGCTAATATTAGCAAACGAACACTAGAAGTCAGTCGTCACCCAAACCTTTTCATAAATTCATCCCCAAAACGGCATCCAAATCTTAAATAAGGTCATGCAGAATTGTCAGTGTGATTTAGGACACAGCATGACAGCATTTAGCTACACAGTGAAGTTTTGTTTATTTTTATAGTTCACAGCAGGATTAGACTAATATAAAACATGCTCTGGCTAATCAGGCCACTAACCCAGTGAATCTTGTGGCGAGAATTGTACATTTCCAGCCACAATAGTAGAAAAATGTTTATTATATGGATCATACATTAACAAGCATGCATTAATACCAAAAAACACTCGGGTGTTGCTTTGAAAAACAAAATACTTAGTAAAAACTTTAATGTGTTGCTGGTGTGCAACCCAGTAACACCAGCTTATTTGTGGTGACCGTGGTTATGCCGTTAGCCATTGCATTGGTGACAGTTTGCACATTCTGACAAAATCTGATTTGGTGCAGTTAGTTTCATGTCCAACCAAACAGGTTTGTTAGAAGGGAAAAAGGAGTACAAACAAAATCCAAGGCAAGTGGCTACTCTGGACAGAGGCTCTGCATTTTTAGGTGCCAAAATGTGAAATGTTGTGGCCAAGGGTACCAGGTAGTGTCTACCCCTAATCCACAGTGTTATATTGTGTCATAAACCACATTGAAAAGTTTGTGTGACCTTAATAAAAAAAAAAAACCTGAATGCAGGTTGAGCAGGTTGAGAGACGTTTTGGTGACACATTTATGGAAAAGATTTCGGTGACTATTGACGTAGCAAGAAGCAAAATCTGGATGGCAAACAAGTCTTGGCAGATTGACTACATCTAGCAGAAGTGGAAAATTGTGGAAATGGTTTAGTTTTTCCATCCAGTAGACTTTTATTAATGGCAGCAGTTCTTCATTTAAAAACAGGACCAGGTACTTTTTCAGAATGAGACGTTTTCATTGAAGCGTCTTATTTGAATGAGTTCATATTAGCACATGCTCTTGATGGCTGCTAACCTGAAGTTGCATTATTGGGTTAAATACGGAACCAAACAATCTGCCTTAATTAGAATGGGAAGAAGTGTAATGTGATCCATTTCATGAACAGGTTCTGAACTTTGTTTGCTCTGATGGTTTATTACAATAGTCAAGTGACAAAAAAGGAAAAATTGGAAATTTAAAGAGAGAATATTTAACTTAGCTTTTCATTTTTTTCTCGCATCAGAGAGGAGACTCAGGGATAATCTTAGATAATCTTCTTCCTTACAGACCTGATTATACCACAGTAGTAGCCGAAGGTATAATAAGTGAAAAGCTCCAACACACTTTAGCTTTGCATGCTGAAGAATAATTCTTTGTTGAAGCTGTTGTGCCACAAATATCTGGGGATCAAAGTAATCTGTGACATTACATGTAAAGATTTTATGATTACTCAAAAATAAACTCAGATTGTTTGTACCTGTTTGTTTTTGTGTCAAACTGATTTTATTGAAGTGATGGATTTCACTTTTAGGTAACACTGAATATGTACTTTAAACCACTATAAAATCTAGAATTATTTAATCTTGAATAGTAATTGTCTGAAGAGGAGACATCTGCTTATTCTTTATGTATGATAATGTACAACTGCTCTTTTTTATTATAATTAACATTAACAAGTTAACTGCTAGTAAACCAGCTCGATATTAGTGGGATTTCAGTATGTGTCTTGCTTTGCATTGTCATGTTTTTCATAGCTGGACCTTCCAGCGGGCCAGCCTACAAGACAGACAGTTACACTGCATTTACATTGATCCAGCATGTCAACGCGCCGCAGCATATTCTATTCGTTTTCAGTGGGAAGCGTGTAGGTTTGAAGAATGTGTTGCATCAAAAAGTTGAGCAGTGCTAAACTTTATGTAAATGCTTCTGGCCAACACAATGCGTCTACCCAATCAGGAGGCAGGTTGTGTTTGTGTATGCATACTACCTTAACTTTCTGATTATTCAACCAAAAAATGCTTTACATAAATATTGACTTAGCAAAACTACATTTCAACTGGATGTAGGACAATTTTGCAGGGAACTCCCTCATAATGCCATAATGCAGCCAGCTGAAAAGGGAGGATGCGTTCATGTCTGTCTATGTGCTGGAGCAGTGTAAATGCAGAGTAAGTGGTCATACAGCAAAGTCGTCACTCACGCTCCCAAAATGTTGGGCTAACATACAGACAATGAAAGAGGAAAATAGTGATTGAAACTTTGAAAAAATTCATAGGTCTTAGAAAAACACTGCTCATAATATCGGGTGCACTGAGTTTTGAGTGTTTATTTGAGCTTGGCTTACAATGGCCTTCACCTGGAAGTTCTCACCTTGCAGCATGAGCAGTGTTATTTAGCAATTTTTCACTCTTACAGGTGAGGATAAAGTTACCCAATGATAGTTAGTGACCTCTAAGGGCACCAGAATGTAAACTAGAATAGTCTTCTGATGTGTCAATTGTCATTTTTAGAATGACACTTTGTAAAGTAACAATTTACAGTTAGCTAAGCTAGCGCTATTAGCCTATTTTCTATTTGATGAAGAATGAGTTGTTTTTGCTCATATTTTTATGCTTTTTACGAGGAAGGATACATTTGCTTGGCTCTACATGATTCTGAGTATCCAGCAAACTGTAGACATTTGTGCAAGTTTAAGATTAGAGTCTGTTATTATGCTAATAAGTCTGCTACTTAGACTGAGCTAGAGAGCAAGCTTAATTTGTCTTCATGGATTTAGTCATGGCATAGCAGTAGCAGATGCAGCATGTCAGATTTCCGAAAAATTTGTTGTATTATTTTATAAGATTTCATGAACATTATTATTAGCAGTTGTAATAGTGATAGAAAATGTGTGTATTTGTTAACAAAGTGGTTGGTAAAAAAAAATTAAGTGGTCATCTACCAAACACTGCAGGCAGGTGGAGTGAGATATTAATTAGCCAACCTGCACATAATTCATGGGTCTTTTTTATTACATGACACAAATACCATGCAGCCAGTGGTGGTCCAGCAAAACTACACTGGCCTGTTAATGTTATTATCTAACACTAGCCAATATGGTGTCCTCATCTATAACGGCCGACTGTCCAAACTATGTGTGTTCTGTTGCAAATCATTTCTGGTTACCATGTTGCTACTCAATGAAGTTATAAGGAGTGTTTCAGCCTGGACTGCTTTTCGAATCAGGCGCAATACAGAGCAGCCAATCAAAATTAAAGTATCTGGCAAATATCAGTTTTAAAGACATAGTAACAAATATAGACGGCTTATTTCTTAGGCATGAAGCATGCTTGGAAAATGTCCCTGTAAAAATGGAATCATGACTGTTTTTGGTGTATAATAGATGGGCAAAATGGTATCATTATTAAGATAACTTGCTTTTCTGTGCATGACTATTGTCCATAATTAAAGAACACTGAACCACTGCATGTTTCATAAAAAAGATGCATATTTAGTCTTATGTAAATGGGTTTAGTGCAGCATGTGAAACGTTGAATAAAACTAAAAATATTGTAATATGTATGGGGTATAATGAAAATGTCTTTAGGGATTGTGATATGATACCGATTGTTAGTGTCTAAATATCTTTGGCAGTCACTTTATATTGGATAATGGTAGATATCAATAAATGAGCTCATTTGTCGCTCCACAGCAACAATTTCTATACAGAAGTGCTGAGAAAGTCTCTGTTTTTGAAATTGGTGCTGAGAAATCTGACCCAAGTACCAAGTCATGTAATCATAACAAGCCATCCAACATGAGGTAACCATTAAAATTGTGTTTGAGAGTGGGGGTCTTTAATTCCAGTACGAATAAAGTCTGTTTGGACCTCCAATCACTTTTCCACAGATGTGCATTTGGATTCAGTATTGGTTTGATGAATGTGTGCAGAATAAGATGCTGAAAGGGCAAATGCTTTACATGTCTACAGAAGCTTTATTCGTTCATTCGTACATTCAGAAGATTGTCAAAAATTGTCGTTTCAATTAACATTGAATTGATTATCAAGCCATGTGGGCACTCTGGAGATCCAGCACATATTTGGTCACACTCAGCCTTTCTACACTGTAATAGGACATAGCTCTCCGTGAGCAAAGCAACTTCAGGATGTAGTACTGTGTATGTTTTAATTAAAGTCTTATCTTAATGTGAGAGTCTAGTCAATCTGAGCTTAAACTGAAGGAAAAATCAATCACCTTTCCTCCTGATGAACTTGACTGATTCTTCCTATTAATATAAGCTTAAGTATGAAGTATGTATGAACTACGCAGTCTGTAACTGCTACGATATGACTTGATACATAACTCTCACTGGTCGTCATACAGTAGACTTGCTTTATATCTGCTGAAGTGCATATGCAGGTGGGTTTTGAAAGCCGGCCATTTTTCTGAGCAGCTATATCATGTACCAAAGTCAGGAGACTAAGGGATGGACCACTGCGAGAAGCTAAAATAGCCGAACACCTACCCACGTAGCCCAAACTCCTGTTCACCTGGGAGAAACTAATACTCCATCAGACCCTTTCTGTCTTCGTGAACAGCTGATGAAATGCTGCTACAACTACATTCCACCACTACTGGGCACATGTACCTGTGCAGCATCTAGTATGTACTATAGGAAATGGAAGTTACCAATAGCAACAGTATAGATCTGTTCCCCTTTTTCAGATTCAATCTTGCTTTTATAGATGCTGCATTACAGTGTCTGTACCCTCATACTGTTGGAATCCAAATTGAGTGTGAGTATGTTAGGTATGTGATTGATGAGACCTGAGTTGGAGAAATGAGGAATTTAGTAGAGGGGCAGAGATTCGATGCGTTCCTCCGAGCCTAGAAGAAAAAGAAGAGTAGACTTTCAGTCCAGTACATCCTGTACAATGTACCTTCACAATTTAGCATGACTGCAGTAAAACTGTGGCTGGTCCAGGTCACAAATCGTCCCTGTTGTAAACCTCACATTTTATATGATAAGAAATGTGTTTATATTTATAGGGACAGTCTGGCCTAAATGAAAAATGGAACCCTCACTAAGTTGTAAACATGTCTACTCACATCCTACAGTGGTGCAGCAGTAGCCTCTCAAGTGAGATTTATGAGTTTAAAGACTAGGACCACCCCCCCCACCGCCCTTCTGATGCTGTGGAACTTTGGGTGGATTTTTGAGAATGGGCTGTTTGTTTATTTTTTATTTTTTATTAGCTGGCAAATGCAGAATGAAGCCAGATTCAGTCATATGCAAAAGTTTGAACACCCCTGCTCAAATTCCATGTCAGTGGAAATATATTAACACATCCTCTATAGGGAACAAACTTAAATATAGCTTTTTTAGCACATTTTACTTATTTATTAATTTTTTTATTGCCAATTATGTTAAACTCAGCAAATAGTAGTTGTGAAAATGTGCAGAAGTGTGTTCTCTGTGGAGGATGTGTTCACTAATTTTCACACTAAATATAAACGTGATTTGACCAGGGGCGTATAGATCTGTAGCTAAGGTTAGTGCTAGGACGCTAAATAGATTATTACAACTGTAGTAACTGTTTTCAAATCATCGCTACAGTGGAGAGAGTTTGGATACTCAAACTAAAGAAATTACTTGTCAGATAAGAAGACAATACGCTAGAAGCTAAAGTTAGCAAAGTTAGCTGGCTATCTAGACATCTCAGTTTGGGTTTATTTATTTGACTGAAATGGTAAAAAACACGTTCCTGGTGTCCATTTTGTGTTAAATAAATATAAAATTACTGTTTTCTTTATGTTTTTGTTGGACAACCAAGGTGACAGTTATGGTAATGCTAGCTTGGTTGTATTTATTAGCCTATAGCTCAGTAGCTAGACTGACAGTCAGGATTGTTTGACACCACAGCAATTCCCAGTGGTTGTATAATGTATTTGCACAGTGCATGCTGGGTATTGTACTGATATAACTACATAAATGTTGAATTAATGAGGCTGAGGGATATAATGCCACACTACAGATTTCTGTATAGTGCAACAAACAGCATATTAAAGTATAGTTTTAGGTCCCTTTAATGTAACATAATTTTATTCCAAGTAAAAAGACTATTTCTATTGGTCTGTTCATCATGCCACAATGTCAAAAAGGGCAGCTGGCTTTCAGACAAACTGTTTTCTGGGCCACAAATCAATTCTTTGAATTTTCAGTCGCTGTTTTAGAGCTTTTCTTCTTTAATTATGCATAGAAGCCAAAGGCATGTACCTTTTAATGGACCTTTTACACCAAATCAAATGGATTTTCAGTGTTTTGTCTCACCTCTTTTCACGCGTGGACGTGTTTAGAAGAGACCGCAGTCCTTGAGGTTTTCTTTGATGATAATGTCTGTCACGGCATCGAACACAAACTTGACGTTCTCTGTGTCCGTGGCGCAGGTCATGTGCGAGTAGATTTCTTTGACGTCTCGCCGCATGTTCAGATCCAGGAACTGCACCTTGATGTAGTTGCCAGCATCCTCATAGGTGTTCGGACCTAAAGGGTAATTGTGTTGCCATTTTAAAGCGTGCTTGAACTTGAAACAGGCTGAGGATGTAGAGCAAGGTCAGTCACCACATTAGTGGTAAGCATATTATGATTTTAAAGCCTCTCACAGAGAGAAGCTCCGACAGCCTTGTCATGTTGTCAGCTACTCAGATTAATACTTCTGGGGACTGAAGTTCCTGGCATTTCATTGCTGCATATCCAAAATGGTAACTTTACAGGGGAAGGTTTGGAACTTTAATTAACAATAATGTAACAAGATTTTATAGCAAATAATTTTCTGTTGGTCCATGTGTATTTGGTGTATTTGAAGGCTACTTACATATGGGCTTCCTAACACATGTATGCACAGTGAAATACGTTTTTATACAGTAATACACAAATATTTATGAACAACTTATGCCAGTAATTGCAAGATGACTTAAAATGTTTTATGAAGTAAATCTTAATGTATTGACATAAAGGGCCTTGAACCAAAGTTACAGAGATTAGTTCCATTTGTATCTGTTATAAAGCATCATAACAAAAAATTGTACTTTTGTGCTTTGTAAACTATGAATATAAAGTCATATGCAAAAGTTTGGGCACCCCTGGACAAATGGCGTGCTTTGTTGATTTTCTAAGTTAAAATAAGTGAACACATCCTCTACAAATGACACACTGCTGCACATTTAAGTTTTAGTATAAAGTATTCAGCAAATAAACAGAAATTGTGCACTAAGATTTGTTTTCTGTAGAGCAGGGGTGTCAAACTGAACCACTAAAAGGGCCATATTAAAAAATCTCAGCAATTTTACTTAACATTTTGCCATGACCCCAACGGACCATCGTTTATTCAAAATATGCCAAGACTACAACACTACAACAGCAAAATAGGCATTGAATACTTTTCCAAAAATAATTCTAAATAAAAATAAATTGTTTTAGGTAGTTTTTTAAAAGTGCCTATTTACTTGAACTACACACCAAGCATCTTTTTTTTGTGTAACCGCTTGCCCCTAGATTGTTGTTGGGGGAAGTGCTTCAGAACGCACACTATGTTGCAGTGCATGCTGGGGACTGTAGTGCAGCTCAGGGTGAAACGTGCTAATAGGAATAGAAAATTAAAATAATTTTGGGGCTGAATAGAACTGTGTCATGGGCCTGACTTGGTCCCTGGGCTATAGAGGATGTGTTAACTTATTTTTACTCAGAAAATCACCAAAATGACCAGGGGTGTTCACACTTTTACATACTGTATAGAACTGCCTTATAAGTTATAGTACCTGGTAATAATGCTTCACAACAGTGTTATGAATGGTATACATGGTCTCTTACCTTTAGTGTTTAAGGCCCCGTTGTGTCTATACATTGTCTCATTTACTTTGTAAAACATTTACAGGTATAAGCTGTTCAGAAATGCTCAAAAATAGCTTTATAAATACATTGCATATGCATATGTTATGAAGTCTTTATTGCCGAGATTTTGATATGACAGCAAAGATATTTTCTTGCCTTGTCAGATATTTCAAGTTAAGGATGAGATGGTTCATTTTTGGCTATTAAGCAGACTCTATTTATTTCCTGGCTTACCATCATAATCAGGGAAGCATATGCTCAGGTGGGCCTTCTTGATCTTCTCGAGGAACACATCCTTCTTGTTGAGGAAGAGTACAATGGAGGTGGTGGCAAAGTAGCGGTGGTTGCAGATGCTGTTGAACAGGTGGAGACTCTCATGCATTCGGTTCTTTAAGAGGCAAACAGAGAGAACGAGATTGAAGTAACCAGCTACTAGACTCAGGTGAAGATCTTGCACAATGTAAAGGATGTATCTAGCTTTTCCACAAGGCTTGAGAAGCTGTGTGGAAAATGAGCAGCTCATGAGTTCCCACCATTCAACGATCACTCACCACTTCATCATCCTCCACCAGCACCATGTCGTAAGCACTCAGAGCAGCAATGAAGATGATACAGGTGACGCCTTCAAAGCAGTGGATCCACTTCTTCCTCTCTGAGCGCTGACCGCCCACGTCGAACATCCTACACACACAGGATTCGGTGTGTTTACTATGCGTTTGCTTTTTAGACCAACGTCTCACAAATCTAGACCTGAAGGTGTACCTGCACTGCACTTCTGAGCACATCTGATTCAGCCTGAGCATTAGCTAATGATATGACTATGCAGTGCTGGTGTACAGAGCTGTATTTGGGAAACACTGCTTTAGGCAAAGCTGTGTTGTGTCAGTTTTTATGTTTAGCTTTATAGAGCATCTAACAAAGCTGCTCTGATAAGATGTAAGGTCATTTTGATACTGGTCTCTTTTGGGTGTGTTTGTGGGTGGAGCTAAACTCATAGCTAATAAGCAAGAACTACTTTTTTTTTTCTTTAAGAAAGAGTTTTTATCAAACCAGTCGGTGTCCTAATATACACCGTAAAAGAACGGTAAATGTTTGGAAACAGGGCTGTCAGAAAAAAATAAGTTAATTAACAGTAAAAGTATGTTTTCTCAATGATGGTAAAAATTGTAAAATTACAGTCATTTAATTTCTTAGAAATACTGCCTTTTTCTGTAATTCAGCAGTTCTACTTATTCAACTAGTTATTCTGACATACAGTCCTTTACCATAATAATAAGCCCTTCTATGCATAAATGTAAATCTGATCGTCTTAACCAGCCTCTATTAAAACCAACCATTATCCATGATAGCGTTTATGAATAATCACTCCTTCAGAGTTTAATACATGCTACGTTACGTGCTGCAATTGTTCAGATATGCTTACATGTCGCAATATTGTTGTGTCACTGACGATGATTCCACACTGCGAATGGCAGTGTACTATGAGCCAACATGTACATCAACACCACTGTAAATCATCTGTGCAGGCAGTTCTTGGGGAACGTCCCTGGTTTAAGGTGGTGATGATGCATATCGGCCCACATGTATCAAGCATCTCAGAGTAAGAGTACTGATCTATGATTAGATCTCATCAGGTCATGGAATTTTATTCAGTATCAGATAAAAAGCAAAAGCTGATCCTAGATCAGTATTATTAGTCCAAGTTTGATAAACAGATGATTTATTCGTAGGAAAAATAAGAAGTTATGTCATGTAATTACATAATAAACTGTCATTTATCTGTTTATAGTCACAAAAATACTACGATTAGCTCAGCATGATAAGGCTGCTTATATAAACATGAGGTATTCCGGATATGAAGTTAATTATAAGTTAATTATTGATGTGGTCCAGCTTTCTTGGTTATTATAGAATCATCTACAGCTCCGTTTAGCATCAGAAACTTCTGCATGTTTACATTTTCCAACAAATGCTTTAAAACTAATATAATATTAGCTCATTGGCGTCAAAGAGGGTTAATTTTGAACATCTGCAACAAACAAAATTGTTTTTTTATTATTGAAAACAGCAACTGTCCAAACGTTTGTGTATGTTTAGTTGGGTTGTACCTGAAGTTGAGATCTTTGAAGGAGAACTGGGTCTCGATAATACCAGTGGTCTTCACTCGTGAACGCAGCACGTCCTGCTCGGTGGGGACGTAGCCAGGCTGGACCAGCCTCTGCAAGTCGTTCAGGTAGCTGGAAGAACGAGAGAAAAGACAAAGTGTGATTCCTTTTTTGCTTGATCGATAGTTGGTTTTGTACGCACTGGGTTGCTTCTTGGCATGATGGATTTTCTCAACATGGTGCCATTATGTGAGGTATGGTGATCCATGGCAATACGGCAAATATCAGCACCCTCCAAAAAGAACAAGTGTCTCCATTTTTGTTGATTATTATATTACATTAAAAGTAAAGAATGTTTTTGCTTTCTCCTATAAAGTTGCCATTTTAGAGATGCTGCGATGTATAGCATCACTATGTTTAGTTTGAGGTTCGGGAGGAAGTTACAAGACAAACTATGCTTGCAAATTAGCAGTGTCATGTTTAACTGTGAGTCCACTGATATTTTTTTGGATGTACAATGATATTGAAATTATATTGCTATCGGCAGATATAAAACAAATCATTATTGGCCAAATGGTACGGTTTGAACAATATTTCTGAGAGATATTTGGTGATGTTTTTATTGCACTCCAGAAGACCCGAATGTTCTGATGATGCTAGGTTACTAGAACATCTGTATTTATCGTTTTATTTCTCTGTAACGCTAATAGAGAAAGATATAGTCAAAATTTCTTCATTTTACAAATGTTGATGTGTCAACATCAGAAGACGTAGACATGAAAAGTAACAGATATCGCCATCGGCCCACCGTTCCCACATCGAGCAACTGATATGAATACATTTTAAAAAAGGCATTGTTACCAGTGTTGTGTATGTGGGCCCATAAAAATTACATAATGGCATAATGTGCTGACATCCAATCAGCTACTTGTTACCATGTAGTTTTCTGCAGTTACTATACACTGATTGTTGTCATTTACAAATGCTTAACAATTGTTCTAATTGGCCTTTTTCACAATATATGCTGTTGTTCACTTTCTGGAAGTACTGACCCATCACATGCTCAGAAAGTGCCTTCACATCATTTATTGCGCAAACATACCATCACATTTTTCACTGTTAGTTTTAGAGGCTGAATCTAATCAGGTTTTAACTTTTTTGACAGTCTAACTGGGACGTACTATCCAGCGGAGTCATTGAGCTGGTATTCCGAGGCTCTGTCGAAGCACGCTTGGATGCCAGTGTCTTTCCACAGCTGCAGAATGATGTCAGACAGCTCTTTCGGCATGGTGCCCTCCTCAATAGTATCAGCCAAGTGCATCAGTTTTCTGGCATTATCCTGCAAAACACAAACCCTACACTCAGATGGCTGGTCCAAATATGATCCACCTCATAGTGATTATTTATGTATATGTATAATATTAATGAAGAACCTTCAAACACAGCAGTCCAAACAATTATCCATGTCAATACCTGCTGGGCGGGGTCTCCGTAGCCAATGTTGAGCGTATTCATAGCCTTCACAATCGCCATAATCGACTGCAAGGTGTTGCTGTAGATGATGGAAATGAACTCCAGGCACTCTTCTAGGGAGTAACCATCTTTGTGGATAATTCTGTAGAAGAAAAAGGCATCTGGATGATCTGCAAAAGGTTTAAAATAACGGCTAACACTTTACTTTAACAAGTGTCAGTTGTCATAATGGCTGTTTTTTGCTGTTATTTTACTTCAGTAAGTGTTATGACACTTTTATAAATGTCTGTATGGACTACTTTGCCTTTATTAGTTCAAACAGTTAAAAAAAACTATTAAAAAACAATGAAGTATTCAGACGTCAGATATTTAGAATGATTACGTAATAATCTGTTTAAATGCAAGGCATTAGTAATAAGCTAAATAAATACAAACTCATCATTTATAGGATACTTTCTATTGGGAGGTGTCTGCCCAAACCCTAACCCCTAAATTTACACTTGTGGGAGCGTCAGTGTTTATTTATGTATATTTATATTTTTATTTTTTTATTTTTTTAAAGTGAAGTTGACAGATTTAGATATATCATTAATTTATAAATAAATTTTAAAAAGCTGTATTCAAAAAATGCTGTTTCACGTTTTCTACTGAAACACAGAGTCTAAGTTTGTGGGCGGAGCCTTATTTTAGCCACACCCCTGCACTTTACAACAGGAAGTTAGACTGCATCCCTGTGCCTCATGACCACATGGTGAGCAGTTCGCATTGTTTTGAAGTAAACGTGTCCAAAAGTCTGAAAATCAGAGTGGAACATTAATAATTGTCACTACTGAAACACATTTTCTGCAATAAAGTCATTTTTTATGTTTTAATGAAAAATATGATGCTTTTGAGTGTACAGCTGCTCAAAGCTGTTTGCAAACCATGTAATGGCTAGCGTTTTTGAGTTCTGCTAAAATGAGCTAAAATTGTCACTACCAAAACATTTGGTAATGTTTCAGTAGTGATATGATTGTTCACTTATTTGTTTTAATAACATAAATATAATTAAGGGTCATTCAAAGCAAAAAGATTTTAGTCTAAAGTCCAGGTCAGTTAAAAGTCTGAAATGTGTTTTGAACCAGTTCAGTAGAAAAATACATGTAGGTTTATGTCAGTTTCATTGAAGGGCTTATACATTAGCACGTACGTGTAGGTGTTGTCTAGCCTTATGAACGCTCATAAAGCAATTATATTCTAAAATATCCACTTGATAGAGTTAATAGTGAATGTGAAGTGCACACTTACTTCATCTGTTTGACGATAGTGCTCTTCCCAGACTCACCAGCACCTGAAAAATAGACAAGACAAACCAATTTGGCATTCAGTATCTGATGCAGTTCAGTTTACTACTTGCTATACATGCATGCAATGTTTACGTATTTACGTATTTATTTATGTTTTACCATAAATTAGAGAGCAGAGGAACGCAAGTGATAATCAGCAGGGGGCAGCACTTCACCAAATATAAACAGACAGAGCACCTCATTGAAATGATGAATCTAAGTCTGATCATCCCTACATCTATAAAATGCCTTTTTATGATGGCATTATTTAACTAAATTTTATATTAAACCAATGGACCCTGTTAGTACAGGGATAAAATCACAGGTAAACAGTTCTGTATTCTGGAACATAATAATTTGACTGAACATCTATTAATCAGGGTTGATTGACAGTTCAAGACCAGCAATTTTGGCATATCTGCTGAAATAACATGAACTTGACTTGAATCTAACTCTACACAAATGAATGTAATTGTGTATTTCGGAGTTTAATATTGTTATGAAATATTGTTTCTTTAATATTCCTTATGTCAAGGCCTTAGAATCTCTCACATAATCAATAACAGAATCAGATTCACATGCATTTCACATGCACGCCGTTTCAATTTCAGGTTCCAACAAGACTTGTTTGACCGAATGTTGACGCACTTATATTACGTGTTCGAAGTCTCGTGGATCAGGTTGCTCAGATATGCCAGAGTGGGAGATCACAATCAAACAGCAAAGTGTTGACATTCAGCTAAAGGATCAACACAGATAGCAGAACTTTTGCTTTCTAGGTGATTCACCATTGTTCATTTAGAAACAATTCACAGAGGGACACTTTATACAGGTAAAGTTGTATGTCATATGATGATTTAATGAAGGCCTTGACAGTCATCATGGACTGAAGGTCAAACGTTACGGTAAATTGAGAATTACACTCAATTTAATGATTAAATGAATAATTGCTGTTATTTCACTTCAACAATAACTTTTACAGTGTTGATTTACACAATAAGCTTTTACGTTTTTCAGGAACAGCAAAAAGTTAAATGATGTAAAATACTGTAGTTACCTATTTACAGTAATTCCTTGTTACACTACCTGCCTTGAGATTTGATCACCACTTTCAAACATGATGGATTCTGGTGCTAATTTTATTACAACTTTATTCCCAGTGTTCTACAGCTTTCTCAGTCACTTTAGAACCATCTATGGCTCTGTTCATCATTCTGGACACATCTAACATCGCTGATTACAAAGTTTTGAATGGAAGTGGAAATGTTACATACAGCTTTGCTAATGATTTTCCAAGAAAAATCTATTTTTTTCTGTTTTAGCTGGTTTTACTAAACTGAAAAGGAATCATTTAATGACTCCCAAAGTGATCATACACTCACTATCAAAATCTTGGTGCTGTTTTAATGTGGAGAATTCCATTCCCTTCCCCATCACTTTCTCCCCCTCTCCCCTCACTGGTATGTTTGGTATGTTCTCCTGTCCTGTATGTATATCTCTAGGAGGATCGCAATAAGAGGCTTGGGATCATTACTTTAGCCCTAAGCCTGCAAAAGCTGATGAGTGCGAGGACGCTGTGCAAGTTCCTTATCCCTGACCCAGATCTAACACAAAGTCAATCTCAGCTCAGCAATGACTTATAAAGACAAATGTTTTTCTTAATTTGGTAATGTTTGGTATTTCAATATGAGCATAAATCCAACAAATGATAAGTTAGTCAAACATTGTCTTTTTCTTCACATGCAACCAGCTGCAGTCACCAACTGAACAATATTTTTGTCTGTTTGCAAAATCCTACTATGCCTTCTTTGTAGTTCCATGGTTTGAAGGAATGAGATAAGATGCAATTAATTCTTCTTTCAAGCTAATCTTTAGAATACATACATATTGCATACCACTCTTATAAAATCGTCTTGACTGTTTTAACTAGAACCAGTGACAAACTATGAATGAATGGGTTCCTCATAATGTTAAACAGTTAGTAGGCCTGCAACACAACCATATCATTTGCATTAGAGTTTGCCTCTAATCATGAACTTGGTCTGTTAGTGTTTAAATCTATGGTGTTAATCAAGGCTCACTCATAGGCCCAATGTTGTTTACCCAGTAGCAGCAGTTTGACGGTCCTGGCATCCTTGTCGGCGTCCTCCTTGAGCTTCTTCTCCAGTTCCCTGGAGTGTTTCTCCTCTGCGCTTGCCCCAGCCCCCATACTGACTCTGAATCAGGAGCGAAGAAGTCTGGAATGGATGACCGCTTGATCGCCGCAAGGCCCACCAGGAACCGTCAACTACGCAGCTCTAGTCCTCACTGGCTATGGTGAATCAGCCAGTTGTTTCGAGTCTTAGGGGGATTTTTGGATTTTGGTTGACCACCTGGGCAGGCATGGCCAATGGGCAACAAGGACAGGGGGCCACTGATAGGGGGGGTACAGGTGACCTGAGATTTAGGTGGAATATGCTGTGGTCAGCAGAAGGTGCTAATCTGACTGCTTCTCAAAGTCTTCTCAGGCACATTAAAAGGGCGAGCCATTGAGAGAGGAGGAGGCTGGTTGAAGAGGCTGATGATGAGATATAATGTTACGTATATGTTACATATCAGAATAAAATATTGATATCACACAGCCTATTTGAAAAGCGATGAAATTCAAACCTGTTAGCAGTCCATATCATCTCTTTGAATATCCTGAACTTTATTTTGTGACATCATGCAATTTATGAAATTATGAAACATAATCAACTTTAAACAAAATGGTCTGACCACTGCATTCCTATATTTTTTGATCAAATATATATGGTACTAAATCATTAATATTGACATTAAACATATGGCTTAATAATATTAGCTAGTTAGATATTAGATATTAGTTATTATTATGGTGCACCATCACCTTTTTACAGACGGTGTTGTATTAACTCTGTAAAGTGCAGCAGTCACCTGAGAGAGCTCACTGACCTCAATCTAAAGACTGACACATGCTGGAGTATTTGGAGAGTGAGATGGACTGGAAAGAGAGAGTGCAACAGCGCAGATATAAGACTAAGCATTAATTGCTCCATGATGTATCTAGGACTGTGCCTCAATACTGTGTCTGTGTGTGAAATATTCATCGTTTAATCCACATATATATCCAATATATATATTTATAGTTTTTGGTTTAATTTAATTGGTGAACTTGTGAATTCAGTTACTCTGAGGTGCACCCTCTTCTGTGCACCCAATAGAATGGGACACTCTGGAGCAGCCGTATATAAGCCTAAGGTCACCATTGTCATTGGGCTGTGGATCACTTATTTGGAGAGATGGAGCACCATCCAAAACCTTTGCGATGATCTGGAGTTCCAGTATTAATCATCCAACATCAGTACCTGACCTCACTAATGCTCTTGTCTGAATGCAATCAAATCCTCACAGCAATGTTCCAATATCTAGTGTAAAGCATTCCCAGAAGAGTAGAGGCTGTTACTGCAGCAAAGAGGGACAAACTCACTTTTAATACCCTTCATTTAAGAAGAAACGCTGGATGAGCAGGCGTCCACAAACTTTTAGACATATAGTGCATACAGGAAAACTGCTGGAAAAAATTAAGCCGATTAATTAAAATAATGAGAACATTTTCTCATAATTTTGAAAGGTATCTCATAGTTATGAATGACTTAGCATTAATTATGAGATACTCAATGGCATTTGGTATTCTTGTGTATGTGATAATCAATATAAGTAAATTAAAGACTAATAAAGAAGTATGTATTTACATTTGCCTTCTGAGTCTGTAACCCAGTGGTCACCAATGTCCTCCTGGAGATCTGCCTTTTTGCAGGTTTCACCTCCCGTCACCTGCAACACACTTCAGCTAATTAACCCCTTATAAGGCCAGGATCCTTATAAGGATATAAGGTCAGGTTTATTACACATTTCTATAACCTAAGAATAGCTCAGCCAGTTTGCATTGAAGTCCCTGTAGTTACTGAATAATAAGCCTTAGTATGTAATAAGCCTGATTGTAAGAGGTTAAACACTCCTGGATGGATCAGGTGGGGTCGATTATGGTTAGAGCTAAAGTCTGCAGAAACAGAGTTGGTGTTAACAACTGACCACATCTCTCGCTCTGAGATGCTTCACCAATCCCCATCACTCTCCTCGGTGATTGTTTAGCAAGCTTCATTAAGCTTTACATCGAACTACTGCTGGCCTTGGTGAGGCTCAGTGGGTCACAGTGTTGGCAGACAAAATGCCTCTCTGCACTCATTCATCATCTTTGTGATGCCACTTTTGGTTTCATTATCAATAATAACATTTTTCATATGAGTAGGTTCCGGAGGCTTCCCGTACATGTCTAGGCCAGGACTACAGTAGTTTTTTCCTCTGCCTAAGTGGTGTAATTTGCGTCTGTGCTCTAACTATATCAGACTTTGTCAATCACCACCTTGTGCTGGAATTACTTTGAGGTAAGGAGGGCCTGTTTCAAATTATAGACATTATAGCTATTAAAATATGCATAGCTGCAGTACAGATAATGCCGTTGTGTTTGTCCTTTGAGTACATCAGTGAAGCGTCTTCCTCACATTGTTCCTGGAATTATCAAGTACTGAAAAATGTACCTATAATTGTAGTATGTAGTGTAAGTACCCATAGTAAAGCATGGGAGTGAGATAATTAAGCCTTGAACACAGCTTAATAAGGCATGATCTCTTTTCTGTATGGAGCCCCACTGGTGACATCCTGTATAAATAAAAATAATGCGTGGCCACGACTTAGTAAAGCGTGGGAATGAGATCCTAATGCGTGGCCACGACTTAGTAAGGAGTGGGAACGAGATAATGAAGTCGCGGCCTTGACTTAGTACGGCGTGGGAATGAGATCATGGCTTACCGAGTCATGCCCATGCATTAGGATCTCATTCCCACGCTTTACTAAGTCGTGGCCACGACTTAATCATCTCATTCCCACGCATTATTTTCATTTATATAGGATGTCACCAGCAGGGCTCCGTACCGTAGGGGCTCCGTATTTCTGCGCCTTACTAAGACATGGCACGACTCAATTATCTCGTTCCCACGTCGTACAAAGTCAGGCCCACGCATTAGGATCTCGTTCCCATGCTTAACTAAGTCGTGGCCACGACTTAATCATCTCATTCCCACACCTTACTAAGTCGTGGCCACGCATTATTTTCATTTATATAGGATGTCACCAGCGGGGCTCCGTACCATAGGGGCTCCGTATTTCTGCGCCTTACTAAGTCATGGCATGACTCAATTATCTCGTTCCCACGTCGTACAAAGTTGTTTTTATTTATACAGGATGTCACCAGCAGGGCTCCGTACACTCCCTTTTCACTATCAGTATGTGGAATGTAAGGCTGACCAGTGTAAACGCATCCCCGGCGCGGTAATTGCTCTGTTTTTTCTCCTGAGGAGCTGCAAGTGTCTTTCAGAGACCATACTCCGTTCTCGCTTTCAGGAAAACACTGCTGTGGTGAAGCCATCAGCTCCGGGCCATCCTGTGGTGAGTGGGCTAATAAAGCTCGGCTTTCCTCACTAAAGGCTCATCCTGCTTGTAAACCAGTGCACCTCGCTCAGCGCAGGACTCCAGGCTGGAGGTGAGATTGTGAAATCTGCTCTTTTACTTCCTTGTGAAGCTCAGTCAAGGCGTGGACCGGGCGCGAGCTCGGAGTGGCTGAGAGAAACGCAGAGGCTCCGTGTGAGAACCAGCGAAGCCACAGCGCTAAGAGTTTTTGAGGGGCTTTTGGCGACTTTTACTCCATAAAAGGACTTCTGTCTCCCTTTTTAGGGGGGGTGAATGTGGAATTTGGCTCTGGAAAGTCAACGTAACTGAACCAGAGTCTGTCTGTCTGTCTGTCTGTGCAGTGCTGCTGACGGAGGTGTTCCTCAGGTAAAGTTTACTTATCTGTCTGTTCGCTCCTGTTAAAGGCGTGGTTGTTAACGTTTCTGACGAAGACACGAAAGACACAAACCAGCCAGCAGCTCTTTACTGTCGTTTCAAACTAGGCTCGCACTAACCTGTCCAGGTAGGCCTGATTCTGTCTGTCTGTCAGGCTAATGTCCGGTGTGGGCTGCTTATTAATACTGTGGACTCCTATAATCCTTCTACGTTAGACATCTGCAGAGCTGTTTTAGTCCTGATGTAATAGCTGGGCTGTGATTACAGGAAGTGCAGCCACTCAAGTCTAGTAATGAAAACGTCCTCAGATCCATTAGTGGAAAAATATACATCGATTTATCACATTTGGTCTGGCACACAAGATACCAGCCCAGTTCCTCTCAGTTGTTTTGTGTGATTATTACATATTATTTCCCATTATTCTAGTTATCCTCATAAAATCACGTTGCGTTTGTGTCATGCTTACAGTTAAGCCAAATAAAGTTACATAATCTAGTTTCTATGTAGGAAAAAGCTACACTCACTCATAGCCCAGTCATAGTACGTCACTGGTGCTGAATTATCACCCGCTGGCATGAACCTACCTGAAAGGGGAACTCCACTGAAATTTCTGCATGATTCAGTGGTTGAGATGTAAACAGTCATTCAGAGTGGACTTTCACAAAATTATTCGTTTTAGAGAAACCTATGGATTTTTCACAGCGGTGGTGATAGGAACCAGGTGTCGTGATGTCTACAACACAAATGTAGCCATTTTATTTACTATCCAAAACTACCAGTGAACATGCATGTTATGTTGATAATGGTAAAATAATGATAAACCTGTAAAAATTAGTTTTCTTTGGGCCTCAGCTCTCCGCCATGAGTGTATTTTAGTCTAAAACTCTCTCAAAACTCTCGTAAAACAATGTCTCAATTGCACATATTCATAACTATTACATGTAATAACTTTGTGTGAAGTGAGGTATCGAACTCCTCAGACATCTGGTTTCTGTCGCGACCCAATTAACCATTTTCAGTTTCTCGTTCCTCATTCTGTGCTTTGGTGTTTAAAATGAAACTCTGTTTTGAGGAACTGTTGTATGTACTCTAGTAATATTTTATAACATGCATTAAATTAGCTGGTGAGTCATGTAGGCCTGACAAGTATTTTCTGAATCTCAGAAAATATTCAACGTATTATTATATTATCAAATTATTATCAAATTATTGTTATGTGTGGTGTATACAGTTTCTGGCAAAGGTCTTGGGCACCTGAAACCTGAGGGAGTTTAATTTAAAAAGCTAATTATCTGGGCATTTGTTTGACAAAAGCACCAATATTAAAATGGAAACAGTAACATTATTTGCAAAAGTAGAGATTTTATATATGTCAGTCAGTGTTTTTGTTTAATCGTTTCCAAACTTCTCTATGAGTAATATTTGTAGTTATCATCCAATTCAGTGCTTCTTTACATTAAATTCAGAGGTAAATCTGGAATCAAGCATGTGTTCTTCCTAGCCAGCGCAAAAAATAGCAACTGAAATATTTGAAATATTAGGTGCTCCAAAATGAAATGACTTTTTTTCTATTTTCTGTTTTTTTAGTTAAAGCTCTTGAGATACAGTTGAGAGAACATAAAGTATTATGCTTCTAAAACAACTTTGCATCAACACATATCTCTATGCCAGGGATCGGCAACCCAAATTTTAAGAAGAGCCATTTTGTCCTTTCAACAAATATCAAACCACCTTGGGAGCCACAATATTTCATGTACATTTTACCATCTTGGCTGCACATATGTCTCAATATGTGCTAGTATAGGCTAAAAATTAAAATATAAACAAAAATCCAGACTTACTCTGCTCTGCTTTAAGCTTTAACTGAGCTATAGTCACTTTTCTCACATCTCCGGCAGGAAACTTTTCCGCAAAAGTAGAATAGTTTCTTGTAACTATTCTATTCAGCTACTTGTTCGAATTTTCCCACTCCACCTTTTACATTTTGGCGCCTAAGGTACCATTTAAGGTGGAAAATTTGAACAAGAAGCTGGCGAATGAGAAACTGACTTAAGCCTCGTGACTTTTTAGTGTTTGACAGTTCCTTGTTGCAGATTAAATGTATCAGAAGACCAGCTGGAGTGATTATAGATGCGAATAAGTCCATTCATCTCCAAATTATCGATTTTCGTCTTAAATCTTTCACTTTTCCTTTTCGTTAGCTACTAGCTGGGCGAGACTGTTGTCTGTGTTGCTATGGTGAGCAGCAGTCTGTGCTGATCTTCAGGGTTAAAGGGTGAATTAGCAGTTATACATTAATTCCAGCGTTTAAGACCATTTATTGTTAAACTGTGCTGAACGATCAGCAGAGCTTTATTTTACTGCAAAGAGGATTATTTTATTTTTACCTAAAAATCTAATTCTGTGTGGAGCCGCAACAGAACAGAAGCCTTCGTAAAGTCTTTCATCAAAGGACTTAAATTTAGATTCAATACTAGTTTAGTACATTTTTATTTGACAAGCATTTGAATGCTGTCATGACAGTGTTTGACAGAATGAAAACAGCCAGCTTTGCATGAAGGAAACTGTATTTTGCCAAATGCCCTCTTTCTACTTCATCATATTTAAAGAATAATACTTGTTTTTGAAACAGTCTTATATGTGTTTCACATATCTTTGCATTTGCTTCGATTAACCTTACTATTGCTGTTTTATTCTTAGATCCTGGTGATGATCAGCATGCTTTGAGGAACTGTCACTCTTGTTTTCCTCGGGCTGCACACAGGACTGCAGGCACGGAGATGCTATTCGGGGCACAGGCATTGTTAGCATGCATCTGGATCCAGATACATGTGACCTCGAGCTTGGAAACCTGTCCTGTAATTTCACGGAAGGCTGTGGATTTTACTGTTACCTATTCTTCCCCCTATTTCCAGACGTTGAAACCCATACAGAATATAGAAGTCAACACAGACCGGTCTGAGATATATGTAGCGTCTCAGAATGTGATTGAAACACTGAACAGCGGTCTTGAGAAGATATGGGAGTTGCGAACTGGTCCTGTTGGCAGCTCGGAGTGTCAGACGTGCCACTGTGGTATCGAGGCTGATCCGAATGCGCCAGTGGACACGGAAAACCAAGTTCTTCTTTTGGATCCCTCACCTTTTCTTCAGTTCTTGTACATTTGTGGGAGCAATCAGTACGGGATCTGTACCTTTCTCGATCTTGAGAAAGAACCACCTTTTGAACCCCAATGTCTCTTCAGGCAAGCAGATAATTCTCCTTCAGATTGTCCTGACTGCATCGCTAGTCCTCTAGGTACGAAAGTCAGCATTGTGGAAGACGGGCAGACGTCTTACTTCTTTGTAGCAGCCACTATCAACAGCACAATTGCAGCTAATTATGGCCGACGTTCCATCTCAATACGACGCATGCTTGCCACAGAGGATGGATTCGACCCCCACATCAAGGGTCTTACGGTGCTTCCTGATTTCCAGGATTCTTTCCCCATCGAGTACATCTACACCTTCTCCACACTAGGCTTCACTTACTTCCTCTCCGTCCAGAGAGAGAACCCCCTACAAAGAACGTCCAGGCTCCAGACTCATCTGGGGCGGCTCCCGACTAGAGACAGTGAGGCCTGGATGTACCGGGAGATCATATTGGAATGCCATTTCAGGCCCAAACGAAAGAAGAGAAGCACCGAGAACATCATCTACAACGCAGCCCAGGCAGCCCATTTCAGCATAGTAGAAGAGGAACTGGCACATGAGCTAGGCATGAATAATAAGAGTGGAGTTCTGTTCGTGGTGTTTGCTATTACAGATGATGCAGGGAATCCTACTAGCAAGTCTGCCCTCTGTGCGTTTCCCATGGATAACGTGAACTTATTCATTAAGCAAGGTGTGGATGCCTGCTGCTTGCCCAGATCAGGACGACTCTCCCGAGGATTGTGTCACTTTCAGCCCTGTGAGAGCTGTCCTCATGAGGTAATACTGGAGCTCTTAACCCCTTTTCACAGTAGACATAAATGTTTTGGAGGTAACTCAGTGTGTATTTTTTCTTCAGTTACACTGATGGAATATATTTTGCTGATGTCGGAACAAAACCTAGTATCTCCATTTTTGTCCAACGTTTTTCGGTTTGTGACATAGTTTGAAAATGCCTGTTGCCCTTTACACTGTGTGTAAATTTCACAATGAATAAACCAAAAGAAAGGACCCAAAAAGACTTGGAAAAAATTCAGGTTCCATTGACTTACATTAAAAGTAAAGTATGTTTTTGTTCCTCCTGTAAAATTATCACTTTTGAGATTCAAGGTTTTGTTCAGACAGCAGCGATTTGTATAATTAAAATATGTTTGATTTACAAAATTGGAAGCAATGTTGTACAATTTTAGTGTAAATTGTACAGCTTATATCTGCTGTAATGGCACCCACAACCAAATATCTATTAATGGCATTATTACAGGTAGTAGTTTACTGAAACACAAGAGCCAGGATGGTTGGAACACAAAATGAGTAAAATGCATTCAAATGTATGTTTGTAATAGAAATAACCTGTTAAAAAAAGATATAACAATAATAATAATTGTAATAATAATAATAATAATAAACTTAATAATAATAAAATTACTAAAACGCCTATGAAAAACCAACAAAGCTGTAAGTAATGCTAAGAAGCTCCACCACTCACTACAATATTTAGAGCAGGCTACTCAAGACTGCACAAAGTACCAGCCACTTTCCCAACATGCTTCTCAAACAACAGAAAATTACTGTAAAATCTGTACTTTTTTGACAAGAAGCTGGACCTGTTTCAGTTCTGTACAGTGTGTATTTTCATTTTTGTAGATAAGCAAGCAAGTCAAGAGTGTTTTATTGTTTTTAAATGACACTTTTATTGTTTCAGTTGTACATGATTTTTTGATATCAACAACGCTGTAGCTGTACATTTTATCTCAGCATGGCCGTCTTTGTGAAGTGTGAATTGTTTTCACAGCAGGGGGTTCTCACTCCTCCCCTTTCACCCCTCGTTGCTCACTAGCAGCTCAACACAGAGTCTGTTCTGGCAACAGATATTATATTTGATTGTGATAATTAAAAACATACATTTTCAATAACAAAATACAATGTGCTATTATAAAATACTGCAGTACTTTATAACTGATTTTGGATCATGATGATATTATCACGATAATTCTGCAGGTGATAATTGTTTAAATTCACATTATCATCCAAACTTAGTTTCAGGAGAGTCATCTCTGGGGACTATTTGTTAAATTTACAAAATTTACAGAGTGACAAAAACAAGAGTGACAGTTCCTCAAAGCATGCTGATCATCACCAGGATCTAAGAATAAAACAGCAACAGTAAGGTTAATCGAAGCAAATGCAAAGATATGTGAAACACATATAAGACTGTTTCAAAAACAAGTATTATTCTTTAAATATGATGAAGTAGAAAGAGGGCATTTGGCAAAATACAGTTTCCTTCATGCAAAGCTGGCTGTTTTCATTCTGTCAAACACTGTCATGACAGCATTCAAATGCTTGTCAAATAAAAATGTACTAAACTAGTATTGAATCTAAATTTAAGTCCTTTGATGAAAGACTTTAGGAAGGCTTCTGTTCTGTTGTGGCTCCACACAGAATTAGATTTTTAGGTAAAAATAAAATAATCCTCTTTGCAGTAAAATAAAGCTCTGCTGATCGTTCAGCACAGTTTAACAATGAATGGTCTTAAATGCTGGAATTAATGTATAACTGCTAATTCACCCTTTAACCCTGAAGATCAGCACAGACTGCTGCTCACCATAGCAACACAGACAACAGTCTCGCCTAGCTAGTAGTTAACGAAAAGGAAAAGTGAAAGATTTAAGACGAAAATCTATAATTTGGAGATGAATGGACTTATTCGCATCTATAATCACTCCAGCTGGTCTTCTGATACATTTAATCTGCAACAAGGAACTGTCAAACACTAAAAAGTCGCGAGGCTTAAGTCAGTTTCTCATTCGCCAGCTTCTTGTTCAAATTTCCAAAATACTGCAGTACTTTATAACTGATTTTGGATCGTGATGATATTATCACGATAATTCTGCAGGTGATAATTGTTTAAATTCACATTATCATCCAAACTTAGTTTCAGGAGAGTCATCTCTGGGGACTGTTTGTTAAATTTACATTGATTATTGGCTATTTTAGAGGTACTCACCCCTCTAAAACACACCCCCAGACTCCTATATATTTATTCTGCTCTTTTAACAACAAGCAGTAACAAAAGCAAAACAGGCTAGCTAGTGAAACACCATCGTTAGTCAATGGAACTGTTTTTCCTTGTAAGGAGTAATGTTTATTTTTACTGCACGTAATGTGTTCTCAGCACACATAGTATGCATCATGTATGCTCAACTGGAGTTTTCTGGGGGACTTTTCAGCTGTATGTTACATCCATGGGCTCACAACAGGCTTGCTGTCTGTTGAACAATGTTGACGAGTGCACCATCATTCCCCTACCTTTCACGAGGCATCAGACTAGTTTAAGAATTTCACCCTCAGCGTGAATACGCAATACACTATATCCACTCCACTATAAATACACAATAAGTATACATTCCCATCAACATTTAGCACAAAATCTCTCATGGTTGTCCCCAGATGTTTTCATGAGTTTGGCCCCAGGAGATTATGCTTCAGATTGTTTCGTAAAAACTGTTCAGAATACATAAATCACTTCCTTTTTGGAACTTTGGTTTCTGTCTGGTTAGCACTTACAATACTGCATAAGAGTCCCTAAACAAGCTGTGTCAGGTTTGTAAGACATTCTTTTAGATAGATAGATAGATAGATAGATAGATAGATAGATAGATAGATAGATAGAATCAACTTTATTATAATTGCTCAGTACAAGGCAACGAAATACAGTTAACATCTACCAGAAGTGCAAATAGTAGCAATAGTGCAAAACAGACAGTGCAAATGTGCAATAATAGGTATAACATAATAAGTATAACATCTATGAAATATATAAATATATAGTAGCACTCAGGAGGTATAAGTTGATTAGCTTTATTAATGCTGACTCTCAAACCATCTGATACTGACATATTATCATAAATATCTTCATATTGAATTTCATATATTTCATACATTTCATAAATCAGTAAAATGCAGTTGGAAATATTGTTTAGATAACTGTGTGACTGAAATGAAGGCATTTTCACATAATCAATTTTCAGAGAGACTAATATATTTGTGTTATGTAAATTGTTGTAATATATTTGTGTTTTGTATGACTGGACCCATTAGACCAGGGGGGTCAAACTCAACCACTTAAAGGGCTATATCAAAAAGTCTCAATAAATCCATGCGCCAGAGAATGCTGCTGTTTATACTTTATTTTTAATTAACATTTTTCTATAACCCAAACTGGCCATTGTTTATTCAAAATATGCAAAAACATCAACGGTCAAATATAGGCACTAGTAGTAAACCTTGAAATATTACATGAATACTCGTAATATTCAAAATGTAAATGTCCCCAGAAGCTCAGTCTTTTAAACCTACCTGTTTGCTTGAACTAGACACCTGGCGTCCTTTCTTTGCAGCAAGTTCATTAATATCTGGGCTCAGTTTCTGAGCTGCTGAGCTGGCAGTAAGTGTTTAAACTGGCTGAACTGCAGTTGTTTGGTGATATGACTGCTGATATGACTGGTGTGGAACTGTGTAGAACTGATGTGTAGAACTGATGTGTACACAGATAGATTGTTGTCAGGGTAGGAGAGTCAGAGCACACTGCTTTGCAGTGCATGCTGGGGACTGTTGTGCAGTGCACTGTGAAACAAGCTAATATCCATAGAAAAATAAAATACTTTTGCAGGCCAGATAGGATTGTGTTTGACACATGGGCTTCAGCCTGTTCTCTAGTTTAGTGTGCCTTGAACAGGAACTGAGGAGACTGCAGAGTAGTGTCTTGTCTAAAATAGGCCATATCAGGAAGTGACTCATATGTTTTTTTTTTTATGTTTGTTCAGGATCAAGGTGTGGAATGGCATTGCACAGTCACTGCTTTATAAGAGCCCAGCCTTGCTATTGAAGTCTGGAAAGCTGGAATGACTTTGTGCTCAATTCAAGTAGACAGTTACTTTTAAAGCACACAAGTTATCAGTGTTTTACAGACTTAAAACTGGCTTAGTGTGGCTTCTGACATTTCCTGCAGTCTGCTAAAGCAGAGGTCGACAGCCACAGCACGTAGGAGAGGAATGTGTTAGAGTGGAAAGAACTGCGAGTGAACCAAAGGAGAAAGACGTTATTGAGAAACCAGATAAGACACTTTCAGGTGTTTTTCTGTGAATAATGTTTGAGGGTTAGTCAGCAGTGTTGTGCAGATACTGTGCCCAGTTTAGTGTGAAGGAATTCACTCTGAAGCTGTTGACAGTTTGCAGGTAGAGGGTTGTAGTGGATTGTTTTGTATGGTATTGCATTGCGGAAGCTTTGTTTAACAAGTTTCAACGTGCATGTATAAATCAGATTAAGAATTAAGTCAGATTAAGAACCAGTAGAACAGTATTGGCAAGCTATGTGCTTATTAAAAGATTTTTTAGGATAAAATGATGTCAAATTAAGAAGGAAAATGGTATGCAATAGTATGATATTAGGTAAGGGGTCATTTATCATGTATTGTGAAAACCACGGTCAAGAATAAAATCGATGGGCTTTTTCAAATGAATGATAAACTCTACGGTTTATGATTTTTGGAGTTTATTTTGTAAGAATAAATTTATTAATCTGAGCCAAACCAGTCTGTGTAGTATATAATTACAGTTCTAAAGAATGATAATTTATAATATAATTTATGACACACAAAATATGGCAAATTTAAATTAATCTTTATCTCAACCCCAACCTGAACGTAGAATACTGAGGAAAGGTTTTAGGGAGAAAATTATATTTAAAAAGTTATTTATCTGGGCAGTTTTTATTTGCTCTAAAAATACAGTTTTTTGCACAGTACAGTATGTACATCGATAAGCCCCTAGTGCGCATGGGAGCTGTGCAATGGTGCGAACATTAACATACAAACATTCACAGATGAACACAAGAAACAAATTCAGGCACTGCTTCTTTTTGCTATGTTGAGAAATGAATTATATCCAGAAAACGATGTATGATATCAAAACAGATCTTGAATTTTGTGTATTGTTACACACTTATATTAGCATTAGATGTGTAATACTATATAGTGCACCAGTCTGTACTGAAAAGCTAGTGTTATGATATTCAATGCCAGGTAAACATTGTTTTTGTAATTAAAAAATCACCCAGCCCCACTCATTAAAATATATATATATATATATATATATATATATATATATATATATATATATATATGAAATACCCACCTCAGACCCACCTCACACCTCCCAGAACCATTCCTTCCCTCAATCCTATGTGCATAGCAGCAAAACAAACAAAAAAATTTAAATAAATTTGGAATCAAATATCCTTATATTTTATAGTTTTATATTTCAATAATATATTTCAATATAAAACCTAACAATGTATAAAAAGATTCTAATATGATGATAGTACTGTTCAACGTCACAGATTTAAAATAGAGACAGCACAAAACAACTTTTTATTTTCTGATACCAAAGCAGTAAACCTTGAGTATTGGCTGATAGTGGTATTGTATGGCAGCATATTTTGGACTTTAGTCTAATTTAAATGCAAATTTGAAAGTGCTTATTCAGTTGCGTATGTGTGTGTGTGTGTGTGTGTGTGTGTATGTATATACACTGTTTTTTGTTTTTTTTTTTAGTTTTTTGCATAATTTGAAAATACCTATTACCCTTTACATTGCATGTAAATTTCATGATTAATGGATCAAAAGAAACGACCCAAACTGACTTGTAAAAAAGTCTGGTTCCATTGACTTACATTAAAAGTAAAGTACGTTTTTTCCTTCTCCTGTAAAATTACCATTTTGGAGATACAAGATTTTTTCCTGACAGAAGCGATATATATGTACATATATTTGCGTGTGTGTGTTTGTGTGTTTTAAAACTAATAAGCTTTAAAATTGCAGTCAAGTACTTCACTTAAGATGACCTAAAAGTCTCTGCTGAAACTACTACTTCAGTCTATTAACCCCACAGGAAGAACTTCAGTTAACGGCATTACATCACACAGTGTGAGTGAGCACTGATTCAGGATAGGTTTGTTACAGGACTGGATCACATTCATTCTTTTTTTCTCTTTGACATCGTCACTTCTATTTTTTGATTTGACAAATAACTACAATCATGTAAGCAGAAGCCTTCATAAGCTTTTCAGATTCAAAAGCAGAGCTGAGCTCATAATATGTTATGGAGATTAACAAGAGTGCTAAAAAAATGACTTGCTGTCCTGAAAACAGAAAGCATGTAAGTGTTAATCTCCTCCAATATTTATGTTTTGCTGACGTCTGCTCTGAAAAATGTTTGCCCTGAGATGATTCATTAAAAGTAGACTCCTTAATGTCATGATTGCGTTGGTAAGTACGCAGAACAGCTTCTTTTCTGCCAAAAGCTCACGTTTATTGACACAGTGTGCTTCCTGTGAGCGCTGCTGTAACCCACAGCCTCAGGACAGGAGTGTGCATGGAGCTGCTTTAGGACTCCAGAGGCGTGGGAATGGCTCATGTGGCCTGTCGATGTCTGCAGACTTCCTCATTCATAGACAGCTCATCCTGTCACAATAACTACAGTTGAGCTGAAGTGTGAAGCATGTCACTGACTTACGTCTCCGAAGCCGGTTACAGTTGGCTTTTTCAATGAGTCAGTCGTGATTAGTTGGTGCTCTGTCTTGCGGTCAGAAACACAGCCTGGTGGACACACCCATTTACCTGCAGTCTTACTAAAGGGACCATATCATGAAAAACAAATTGACCTCCCTGCTTTTATATAAAGGAGTTTGATTTTGTATGTGAACACTATTAAAGTTCCAAAACCTGCCGTTCACTCATACAGTCCATACAGTCCACATAAGGAAACTAAGCTGATTTTGAATTCAGTATTTTTGTGATATGTGAAATCAAGTCTAAACAACCAGACTTGTGGCTGTCATAATGCATACAATCAATTTCCTAATTAAATACAATCCAATTACAAGGTCGCCGGTTCGCTCCCTGAGCTGACAGGACATGACTGAAGTGCCCTTGAGCAAAGCACCTGACTCCCAACTGCTCCCCAGGCACCGTGGATAGGGCTGCCCACTGCTCTGGGCAAGTGTGCAAGTGTGCTCACTGCCCAGCGCAGCACAGATGGGTTAGATTAAGTGACCCTTATTAGTCCCACAATGGGGAAATTTCACCTCCACATTTTAACCCATCCATGCAGTGAAACACCACATACACACTAGTAAAGGCACACACACATCAGGGGGCAGTGAGCACACTTACCCAGAGTGGTAAGCAGCCCTATCCATGATGCCCAGGGAGCAGTTGGGGGTTAGGTGTGCTTCAGTCACGTACTGGAGGATTGAACCAGCGACCTTCTGGTCACAAGGCCGGTTCCCTAACCTCTAGCCCACGACTGCCTGGAGGTGCATTTCCCCGTTGTGGGATTAATAAAGAGTAACTTAACTTATATCTAGTTGATATTTACTCCTCTATGCATTTCTGCTTAAATATATAATTACATTGATGGAACAAGGCTTTTACCTTGTGCAGTTTTACTCTTCTGCTCACTGTCCTTCTAGCCTCATGCAGCAATATGCTCTCAACAAATGCAGTCATGTGCAAAAGTTTTGGGTGCTGCTAGTCAATTTACATGTTTTGTTGAAAATACATCCTCTACAAAGAATAAATTCATGCACAATTTAATGCACAATTACTGTTGTTTACTTTTGTACTGTGCTAAGTTTATATTGGGAAGAAGTAAAACATAAAATGTGAGTAAATGGTTATTTTTTCCTAATATATTAAACTCAGCAAATAAACAGAAGTACAATTTGTGAAAAAAATGCCATATTATGTTTGTTCCCTTTATAGGATGTGATAACTTATTTTTGCACGTGACTGTAGGCATCAGGACCATGATTGGTGGAATCATTTGTATGCTGGAGACCAGAAAAGTGTAGTTTTGCTATGTACATTAATCAGTTCTTTAACAGTAGGGAATAGCCAAGGCCGTTTGCTGTTACAACTGTGTTTCTTATCAACTAATGGTTTTATAAATTCATTCTCTAGCAACAGAATCTTAACATACTCTTCACATATTTCTATATATTTATGAATTTAGTCATGGGTTGAAGCTTGCTCTAAAAAACAAATGCTTAAAGATGCTACCATGGCTAACAGTGAATGGAAGCTAGCCTCTTATTTACATTATGTTCCCTGTCCCATACTCCTTATCAGTTATTATTACACTACATAACATTTACGGCATTTGGCAGACACTCTTATTCAGAGCGACTTACAATTTGATCATTTTACACAGGTAGGCAACAGTGGTGTTAGGAGTCTTGCCCAAGGACTCTTACTGGTATGGTGTAAACGCCCAGGTGGGGGATTGAATCCCAGTCTACAGCATAGATGGCAGAGGGGTTACCCACTAAACTATACTAACCATATTAATATTATTATTATTGTTGTTGTTGTTGTTGCAGTTATTGTTGTTACATTGTGGGGTGTTGTGAACATGAATCCTCTTCTCTGTGTTTTCCAGGGGGCAGAGAATAAACGCGTGTGTGAAGCTGTGCCCACCATGGTGGCAATGCCCCATGTCAGAACTGACTTCTTCAGCGGACAAATGAGAGAGCTACTCACCTCTATTCTGGTCACCACCATCGGTGCTGACACTGTGGCCCACATTGGCACTGAACGAGGGAGACTTCTACAGGTGGTCACTTTATCCTTGGCCACTGAAGGGCACGGAAATTTATTGCATTTTTTTGTACAGTTCTGTTTGATGATTGGTGCGCTCTGTTGGATACAGGTCATCCTGAGAAGGTCCAGCCCCATGGTGTTTGCCAACTATTCTCTCGTGGGAGAGGAGGAGAGGGTTTCCCGCATTGCTGCTAATCGATCAGAGGAGTCTTTACTCTTTGTCGTGGGAAACAAGGTGCAATTTCTCTGCTAAATCTCTCACTCTCTCTTTCCGCCTTTGATTCATATTGATCTGGTTTTATATATATACGCACTTTAGGGCTGCATGATATTGAATTGCAGTTTTACTGCTACACATCGCAGTTGCAAGGTGCTACAAAATGTAGTACCAACTTTGGTGAACCGTTGATTTGAATGTCTGAAATGCTCACAGCACAAATTAGGACAAAATCAGTTACTCTTCTGGTTTTCCAACCTCGTTTACTTAAATATTTACCTGTTATTTTGCATAGATAGAAATGCAGATGTCACTTTAGTTACTGTTCTTGTCGAAACACTGGCCAGTTGAGGAGTCTTTGTAACTGAAGCTGCTGCCACCTGTGTCACAATAATGTACCCTCTGTCAAAGTTACTTAGATCTTTTACTCTTAATCCAAACTTCTGATCAGTATTTTGTATTCTTGCTGCAGAGCATGGTAGGATATTAATTGTATGACACAGTACACCTGTCTGTGAGCATCTGCACCCATTATTCCTGTACTTTATCGATCCTACAAGGGAGACTGGCCATTTTGTTACCTAACCATGCTCTGGGAGCAGCTAAGTGCTTTGCCAAGGAGAAAAACAAGGTATATCTGGTCAGTCTTGGGATTTGAACCCACAACCTTCTAGGTGAGGAATCGCCTCTCCTATCACTAAACCACTCATGTGTTCAGGTTTTTACTTCTGTTGCCTGTTTGTATAGACTAAATATAATTCGACTAGCTTACAAGCAGGAATTGTGGCAAAATAATTAGCCATTTGAATGGTCAGGGCCTTCCGGCAGGCCCAAAGTTTTATTACACACTTCTATAACCTAAGAATATGTCAACTAGTTTGTACTGAAGTGCCTGTAGTTACTGAATTATAAGCCTTAGTATGTAATAAGCCTGGGATTTAAGGGGTTAAACTACACTTACCTTGCAAAAATGGTAACTTTATGTAATGTAAATGTAATGTAAGTTAATGTAAAGAGGCTTTGTGTCAAGCAATTTTGGAGCACTTCTGTTGGTCTGTTCATCAAGAACTTTTTACACGATGTACAGGACGGCTGCTGTGCTCAAATGATGTACAAAAATAAAAATCCATAAAATTTAGATACTTTTTTGCACAGTGACGATATGTTTACAGTTGATTACGAAATTTGCTGCCTTATTGTCTACGAAAGTTTAAGACAACCTTTATTAGTCTGCTGGATCTGAAGTATTCTCTCTCTCTCTATCTCTCTCTCTCTCTCTCTCTCTCTCTCTCTCTCTCTCTCTCTCTCTCTGTTTCTGTGGCCCACTCCTGCAACCATTTGCCCTTTGTATATTGGTGCTGTCGGAACAAAACTTAGTCATCTTCAATTCCACCCGCTAGTTAGGACTCCCCCAATCACACGATACTACCAACACTAGGAGGGTGAAGGCTAGCACAGGCTTCCTCCGAGACCTGTGAAGCCAGCCACTGCATTTTTTCGAACTGACGCTCACGCAACGTCATTGGATCTCCTGATGATAGGGCCAACGCTTAGACGGTTGCGCCACTCGGGAGCCCCGTTTTTCAGGTTTTGACATAATTTGAAAATTTCTTGCCCTTTATATTAAAAAATTGGAAAAAAGTGGAAAAAAGTCTGGTTCCATTGACTTACATTAAAAGTAAAGTATGTTTTTTCCTTCTCCTCTAAAGTTACCATTTTGGAGATACGAGGTTTTGTTCCGACAGCAGGGATATATTCTTTTTTTTTCTCTTTTCATCTCTATTTATCTTCTTCCTCTTCAGGTTCCTTACTAGATATCTTCAACTTGCTTCCATCAGACAGAACAACATTTTATTATACTGCTCTTCTTGTCCTGTGCACATATAGCAGCGTCTCTTACGCTCTTTCTCTTACTCTCTGTGTTCAGGTGGTCAGCGTGTCTGCTAGAGGTCCAGGATGTGCTCATTTCCTGACTTGTTCAGAGTGTCTGAGGGCTCCATGGTTTATGGGCTGTGGTTGGTGCGAGGGGGGCTGTTCTCGACTGGCCGAGTGCCAGGGACAGTGGACGAACCGCACCTGCCCTCCCTCCATCACCCAGGTAATACATACGTCCCTGCTTACCAACTTCGCATTTTGCTGCGCTCACTAAACTGTGATGTGTCAGTGTGTTTGCAGCGTCGGTTTGTGTTTGTGAAAACATGTCTAAACAAGCAGGTCCTTGATTTAGTCATGTTAGTATAATTGTGCGGTCACTAGACTCACTGCTCCTTTGGAAGTGTCCCTCAGACGACACTGATAAAGATGCAGATACCATGAAGGCTAAAATAAATGATCAAACTCATGCTTGAGGAGAAAGGGAGAGAGCATTGGAGTCTGTTTGTGTTGCTGATTGACATGGATAATTGTATTAAAACCGTAATCAGGGATTAGTACATTTATAGAACATACCTGCTGATTCTGTAAGACACGTGCTCACATTTTCCATTCGCTCTCAGCAGCCGCTTTATTGGAAACACTTACTCTATAGCTCGGCCTGTCACGATCATGACGTTTTAGCTGATGATATAAATAACTGTAATAAATGTAATTGTCTTTTATTGTTCAGTGTATACAACTGCTAAAGGACAGGCCTAAAGTGGCCTAATTAACTGACTGGCTATCTTGCTGTTAATATACAGTCGCTCTGAACTGACAACAGAAACAGTTTGAACTCAAATAAACAAACATTACTCACTGCCGTCCTTTGAAGGTGTTATTTACATAAAATAAACAAACATTAGTCACCACCATTACTCACCGTCGCCCTCTAAAGGTGTTATTAACATCAGCCAAACAAACATTACTCACTGCTGCCCTCTAAAGGGTGCCACTGAGCTTTCATTCTTTCAACCCCTTAAATTTCTGTTGAACAATCCTATAACCTAAGAATAATTCAACCAGTTTGCATTGCAGTTCATATTGTTACTGAATAATGATATGACTGGGATTTTAATTGAAGCACTTCACTTAAGACGGGCATCTAAAAGCACCGTGCAAAACTGCTCATCACACTACTACTCTACTAGAAGCTATCGTTAGCCAACATTACGACTCATACAATCACATAGCTTTTAAAAGGTAGTGAGCTAGGTTCACAATAATGACAGAGGAAGTTACACAGGTACCTACAACAGCTTGCACTGCTGTAGAGACAGAGGTAGAAAAGGCTTTGAACAAAAAGAGGTTGGATATGCAGGTCAAACCAGAGGGATCATCGGTGGGTTTTCAAAAGGTGGTGAAACCTGAAGGAGTTAAAAGGCCTGTAAAGCTGTTTTTCTGTTGGACAGGTAATTATGTGGTTTGTTTAGTTTATGGGGAATTTGTTATTTTCCTGAATTATGTAGCCAACATAGCTAGCTACTTGTGTAGCTACATTATGTATTAGTCCAGTGCTAACTAAGCTGTAGGTGTATGCTAGCTAGCTGTGTTTATCTTGTGTGTAATCTGTGTGTGTATATGTTCGCAGGCCATGAACGTTCGTTGTTTTGTGGGAGTGGCTTTGGAAGGATGTCTGGAAGTAGGGGGTGGGATTTTTTCAGTTCAAAAAATAGATTGCTCTTCCTGGTTTCTACAGAATCGCCTGCTCCAGCTATAAAACATACTTCTAGAAAATGAGGACAACTTGGCTTTCTAAGATGTGGACCCTTAGAAAAAAATGTTAGGCTTCAGGTGACATATGATCTTTTGCTACAGGCAGGTTAGACTTGTTACAGAATTGGATAGTTGTTGTTTTTTTTCCTCTGATATCCGATCCAGCATTTTCTGCAGTACTGATACTGATATCCAGACAGGCACCCGCCCTGTTCTCAAACCAAGTAATAAATGAGAACCCTTTGGAGACGAGGAACAACTGTGCACAGTAACCTACAACAGTGACACTAAAATGATGTGAAGAATCTGGATGGTGTCATTGGCTGATTATATATTGATTATAACTTATAATTTATTGTTAAAGGTATGGCAATTCAATAGATACAGCTAGAGTACGTATATTCCATTGAGACACAAAGTAAGTAAGAGTTTCTAATTCCAGTTTAAAAACTGCAAAAACAGTTTAGAAGGCAAAAATATAGTTAAACCAAATGTCTTAAAGGGCAAATCGTGAAAAACTCAGCAAATGAAATTGACTTTTTTGAAATGTTATAAATTTGAATAAACTCAGAGTCAGATGTTATATTTTATTGTTTTCAGTAGGTGGAGCGATGGGAAATTCTACCACCACTGCCAGCAGCAGCAAATAGATAGATAGATAGATAGATAGATAGATAGATAGATACATACATACATACATACATACATTATTGTTGCCGAAAGCCATTTAGCAGCCAGTAGCAGTCACACAACACAGAACAGTTACAATAATAAGAGTATTACAATATAAAAAGAGTAGTGGTAGTAACAGTTAACAGAAAATTCCATCAATATAAAAAAATTCCCAGCTTTTACTAAAAGCCAGGTTTTTTGTTACTGTTTTGGGATCCACAGATGCTGAACGTCTCATTGTTGAAGTCCAGTCATACCCAGTATTATACAACAAAACATTTTACAGAGAATCCTCCTGACATTTTTACTGTAAATAAACTATCCACACTGCTGAGGCTCTCTTCTGAAAATCATCCAATGTGTTTGTCTGTTTATCTTAAAAGCTTTAGACCACCTGCGTATCTGTGTGTACAGTTTTACCCCCTTACATGGTCAAGGGGCCATCGTCGAGCACAAAGTCGCCTATAACCTAAGAATAGCTCAACCTGTTTGCGTTGAAGTGCCTGTAGTTACTAAATAATAAGCCCTAGCATGTAATAAGCCTGGGACTTTAAGGGGTTAAGCTGCCTTCTATGGATTTGTATGGTGTCGGTCTGGGTTTACTAGTAGTAGAAGGAGTGGTAAGATGAGTTCAGTAGGACTCATTGTCGGTCAGAGACATTGAGCACTGCTGGACTGTCTGTCAGTCGTGGATCAGCAGCGTCTATTGATGGTGGACGTGTCGTCTGCCTGACATGTCTGGTGTGTTTCAGCGTCATGGCCACAACATGGTCGTGCTAAAATCTCTTGTTGCAGCTTTAATAGGTTTCTTCTGTGATTTTTCAGTTTTTCCCAAAGACGGCGCCCCCTGATGGTGAGACCGAGCTTACGCTGTGTGGCTGGGACCTCCAGTCTCCTACAAAACCTGCCATCACTCCAGCTACTCACCAAGTTAGAGTCGGAGAGACCAGCTGCTCCATAATACCAAAGAAGAGTAACAGTAACCAGTGAGTAGTGCACACACACAAACACGTTTGTTTATGATATCAGGATATGATGTCATACATACAGTCCTGTGCAGAAGTCTTGGACTCTGAAAGTTGTTTTTATTCTCAGCAGTAAGTTGTTTTTTGGGTAAAAACATTATGTAACAATAAAATGAATATAAATAAACATAAACACATTAAAATGTCATAAGATTATTTTGTTGGTAGCACTTGCTGCTATATATCATCATCATAAGCATGCCATAAACGTGTCATGAGAGATGTCATATACTGTCATGAGTTGCCATGATAGATTAAGTCCAGTGACATAATAGTGCGGGGTTCATATTAATGGTCATTGTCGTGGCACATGCAGTAATGTTTGATGACGGCTAACTTCAGCATGTGATATAAGCAATGTGTTATCATTTTTTGAAATCGTTATTAATATGTCGGTTAGAAGACACAGGCTTCTCACTCCAGCCATTATATGGATTTGTTAAACTCCATCAGCAGCACACCTGATTTCATTTGAGAATAATTTAAGGATTAGATAAACTAGATATTGAAGGGTATGTATAAGCACTGGACTTTCTCAAGGAGACCACTGCCAGTGCTTAAAGGGGAATTCCACCTATATTTCAAAATTTCTCAATAATTCAAATGTTTATATATATTGTCATTCAGAGTGATTTTGTGAAATGGTGCATTTTAGAGAAACTTAACAATTTAGATTTCTTCACAGTGTGGTGATGGTAACCAGGGGTTGCAAAGTCTACAAATATATGCATTTTATTTATTATTCAAAAAAAGTAAATCTACTACACATGTATTCTGAGTTTAAATATGTTGTTGATGGTAAAAAAGTGGTAAATCTGAAAAAGTAAATTTTCTTTGGGGACTCTTTTGCATGCATCATTGGATTTTAGGCCACATCAATAATGCAAAACTTTAATTAAGCAGTGTTCCAGGCATCAGGCAGCATATTCATAACCATGCCATGTAAAACCTTTCTGAGAGGGAGCTTTTAGAGTCAGACATCTGGTTCCTATCAACACCACTGTGAACAGTTCTGACATTTCTGGCATGTCTCTCTAGAATGGGGCGTTTCACATCAAACCACTCTGAATGAGTTTGTTTACATCTTAACTCAGATCGTTATGCAGAAGTGTTGGAAAATCAGTAGAATTTACTTTTCAAGCTAACATACACATCAAACCACAGTGTATTACTAATTTGTTTATTTCTATTTATTCTAATGTTAGTGTTTTTTGCTAAATAAATAAATGGCTTAACAAACAGTGATGCCTAGACTTTTGCACAGTGCTGTATGTGCCTTATACATTATTTATGCATTATTGTGCAACTGTCTTGGGCACTTAAGCGCATTATTTTAAGCCTTTTATCTTGCTTGTTAACTGTGTTTGCAATTTCTTGTCAAACCAGTAAATTATATCCTGTGAGCTAGTTTGAATAATGAAGTTTCTCCTGGACGATGATGGTCATCACATAGGGTTGTTAAATTCCATCACCAGCACATCTGATTTAACCCATAAATGGCCAGGGCCCAAGATTTTATTACACACTTCTATAACCTAAAAATAACAGCCAGTTTGCATTAAAGTCCCTGTAGTTACTGAATAATAAGCCTGGGATTTTAAGGGGTTAACATTATGAAGTATTAATTAGCCAAACCAGTTGTTGGATTGCATCTGCAAATAATGCTAGGCTGCCATGAGGAGATATTTATTGACCAGATAAATAGCTTTATGAACCTATTTTCCTTAGGTGCCTTAATCTTTTGTATATAAGTGTGTATATGTAATAAGATTTTTATAAACCTAAACCTAACCTTTGCCACAGTAACCAAAAAGAAATTATGTTGTTTTGCAGTTGTAAAAAAACAAAGCTTTGGTAAAGGCACTGTTTTTCTCTGTCCATTTATATGTCCTGAAAGCATACAAAAACAAGCACACACACACACAACCACAATAAACTCATGACCTGTCTCTCCTCTCAGGCTGGTATGCAGTATCCTTCCTCAGGCCTCGGATTTGGAGCAAAATGTGGAGATCGGTGTGGGTGTGGAGGAGGGAGCAGTAGAGCGCAGTTATTCCATCTCTGGAAAAGCAAACATATCAGGCTTCAGCTTCGTGGTAAGAGCTCCTCTTCTTCTGAAAAGCTGAAAAGTGCTATACAAACAGGGATGCGGGACATTTTAAGTTGGGTTGCTGAAATTTTAAGCGGCATATACATGACATGAACGATGACGCCATGCAGAATGTTTTGCCTTTTTTTTAAATAAAAAACAGAACATGTTATAATGTGCGATAATGAGGTGAAAGAAGACAAATATAGATCAATCTGCTGATGCACATTCTCTCTCTGCTTTCTCATTCTGTATGGACTTTATGCAAATGAACTGAGTGACCAATCAGAGTGTTTACATGTGGTAACAGAAACTTAACTCTTGAACACATACTGACCAGGAGATGTAATGGTTGATAAAAATGCCATTATTACGACAAATGGTTTTAAATTTTTAAAGTTTTAAGTACAGTATATGGACTACTGTACCAAATAAGTTCAAACTGCGTTCCCACAGTAAAAAACTATTTAAAAATTCAATATTGAGATTTTAGATATTTGCAAGGATTATGTTGTGATATATTTAAACTCAAGGCATCGTTAGAGATAATATTAAGTGAAATATATACAAATGCATTATTTATAGAGTCCATTCTTTGGGAAGGTCTGTTATTGAATTTTAACTTGTGAAAATAATATTTTTTTCAATGATCTTTTTGATTTCTTTGTCTGATTCATAGTGAGTTTAATTTTTCAATAAAAAAACTGTCAATACTGACATATTTGGTAAAGTTTAAAGGTAGTGCTATGAATGTTTTGTTAGTGACAAAATTGAATTGTCAATCATTTATTTTGATAAAATAACCAGAAATAACATATAGGGTCACTCAAAGCAAAACGATTTTAGTGTTCAAGTCAGTTAAAAGCCTGAAGTGGGTTTTTAACTCTGACTTTGAACCAGTTCAGTAGAATGATCCATATATATGTTTTGTAAAATATATAAAATGCTACATACCTGCTTGTGTTTTAGTGACATTCCCCAAAGTCCAGGCCAGCACTTGATTTGGTTAGCTGTAATGAAAGTACAGTGTTACTGTAAACAGTGCATGAGTACAGCAGATTTTGAAATATATAGACAAAATATAAAAATGCAAACCCAACTTTAAACCAAGCACACATCGATCTCTACTACACTCTACTTATTACAAAATTCAATGTATTCAATATTAATTTTTTAGCAGTTGTAATCCTGCAGTTTGGGGCTTGCTGCGACCCCCTTAGCACCCTTACTTCCCGCATCCATGTATACAAAAAAAACTGAATCAGTTTGGTTGTATTTCATTCATTGTGCCACTGCTTTGTTTCTGTAAAACCCTTAATGTACTGAAAAGGGATAAAGTTCAAACCTAGGAATCTACACAGTGCATCAGCTGTTATGTTTGTTAGATTGTTGAAATTTATCAATTCTCACTATCAGACTCCAGAAATCACAGACATCAGTCCTGACTATGGGCCCAAGATTGGAGGTAGTAGGATCACACTATCAGGAAAACATCTGGACGCTGGGCTAACTAGGGAAGTCCGTCTGGGGGACAAGATTTGCACAGTTGAAAGGTTTTTAGCAGTACAGTCACATTCAGCATTATTGATTTCACTTTGTTCATGCCCTTGTCATAAAGCTGCCTTTTACATTTTTGACAGTGTGTCATCCAACGGGACCTGGTCCTCTCTAGTCTTCGTGTCTGAGGGGGTGGATGACGTAGCAGAAGTGAACTTGACACTTTTGATTGACAAATCAACTGTGTTTGCAGCCCAACAGTTCAGCTACAGGGAAAACCCTGTAGTGACGGAGGTGAAGCCCACCTGCAGCTTTAACAAGTGAGTCTCATTACAGGGGAAAACTTAAGAAAAACATCCATTTACTGCAGTGCTAAACCATTTGAGGCACACCTATTGCTAACAGGTGCTTGAAAGCAAGTATACAGCCATGCATAATCCATAGAAATACACTGGCAGCAGAGTGGGTCGTACTGAAGAGCTCAGTGACTGTCATAGAAAAAGACCTGTCCAAGAAGTCAGCTCATCATATTTGTCCCCTGCCAACACAGCCCTGATCACCTAAGTCAGGGGTGTCCAAAGTCCGGCCCAAGGGGAGTCTGCATACTTTCAGCCATGTTGCGCATATACCCCAATCAGGCATAACATTATGACCGCCTCCTTGTTTCTACGCTCATTGTCCTTTTTATGAGCTCCACTTACTATATAGGTGCACTTTGTAGTTCTACAGTTACAGACTGTAGTCCATCTGTTTCTCTGCATACTTTGTTAGCCCCCTTTTACCCTGTTCTTCAGTGGTGGTGGTGTGTTAGTGTGTGTTACGCTGGTACGAGTGGATCAGACACAGCAGTGCTGCTGGAGTTTTTAAGATCATTTACACACACTAACGCACCACCACCACGTCAGTGTTACTGAAGTGCTGAGAATGATTCACCACCCAAACAGTACCTGCTCTGTGAGGGTCCATGGAGGTCTTGACCACTGAAGAACAGGGTAAAAGGGGGCTAACAAAGTATGCAGAGAAACAGATGGACTACAGTCTGTAACTGTAGAACTACAAAGTGCTCCTATATAGTAAGTGGAGCTGATAAAATGGACAATGAGCGTAGAAACAAGGAGGTGGTCATAATGTTATGCCTGGTCGGTGAGCGTTTATAGTGTATATACACTACCATACAGATCAAATGATTCTAATATGATGGTAGTGCCGCACACCTTCATGGGTTTTAAATAATTACAGCCAGCTGTAAAACATACAGTATATTATTTATCATTTGATAATATTCTAATTCCCAGCGTATCTTTTGAGTTGAATAAAATATCTAAAAATAACTTTTAACTTTAGTTTATCATATTTAAACTGCACTGTATAGGTATTATTGCTTAGAATATAACTAAACATTAGAATGGCAAGATGTTTACTGTCACTATTTGTTATTCAGCTGTAGTAGTGCTGAAGATTTAGAGACAGCATAAACTAATAATTTAATAATACTTTTGGTTACTTAAAAATACATTTTGGCTGTTTTCTCCTGAAGGGGATCCAAAATCATCATCATGGGGCAGAATCTGGACACACCCTCCCAGACAACAATCTACTATACACCCAAGAACTCAAATGCTGTCCAAAGTGTAAGTTTTTTCAACACTGTCTGTTTTACTATTCCTATTATGCTAATAGAAATTTAAAATGTTGACTAAATATTTTTATATTTAATCCTTCAGGTGTGTGTGGGTACTGTTACCCCCACACAGATGGAGTGTGTGAGTCCAGTGTGTGAGGATTCTGAAGGTGTCCTCTCAGTGGACATGGACGGAGCTAAAGATCTTTATTCTCAGCCTTTCAGCTGTCACCCCAATGGCCAACCCATTCCTTTTGAGCATGAAGACCGGGTGTTCCCGCTGGAGCCTGGACAAACTAAAGTCTCACTGCATGTGTGTCTGCACCGTATTCTTCATACTCTTCTATACATACATGTTCCTTTGCAAACCAGCTTTACAGGATTAGGTTTCTTTTTATCCCAAATGCAGCTGATGAGCCAAGACATATCTGGTGTCCAAATTTTGTTTCTTTAATTTAGATCTGGAGGTGCCAGGCTAACAGTGCTAACAAAACACCAAAACCGGTTCCACGAATACGTGGAAAAATCGTTCAATATTTACATTAAATTATGTCAACAAGCGTGGTGGACTTGTTTAGAAGAAAAGAATTTGGTAAAATAGCCTGGACAGACTCTATTTACGCATTTCGAGCTAAAATTGGGAGTACATTATCATCTTTATCATCTGCCTTATCATCTGCATAACGTCTCACACTGCGGTTTGTTGTAAAAAGGCACTATGCAGGTACGCAGTGTTAGCACGGCTTATTTACCGTAAGGGAGTTGATGTTACATATTGAAATAACAATAAACCTGCAAAATGAGGTGTTGTGTTCCATTTTGCAAAAACAGACCAAAGAAATCTATGGATAGTTTGGTACGTTACCACCAATTTCCTGTTTACTTTTTCTTCATCTTTATTGTGCCCACTGCACAGTGGCGCAGTGGGTAGCGCTGTCGCCTCTTTAGTTTAGAACTGGAGCTATGAGGCTAATGTTGCTAACAAAAAAATCTATAGTCTTCCAAACCGTTTTCACAAATACTTCCCCAAAACGTCTCTCAACTCGATCAAACTGCAATCACATCTTAATTCAGGTTGCAGAGACAAGTCAATGCACTTTAGAAGAACACAGTATTAACTATGAACCTTTAGCACAAAGCTGAGGTTATCATCTTATTCAAATTTTTTGTTCCACTTTATATTGTGCTGCAGCTACACTGTAACTGCAAGTACATTATAGAGTACAACTGCTGCACCATTTAAGGTGGAACATGAAATTTGAATGAGAGGCTACTGATTAGGAAGCCAGTATCAGCCTCAGATCTACATGTGGCATGACAGTAAGTGGGCACAATACACACACACACACACACACACACACACACATTTTCTAAAACCGCTTATCCCTCTGGGTCGCGTGGGGAGCCGGAGCTGATCCCAGCGGTCAGTGGGCGGAAGGCAGGATACACTCTGGACAGGTCACCTGTCCATCACAGGGCAGACAGACATATACATTCACACACACCTAGGGGCAATTAGCTGTCCAGTTGGCCCAAACGCATGTCTTTGGACTGTGGGAGGAAACCCATGCAGACACGGGGAGACCATGAAAACTCCGCATAGAAAGGACTCTTCCAGGGTCCCGACCAGGGTCCTTTCTGTGTGTCGGGCCAACTGGACACGCTTAATTGCCCCTAGGTGTGTGAATGTATATGTCTGTCTGCCCTGCGATGGACTGGCGACCTGTCCAGAGTGTATCTTGCCTTCCGCCCACTGACCGCTGGGATCGGTTTCGGCCACCCCACAACCACCCCCCCACCCCCCGCAACCCAGAGGGATAAGCGGTTTTAGAAAATGTGTGTGTGTGTGTGTGTGTGTGTGTGTGTGTGTGTATTGTGCCCATATACTGTCATGCCACATGTAGATCTGAGGCTGATACTGGCTTCCTAATCAGTAGCTTCTCATCAAATTTTCTGTTCCACCTTAAATGGTGCAGCAGTTGTACTCTATAATGTACTTGCAGTTACAGTGTAGCTGCAGCACAATATAAAGTGGAACAGAAAATTGTAATAAGATGATAACCTCAGCTTTGTGCTAAAGGTTCATAGTTAATACTGTGTTCTTCTAAAGTGCATCGACTTGTCTCTGCAAACTGAATTAAGATCTGATTGCAGTTTGATCAAGTTGAGAGAAGTTTTGGGAAAGTATTTGTGGAAACGGTTTGGAAGACTATAGATTTTTTTGTTAGCAACATTAGCCTCATAGCTCCAGTTCTAAACTAAAGAAGCAAATTTTTTTTTTTATTCTTGGCTGATTGACAGCATTTGGGGTAACTGGAAAATCATGAAAATTAGATTGATGATTTTTTTGGACTATTCGATATGGCACAACTAGTGTTGGGGTATTTACCAAAAAAGTAATCCATTATAAATTACTTATTACTCACCTTGAACTGTAGTGAGATTACTATACTTATTACTTATTTAAAAAGTAGTACTGGAAAGTACAAAGGAAATCTAAGAGTCATTTTAGTGCTTTATTTAGAAAGAAATAGCCAGCCAGAGTAAACTTTATAAAAAAGCCCTGCCAGTGCTTCTGTCACAAGACACAGCCAGTTATGCTTGTTTGAAATTATGAGTGGCTAATGTTTGAAAATCTAGCAACTAGAAAATATAGAAACAGCTTCAAGACAAAGCACAAATTACATACAAGGACTGACACAGATAATCTATAATACTGTTTTGTACTTTAATCTGTATTGTATTGTCAGCCGACCTACTGCATTCTAGAAGCACTAATTATTGAATCTGATTGCAATTATTCTTTCAAGCACATTAAACTGAGCCTGGTGAGCCAATGCATGGACATTGTCATGACAATAAATGGAGTGGACTGCAACGCCAAAGTTCTGGACAACGAGATCGTCTGCAGAATCCCCAAGAATGTCACCATCCCCAGGGAGGGGGCACCTGTCAGGGTGAGATGACCAGCTTCAGGTGCTATCTGACTCCATTAACCTCCATTGTTTTTAACTCAGTTCACCTCAATGTAGTTCAGTTCAAAAGAAAGCAACACTTTTTTCATTCTCAGTTTTGTGTATCATTCCAGGTTTCTGTCAATGGGGAAACGTATGAAATTGGCCGGGTGGTGTACTTCAGAAACAACTCCACAGTGGGCATTGTGCTGGGTATACTGGCAGCACTGGCTGTAGGCGCTGCTTTAGCGTATGCAGTAATGAGACATTTGCGCAAGAGGAAGAAAGGTGAGATCATATTCCTGTCCCAAATTCATTTCTGTGTGGAATAACGTGCTCCTTTCTTTAATGTTACTTATTAAATTTACCATATACTATTAAAGGGTCCATATCCTGTATTTTCCTTGCATTTGTCTTTTCATTAAGGTTGACTTATAATGTTTGTGTGATTTTATGTGCCAAAAACAGTCAGAATTGAACATTTTTCAACCTCTCTTCATCCCTTTAAACAGGCTGTTTTTGTTATTGTGGCTTTAAGACAGACATATGTAAATTACCTCTGTACTGATTGGCTGCCCTTCATTCAAAAAGCAGTCTGGGCTAAAACACTCCTTATAACTTCAGCGGGAGTGGGTGAAGCTAAACTGCTCTCAGCTAAATAGGCAGATAGATGTGTCAAGGGGTTGTTTTCTGTGAATTTACAGAAAGCAGCCTGTTTTTGTAGCTTAGTTTCCATATATGGACAAGGGAGTGAACTGTATGTTTTGAAACTTTAACAGTGTTTACATACTACATCAGACTCTTTTGTTTCAGGAATGTGAAGAAAATTTGTTTTTTCACAATTAAATAAAAATACTAAAATACTATAATATAGATTAATTCTATAGTACTATATTATGAATTTATAATTAAATATTATTATTGACTGTTATTTTAGTACTTTATTTTAGTAAAGTATGGATCTACAGCATGTTTGTCTGGTATATGATGCTCTAATATACTTGTCAAACATGATTGCTGGTTTTGAAAGGATAGTTGTAGCGTTAGTTATATAAGAATAGTTGTAACCAGTAATGTTGCAGTACAGTGGAGAATATGATAAGATATGAATTACGATAGCACTGAAGTGTGATAGCTTCTTGATAAACATAAAATATCTGTAATAATAATAATAATAACAATAATAGTAATAATAACAACTCTTTCTTGCAAGTTCATCTGGAAAGAGTTTTGTCTTATTTGTAGCAATGCAAGCAGAGGCTCGGCTGTCACGGTATTCCGCTCGGAACGGGATAGGCGCGGATGTCTCACCTGTAGGAGACTACAGACGAGGTAAATCAGTCACGAGTGTGTTTTTCAAATGGAAATCATTTGTTACTCCTTACTAGACTGTATAATCAAACGAACATCATACTGACACATGATGTAGCCTCTTCCTGCAGGCCCCCTAGAGGCCATTTTACCAGCAGAATGGAAATCAAATCAGATGCTTTTAATCAATATAATCAATAAAATATTTTCCCAGTAGCTGTTATCAGACGAATGCGGACACTGTTGTCTCTGAGTAAGGGGTCAAAAGGGAGGCGTGAGAAAAAGATTTGTATACTGCCACAACAAACAAATAGCATTTAAGTACGATAGCAACACTTTTATAAATGTTGACTTACTTGCTCACCTACAAATATGGAAATCAACAAAATACACAGTTGGTTCTGGTTTTGTAAATTGTACACAATTCCTGTGTTCTTTAATATGAAACAGTTGTATGTAAAAGTTTGGGTTCTCCTGGTGTTTTGTTGATGTGATAAAGTCAGCTGTGGTTTCTCTGTCCTGTAGAACTGTCCCATGGTAGCTCGCATGGCTCCGGCATGGCGTTCTCTGGGCTGGCGTACGCTGGCCCCCTAGATCCTTCTGCTGTTCCTCTGGTGTCTCCTCAGAGGTTCTCCATGTCATCGCTGCGACCTGAGCTGCTGGAGGAGGTGAAGGACGTGCTAATCTCTCCTGAGAAGCTCAAAGTCCGGCAGGACCAGATCATCGGCAAGGGTAACAGCTCCTCAGATGGATTTTATTAAAACTTTTTGGATTTGTTTAGGGCTCATTTAGGCCTCAAAGGCTTAACTTTATTCTCCAGTTTATCCAGGTTATACTTATCCTGCTCTCTTTTCCATCATTTGAAATCCGTTCTTCTTTCCTTGTTTCTCAAATCTCTGCAGGTCATTTTGGGACAGTGTATCATGGCTACCTTACTGACAGTAACAACCGTGAAATCCACTGTGCAGTGAAGTCACTGAACAGTGAGTGAATTCATGTTTTAAACCGTGTAGAACACAGATGTTGTCCTCTGTTGTTGTATAAGCAACTTTGTAAGTTAAATCAACGCAACAAGCATGCAGAAGTTTGACACCCCTGTGTCATAAACAAATTATGTTTAATTTCATTCAATATGTTAAATTCAGCAGATAAACAGTAATTGTGCATGAAACCTGTGTTCTCTATATAGGATATGTTAACTTATTTTCACTTAGAAAATCAGTCACACTTTATTTGGATGGTCCCCTATAGATGCTCTACAGATACCTAAATCACTAACAAACTTTCTGGTGATAATCAGTTGATTATCAACAACAGTATGGTTAGGGTTAGGAGTGAGTGTAGGTTTTGCCTTGAGGTTAAGGTTAGGGTTAGGTTTAGGGTTAGGAATAGATTTAATAAAATTTTTCATACTGAACTTGAAGTTCGGTTTCATTTAATAGATATTTAGTTGAATGTTACTTCAAGACATGCTGAGCATTTACAAAGCATCTACAGTGGACCATCCAAATAAAGTGTTACCAGGAAATCAACAAATGTCATTTGAACAGGGGCGCCCAAACTTTTTGTTTCACTGCCATTCACATGTTTGGAATCGCTGTTCAAAAGATCCAACCAATTGTGTGGCACATAAATGTATAAAATTGTTCAAGTACACTCGTCCTGCGCAACTATAGAACACAGAGTTAATTTATACCAAAATTAATATCCAGAATTGATCATAATTCAGAAGTGGAGATCAAGTCCCAAGGCAGATAACTTGACCAAAAATGTAATTAATTAAAGTGCATTCTTAAACAGTTTTGTTCATTTCTTATTCATCAAATTCTTAAACTATTGAATAAAACATTTAAAAATACCTTTTGGTGAAAATGTCGTAATACTTAAAACCCCATTTTTAGATTATTGTTTGTAAAATAACAAAATTTATTAATACAGCATGTAATTCCTAACAGAACGGTTGTGCACATGCCATCCTAACAGTCAGGTAAAAAGTCAGGTGAAAGAATTTTGCTGTATGTTGACAGGGATAACAGAAGTAGAGGAGGTGGAGCTGTTCCTGCGAGAGGGCATCCTGATGAAAGCCTTCCACCACCCTCATGTGCTGTCACTGCTGGGAATTCTGCTGCCGGCTGACGGGCTCCCCATGGTAGTCCTGCCATACATGAAACACGGAGACCTCCGACACTTCATCCGCTCTAAAGAAAGGGTGCGCAGCATGAGTTTTTCATTGTTTTCATACCTGTAGTTTATATGCCTTGATGTAACTGCATTATGCACCCATAATGTGCCTGAATTTAACGTTTGATTTACTAATACACAGCTTATTACACAAACTGCTCAGAGCCATACCCTCTAACTGCTCCCTCATGAGGCACAGGCAGGTCCGGATCATCAAGTGATCGGCCCCTGGGCACAAATGTTTGGTGGGCTCCTATCTGGCTAGTTTTTTTGGGTACCAATTTTTTCTAATATTACAGCAAGTTGCATGAGGTCTGTGGAGCGCCACAATGACAGTGTACTGACCGCTGTGTTGGGCAATTCACCGCATATTTTTTTTTTCCAAGCAAGAGAAAACAATATCAAGATTATGCCCCCATTAACGAGAGGTTAACATAAACCCCACAACCAGTGCAAAATTTCCCTATAAAGCAAGCGTCCTCTCTTTGGAAGCACAGCATTTACCTAAATGAAGATAACAAGATCGGACAGCTGAAATGTACATAATCAGGATGGATATAATCAGCAAACTATTAGTACTATATTATGAATTTATAATTAAATATTATTATTGTTATTAATTATTATTGTTTTAGTACTTTATTTTAGTGAAGTATGGATCTACAGCATGTTTGTCTGGTATATGATGCTCTAATATACTTGTCAAACATGATTGCTGGTTTTAAAAGGATAGTTGTAGCGTTAGTTATATAAGAATAGTTGTAACCAGTAGTGTCACCTTTGAGGTACAGTGGAGAATATGATAAGATATGAATTATGATAGCACTGAAGTATGATAGCTTCTTGATAAACATAAAATATCTGTAATAATAACAACCGAAGTGTCAGACATGCTAAATTAACGCATACTGCCATGGCAGAGTTGAATCCCACTTCTTATTTTTAGCCCTGCACTTTGTTTTTGAGTGTCACCTTGCCCCTTGGAACTGAGTTACATGGGTTAGAGGTTGAAATCTTAACTAGGAAGTTTTTCTCATAGCACTACGTTTGGAGTGTCCCTCTGAAAACCTCTGTTTGGAGGGCCCTATAGCCCTAACACTTCCCTCTCTATCTCAACAAAAAGCAGCCTGAGTTTCTGGAAAGCAGTTGGTACAACTTCCATTACTTGTTAGCTACAGCCTCCAGTGCAAAACCAAGGAAGCAAACTTTGAACAGAAAACTTGGCCTACATTTAGAGAAAATGGGGAGTAAATATGAGTTTTCATATTCCTTTAATGCAGGCATGTCAAACCGGAGGCCTTCCAGGCCAAAGTGCTGTGGAGATTAGCGTTTACCCTCATCTAACGCTCTGAATTCAGCTCATGAAGGCCTTGCCAATTAGCTGATGAGCTGAACTAATGAGGCAGCGTGCTGAAGACTGCAGTGTTTTGGCCCACAAGGACTGAAGCCTGACATGTGTGCTTTAATGCATAGATATTTTGTATTCACTCATGTATTTTGTGTCCTGTGTTATTAGAGCCCCACAGTGAAGGACTTGATTGGCTTTGGGCTTCAGGTTGCTAAAGGAATGGAGTATTTGGCACTGAAGAAGTTTGTGCACAGAGACCTGGCAGCACGAAACTGCATGTGAGTGACTTGTCTGATGTTTAATAAGAAGGATGAATAGCTGAGAAGTGACTATAACATCAATGCTATATACTGCATATAATTAGTCTTACAAATCTTTGTGCCAGGCTGGATGAGACGTTTACAGTGAAGGTGGCTGACTTCGGCATGGCACGGGACGTCTTCGATAAAGAGTACTACAGCATTCAGGACCATAAAAGAGCCAAACTTCCTATTAAATGGATGGCCATAGAGAGTTTACAGACCCAGAAATTTACCACCAAATCTGACGTGGTAAGTTACTTTATTTTTATTATTTTGTGACACTGATGTTCAAAAGTTTAGAATTACTTGCCATATTAACACATTTTTGTTATTTTATATACAATAATTAAACAACATGGATTGAAATATTGCAAATTATTTGCCAAAAAGTGTTTTAGATGTTTTATACAATAATTCAAGAGTTCTGCGAACAAGTGAATAAAATGATAAATATTATCCTGTGATCATCTATTTGCATGCTTTTTTTTCAAGTTTCTGCTTTGAGATTTGGCCACTTTTAAAAATATGAAGAATTTTGGATTAATTTGATTCATTCATTTGATTAATTCAGTCATTTTAGATCTTCTACAGCTCTGGACACATTTAACATTTCTTCATTTTCATTTACAGCTTTGTTGTGTTCTGCTTATCTCAAACCTGTGAAGTTGTACAGGATGAGCATATTAGAATCATGTTATACATTTATCTGCAACCATATTGGTTTTATATTGTGGAAAATGTTGATTTTAAACTTTTTAACAGTACTGTATAGTTATTATGTTACCACTTATAAACACAGAGTATCTGATATTTAACACCTTGTCTCTGGTGCGCCCTCTAGTGGTCATTTGGTGTCTTAATGTGGGAGATGCTGACCAGAGGAGCAAGTCCGTATCCTGATGTGGACCCGTATGACATGACTCCGTATCTATTACAGGGACGGCGGCTGCCACAGCCTCAGTACTGCCTCGACTCCCTGTAAGAACGCGTGATAGTCTGCTATTGTTTACTATCATAATTCAGAGGTTAAAGGGTATTTGTGTGGATGACCTTCTTGCTGCATGATTTTGGGTCAGCTTTCCATGAAGCTGGTTAAGACAGTGTAAAGCCACATCCTGTCATTTATGGCTGAAGTACATTTTTTTGTAAAGTCATTTGATCTTCACAGGTCTAATGCTAAAGAGAATCTCAGGATACGATTTAGTGGGATAACTGAGTCACTGAGATACAAAAACAAGAGTCATTCAGAGTGGTTTGATGTGAAATGGTTTATTGTAGAGAAACTTACAGTCTCAGATTTCTTCACAGTGGTGGTGATAGGAACCAGGAGTCGCCATGTCTATAAGGCAAATATAGCCATTTTATTTACTATCCAAAGCCACCAGTGAAACATTTCTTCTGAGTTTTTATATGTAATAATGATGATAGTGGTAAATCGGAAAAAATTATATTCTTTTTGGGTCGTATTTTGCCCAGCATTCACCTCTCTGCCATGAATGGATTTAAAAAGACGTGTACGTTTTAAGCCAAAATGTTTCTCAAAACTATCAGAAAACAATGTCTCAGGCATCAGACAACATACCTGTAACCATTTAATGTAATATCTTTCTGTGTGGGAGCTTTTAGGGGCATTCAACATCTGGATCTTATCACCACTATGAACAATTCTGACTCAAAGTTTCTCTGGAATGGAGTATTTCGTGTCAAACCACTCTGGATTCTTTTACATCTTAACGACTGAATTTTGAAGAAATCAGTGGAATTCTTAGTGCCCAGAGAACCAAAGTCAGGAACCAGACCTGTCTTCTTCAAACTAGCTCACAAGATAATGACTTTTTTAAAATAAGTAACCCCAGATAAATGTTTTAAATGAGTCGTTGCTTAGGTGACTAAAACCTTTGTACAGGACTGTGTTGAATAATCTTATAATAGCCTTGCATAATGAGAAATGTTGACTATATTTGACATTTTTTTGTAAAGCACACCTCACTGTCTGCCATGTACATATATACGCACTGCCTGTATGTGAAGTATGTTTTCGTGGTCACTGCAGGTGGTGTATCCTGTTGCAATGCTGGAACCCAGAGCCTGACTTCAGGCCGACTTTCTCCATGCTGGTGCAGGATTTGCAGGACATCCACTCGTCGCTGGAGGGTGAACACTACGTCAACCTACAGGTCACTTATGTCAATCTGCAGCAAGCCCGGCCATACCCATCCATCGCCTCCGCCACGCCTGCGCTGATCGAAGGCAACAGTACTGAAACGCTGGACCGGCTGGACGCCACTGTGGACCTCTAAACTGCATCCATTTAGATAACTGAGACTTACAGCAGGGCACAAAATGTCGGCCCAGATGAACAGTTTTAGTCCTGTTTTGGAGGATACCAAAACAAAAACACGTGGCAGCGCATGAGTTTACAGTTCATGTAAACATGCTCGAGTGTGGCCTTCAAACTTCCTCTGAAGCAGGAATACGGTACCGCATTTCCTCTCAGGTTTACTCTAGTCTTTCTGGACTAGACGTTTACTTTTCTAGGATGATGCAATTATATTTGCACTGAACTGCAGCTGAATATACTTTTTATTTTGACTTATTTTGATCGTTGTAATGACTCAGTTGAAACAAATCATTTTTTATACTTATCTTCATCCCACATACACAAGGGAAGTTTATGTTTATACAGAAAGGCAGATTTGATTTGATATACAGCTCTTGAAGGTCTCTCAGAATGTCATGACTACTGCTCTGTCTTTGTGGATTCTGTTCCAGTAGCAAATATTTTTACACATTACAAGATATAATAAATTTAGGGGGCAATTTAATTGATAATGACAATAGGAAGTGCCAGTGCTGGGTTGGAAAACCAAGTAACGGCTGTTTCAATTATTTAAGAAAGAACATGAACATGAGCCAAATTAAAACAAGTTTGTTACATAAGTTTAAGAACAGTTATGCAAGGCTTATCTTAAAGCTACACTATGAGCCTGTTTACACCTTGCATTAACATGTGTTTAGTGTCTGGATCGTATCTGGATAAACTTTGGCTGGATTCCGTTTACACCTAAATGGGAGTGCGTCCCCAGTGTGTCCAGATTATATCTAATTTTCCCATGTCAGCGGTCGGCAACATGTGGCTTTTTTACTGCCCTGTTGCGGCTCCACAGCAGAATTAGATTTTTAGGTAAAAATCAAATAATCCTCCTTTACAGTAAAATAAAGCTCTGCTGGTCATTCAACACTGGAGTTAATGTATATCTGCTAATTCACCCTTTAACCCTGAAGATCAACACGAAGGCTGCTGGTCACCATAGCAACACAGATAACAATCTCACCTAGCTTGTAGCTAACAAAAAGGCAAAGAGAAATATTTAAGATGAACATTGATCATTTGGAGATGAATGGACTTATTTGCGTTTATAATCGCTCCAGCTGGTTCCCTCATTTAATCTGCAACGAGAAACTGTCAAACACTAAAAAGTCTCGAAGCTGAAGTCAGTTTCTTGTTCCAATTTTCCCATTCCACCTTAAACAGTGCAGCAGTTACATTCTGGTACCTCAGGCACCGTTTAAGGTGCTGAATGAGAAGCTGATTTCAGCCTCATAAAAAAATTGAACGTTGAGGGACATTTTACAAGAAACTGTTCTACTTTTGAAAAAAGTTTCCTGCTGGAGATGCGAGAAAAGCAGCTATCGCTGAGCTAAAGCTTAAAGCAGAGCAAAGTCTGGATTTCCGTTTATATTATTTTTTTTAGCCTATACCAGGGCATTAGCACATACTGAGACATATTTACAGCCAAGACGGTAAAATGGACAAAACCACCAAAAATGCACATTAATGTGAAGTGCAAACATGCTCTGTGTAAGATTTGGGGACCTCTCTGGTGGAAATGTGTCATCGTATGAAATGTGCAGAAGAACCTTTTATAACATCGGCTGTGCTTTGGACCCCACACAGTGGATGAATCTGATGATTGATGATTTAAAGAGAAACTCAGTCAAAACTTGGTGAAGGACGTGTCTTCCGAGGATGGGACAGAATTATCTAGTATTGTCGTCATATCAGTATCTTCATCAGTATAATGCTGATTATGTTTTGAGGCCTAAACATCAAGCCGGACCTTCTTTTTGAGGCTGTGTGCGTGACGTTAATACGTAAAGACGTGTGATGAGGTCTGAAAAACTTGCAAAATCTGATCTGACGGCTCTGATTTTTTTTTTTTACATATTGTAAGTTTTTTTTTTCCTGACTCGTTAATGCTACTCTTTGAATTTTAACAAAAAAAGCTTACAGTGCAGCTTTGACCTGAGCTCCACTGAAAAATGTGGGTAACATGAACATAAAGAAAAACGTAATATGTGCTCATTCTGTACAACCTAAGACCTGGGCTTCACCCAAAGCATCATTATCATATCAATGTTTTCTTGATGCTTGAAAGATTAAGGATCTCCATGCACTGCACTTTGTTGTGTTCTCCCTCCTCCAGTGCACCTTAATCAGTTCATGAAGGGATCAATAATAACAGGATGAGTTGAATCAGGTGTGCTATAGAAAGCAAAACACAAAACACCTGGCCTGTCCCAAACTCACTTTTTTGCAGTTTTGTGGACTTTGTGTGTGCGTTTCATGTGCTTACCAGTAAAATTTTACATATGTATGTTTTCTAAATTGCTCAAAAGACCACACAAAGCTCAACCCCTTCACTACAGGAATGTCCAAAAATGGGAATCACAAACTTGTGCAGTTCTAAATAAAACAGATGTTGATTTAAATGTTAGAAATGAGTCACCAAAAGGTATTTTTAGATTTTAAATTCAATATTTCAGGAATTCCGTGAAAAATCACTTGCTAAGTGATAAATAATACATTGTAGTTTTCTCTTGAAGTTAATTCATTTGCCTCAAGATTTGATATCCACTTTTGAATTGAGATGAATTATGGATTTTACTCAAACAGATTTTTTTTTAATTCCATTATTCAGTCTTTAAGATCTAATTAAAGTCATTCAGAGTGGTTTGATGTTAAACGGTTCATTGTAGAGAAACTTACAGACTCAGATTTCTTTACAGTGGTGGTGATAGGAACCAGGGGTTGCCGTGTCTACAACACAGATATAGCCATTTTATTTACTATCCAAAACCACCAGTGAACCTACACGTGTCCTCTGAGGTTTTATATTTAATGTTGATGATGGTAAAATGATGAAAAATCTAAAAAAAATATCTGAATATACCTCTCTGCCATGGATGAATTCTGAAAAATGTGCTTTTAGGCCAAAAATGTCTCCGAACTACTGATATTTTAGATATCAGCCAGTGTGTTTATAACATAACATGTTTATAACAATTACATTTCATGTAATAGCTTTGTGTGAAGCTTCAGACATCTAGTTCTTGTAAACAATTTGAAACTGGCAAGTTTCTTTAGAACCAAAGCACTTGAACTTCTGAAGTTACACAGTCATTTTCTCAGTCATTTTCTAATCATCTACAGCTCTGTTTATCATTCTGGATATGTTTAAAATTTTTATTTACAGCTTTCTAGTGTTTGAAACCTGTGAAACTGTGCATGACGAGCATATTAGAACCATTTTATACACTTATACCACTATTGCAACCATTATTGGTTTTAGATTATTGAAAACAATGCTTCAGTAGCACATGACCTGCAGTTCAATGCATTGGTGACTTTTTGAAACACTGTTTTGAAACGAATATTGCAAGAATGTCAGCAATCATCCGTCTGACTCTGATACGGTACATATGTATGTCTTGACGAGTGCTTGTGCAATATGTCACGTTAGGGTGGACTTTGGGACAGGCCATTACACAGGCAAGTACAAGTTGGTAGTCTACACTGTTTGGGCCTAATTATAGTGGCAGGTGGTTGTAAATGCTTTAAATGCCCAAAAAACAAACAAACAAAAAAAAACATGAAAATGAAGCAAGGAAGCCTTTTGCAACATCCTACTATGTTCACTTGTATAACTTCACACTGACCTATTCCGAATGTATTAAATGATCAAACAGATTCAGAATGTATATGTGTAATAATCATGTTAGATTTATGAAATAATGAATAAATAAACCATGAATTTGTCATTGTTTGTAATTCACTTTACCGACCTTGCTATAGAGGAACTGTGTTTGTGCTGATTTTGTTTACAGCCTGCTGTTGTAAGCTTTATCATCTGCCATTAGAGGTCAGTAAAGACTAAATGATTTCTGTGTTAAATCTGTTCTATTTTAAATCTTACCTTTAAAAGACACGAGGTTCCAGTCAAAAGTTTGGACACTTAACTGCTTAAATGGCCAGGGCCCACCGATGGACCCAAAGTTTTTTTTTTTACATAGCTCTATAGCCTATAAGAATATGAGATCTTCTATAAGATGTTCTCCTCTATATATCTTCTATAATATTATATATCTTCTATATGAATAGCTCAACCAGTTTGCATTGAAGTCACTGTAGTTACTGAATAATAAGCCTTAGTAGTAACAAGCCTGGGAATTTAAGGGCTTAAAGACATTTTGATCTAAAAGCTTATCACTGCGGCCGGACAAAACCTTGTATATCCATTTTTATAAGTTTGCATTTTTTTGACATAATTTATAAAAATCAATTGGCCTTTACATTGTGTTAAAATTTCAGTTTTTTTCCTTCTCCTGAAAAGAAAACCGTCTTGGAGATACAAAGTTTGACGTTATGCTTAAATGCTTGAAATTTGTTTCCAAGGCAAAATATTGTAGTGGCATTGGTGCCTATGTATGACTTCATTTTCACACCAGTTTTGTTTTATATTTAGTGTCTTCCAAATAAGTCATTCTCGAGGGCTCAGCATATGTAGGACCCTCTTTAAGCCTGTTGGAGAAGCATCTGAGATTGCTCTTCATTAAGCTTTTTGAGAGAATTCCAAGAGTTTGCAAAGCTGCACCAACGTAAAGGGCTGCTTTGAAGGAGCACCAAAAATGATAAAAATAAGGAAAACACTTAGGTATACCCAAACTTTTGACTCATAACGTATCTTGACCAAAGTTTATGGAAACTGTTATTTCCTGTGGGTTAACTTTTTCAGTCAGAGCTGGAATTCATTACAAAAAGTATGTGGACCACCCTTCTTATTAGTGGGTTTGGCTATTTCAGCCACATCTACCGATAACAGGTGCATAAAATCAAGCATACAGCCATGAACTCTCCATAGACGAGCAGCAGCAGTAGATTGGGTCGTACTGAAGAGATCAGTGACTTTCAACGTGTCACTGTCGTAGGATGTCACCTTTCCAAAAAGTCAGTTCATAAAGTTTCTGCCCTGCTAAAGCTGCCCCGGTCAACTGTAAGCACTGTTACTGTAAGGTGGATTGGTTGCAGTTTTCACTACCGAGTTCTGAACTGTTTCTGAAAGCACAAGAACAAATCGTCAGGAGCTTCATGAACTAGGTTTCCATGGCCGAGTGGCTGAGTGGTGTAAGGCTCACCACCACTGGGCTCGTAGAAATGTGTTCTCTCGAGTGATGAATCACGCTGCACCATCTGGCAGTCTGGCGGATGAATCTGGGTTTGGTGGATGCCAGAAAAACGCTACCTGCCTGAATGCATGTTTCCAGCTGTAAAGCTTGATGGACGTGGAATAATGGGGCTGTTTTTCATGATTTGGGCATTTGCTGTTTTAGCATGACCATGCCCTCGTGCACAATGCGAGGTCTATCCATAAACGGACCTGCACAGAGCCCTGACCTCAATGCCATCCAACATTTTTGGAATGGACTGGTTTTCAGCCTCTCTTAAGAAAATTTGCAGAGTTTGCCTTTACTACCACAGCAAAAGAAGACAAGAGGAGATGGTGAACAAGGCTCTTCAGCGTTTACCATTGTTGAAAGACACTATCATACAACACAGTAATGGTATAGTTTGGGCGCCCCCTGGTCAAATTATGTTTTGTTGATTTTCTAAGTGAAAATAAGTGAAATCTTCCAACATTCCAGGTTTATTTCATACTAAGGCTTATTATTCAGTAACTACAGGGACTTCAGTGCAAACTAAAGGAGCTATTCTTAGGTTATAGAAGTGTGTAATAAAACCTTGGGCCCGCTGGCAGGCCCATGGCTTGTAAAGTGGTGAACACGTCCCCTACAGAGAACACACTTCTGCACATTTTAATGAACAATTACTGTTTATTTGCTGAACTTAACATTTTGGAAAAAATGTGGCGTGTGCAAAAGT